TATCGATTTGGATATTTTTGTCAGCTATTTGACAGGTTTGTCCCATCAAGAGGTCTGGATCCAACATTGACTTGCCATTTCGCAGTTGCCACCGGCGTTGTGGTGGTATACGATTGGGGTGAGCAGGACAGTGTTCGAAAATTGCTGATTTTCTTGTCATTGTCATCGACGATGAGCACAGCCGTGTTACATAATATGCACTCCGCACTGCGCCTGGCCCATGTAAGTCTGGAGATCGAAAATTTTGTACCATCCCTTATTACTTGACAATCGGTTTGAACCAGGTTCGAGAATTCTGCAAGTCCTCGAACTGTGGACTGGACTGACGGTTCGGTTCCCCCTATTGCCCGAACTTTGAACCGGACTTTGGTCAGGTTCGAAACGGTTCGGGTTCGAACTGTGGTTCAGGACTGGACCTGGCCATCACTACTCATAAACCCCTAGAGGAGGTCATACCTGTTCTCGCAGAGACTGCATGGTCACAGGACACAGAATTGCTCACCACCAAGTTCAGGAAATAAGTTGCTGCCAACCCAGATATCTCGATGGTTATAATGTTTCTCATGCATGAGTCAAGCAAATATCGCTCACCAGAACCCTCCTCAATGACATCAAAAACACTCTGTATGGGAAATGTAGAGAGTTGAGACGAGCGGGGGACACGCGAGACGCTAAACGATGATGATAATCTCAGTATCTTTGATAGAACTCTGTGTGCTACGTGACAAGTACCTAAACAATGATGATACTAAGTCTTTTGTGAGTTCGTCGTAAGGTAGATAGAATCAGATATACGTACATCTCAGTATCTTTGATAGAACTGAGATGTCATGTCGTTCGTACTCGAACCTTTATACTAGCGTGCATAGGAACGGAAAATTTCAGTATCATAGGAATATAGTGGAATATAACGAAAAAGATATCGGCCGACGTCATATGCGTCACTCGCTCGACTCGCTAGTATGTTGCGCTCGCCTATACTCATTCCTCTTCTTGATCGGCCGTTTCGGATCCCAACAGGAAAAACATCAGCTCATTTGCTCCAATCTTTCCTCGCATTGCAACCTGCTGATTTCAAATTGACTGATCCCATTGTCGTGGCAGACCACACCTGGCCGAGTCTCCAGTCTGTTGAGATTTGGGTCTGGGTGCGTGGTGATAGCCCCATTGACATCAACCAGGAACCTCATCTCTGGGGAATGCACAGCTTATGGTGTAAGTATCTCTCTCGATCATTTCCTCGGTTACTAACCTGTCCTCTGGCTCTACAGACATTATTTCCTGACTCACACATGTCCAGTGTCACTGTCATATCCCACATTCTGGACCCGGACCAATCATGCAATCATCTCCGGACTTCCGGACTTCCGGATCTGGTCAGCTCCTATCTTCTGTGCCTTTTCCCTTTGGTATTTCCCTTATCAGTTAGTATGCTTTATTTTCCGTCCCTTATTCATTTCCATCTTCATTTTACTAAGTTCCGATAGACTAGTGATAGTTGTCCCACATGTTCTGTCCATAGCCTTGCATAGCCTCGCACTGCACTGACTGTTTCTCCGTTATGTCCTCAGTAGTATATAAACCCTGTACAGTCTCTGTAGTTCCTTAGTTCAAATATTATCTTAGGCTCTGCTCATTCCCTCCTCTGTCTGACTTGAGTTTCTCCTCTTGTCGTCCTCCAATAGTCTTAGGATCGACTCCTATAGACTTAACACCTCTGCCTCTACCTTTGGTAGTCCTCTGCTGTTTCCTTTCTAGTTCGGACTTCATCCGGATTAGCCTCATCACTCATTCCCGAACGTCCGCCGGAATTCCTGCACATCAGACATCGGACTCCAGACATCGTCTGACAACCTTCAGACATTGTTTGACAGCCTATGGAAGTTAGGGGCATGTACTCGGGTAAGGGGCGCAGCGCACGAGCTGAAGCCAAGCCCTTCAGATTTGACCCTTGAGCACATTCTTAACAGTCACAGCTATGATCAACAAGGGTCTCACATTGGTGAAACAATGTCTGGGTAGCCTCTGCAAGCAGGTGGACCCTCACTACGACACAACACAGTTGTTACACTCTGGTATCCCTTTCCCTTTTGCATGGCAAAGCTTATGGACTAAGATAGAAACAGCATCAGGAGTCACAGCCCATAGCCGCTATCTAGCATGGTACCAGAAATCAATGGAGGCTTCAAGTGCTCAGATGTGAGCCTACTGCTTGTATCATCATGTTATGTGGCCGCTGTTCAGTAGTATATACTATATACTACAGGTGTATTCATTTATCGTCTTCGAGCTCCGTTTCTGCTGATCCTCACTTTTCCTCTGCTACTTGTGAACAGCATGCAATGAATTGATTATTGTCCTTGCTATCATCGGCACCCTTTTGTTAGTAAAGTTATGACTCAGTACGTTCTGGTGAGATGAGGCAGGCCCATGGAAGTCGAGCTTGGCCAGACTGCTCATTGACAAGGAGGCTGATTGTGGGCCAGTCAGTGCATACTCAACATCAGTCTGGGTACTCCTGCAGTGGGTGTGTAAGTCAGTGTACGACTTGCGAGTGCAAAGGGGTGTGGAGACTGCTGGAGGATATACGAGCGCTAAAGAGTTAGATAGTTATCAGCGAACATTTGGACAATAGGGAATGTGATGATTTTGAGACATTTAGACGAGATTTATAGATATATCAATGAGTGCGAGAGCGAGACTTCGTGACTGGATGTGATTGCCTGTCAGTATGGACTGTACATGGGCTACTTATACTTTTAGAATAGTAAGGGTCCTTATTGATGGCTAGGCCGAAATTAAATGCGAAAAACGGAGTCCGAAGGTAGAATTGTCGCTTCCGAGAAGGTAGAGTAGATATAACGCGAAAGAGTACGAAAAATGAGCGAGCGGAGGTATGAATGGATATGGTTTGACAGGATAACGAGAGTGCGCATAGGTTTTGACAGTTTTCGGCGGTTCGGCTGCGAGCAGGATAACGGAGACGAGAATAATAAAGGGTCGAGTATACGGGGCATTGATGGGGAACAAGGATGGGATGAAGACGAGGTCCATGCTGAAGATTTTGATGGTGATGGTAGAGGTGAGCGTTACTTCGGCTATTTCCGGCGTCAACCGCTCGGTAATCCCTACAGGTGTAAACTAGCATATGAGCGTGTTCAGACAGAGTGTACACCAGGCAAGTATAGCACCATTCGTTTCAAGCGAGTCGTCCTTCTTGTTCGTATGTGGTCTGTGTCACGCTGTCGCTTGACCCTCACAAGCAAGACAAACACTTCATGAACTCCGATTTGCAAACAGTACTTGAACAACAGAAAACCCCTTGCTGGCAAGGTGCGGGTAGTTACAGTACATGTCGATGACCATCAAGATACACGAAATTAATGCTTCAAGAATCTGGAGTTCGGTGGAAATAGTGATTTTGGAAACGTCTTGGAAGAAACATTGCGGTCGTGTGTCTCGAGAGCCTTCCTCAGATTATCTTGAAGTTGCTCGCTGGACTTGATAAAGTCCTCCCAGTGACGTGTCATAGTCGCGCGGTGCTTAGAATAACTTTCCTCCAGAACTATGAACGAGGTGTATTGTGTTGCACTGGTCGATCATAGCGGAATGAACTCTGGTCAGCAACCTATGTCTGGAATGAATCACTGACTATGCATCTGCCAACGCGTGTAAGTCTTCAGCTGCGTCACGCAGGAGCTCCTCCCTCCCAGCGCGGGCTTCTTTGTTGACGCTTTTGAACTTGTTCGCGATGCCCTTCACTATAACCTAAGCAGAAGTCAGGCAATGAGTATGTCAAGTCACAAAGTCAGGAGCTTTACAGTCTGGATGTCATTCAGTACCTGCAAAATAAATAAATAATGTAGCAAAAACCGAGCAGGTTTTCCTCACATCCACTATGTCCTGGATATCATTACCCTCATCGGACTTGATGTTACGGCGACTGTTCTCCCTTGGCGACTTCTTTGCACGTTGTTCTTGGAAACTTTGAACTAGTAAAAAAAGCGCGTCAGACGTTCCAAAACGCCACGCATCCCTGTACTAACCAGGCATTTGTTTGACTGGGTGGGCACTCGTTTTCAGAGCGAGAGGGGACAGCGAATATGGTAACCCATCATTTTCAAATCGTACCCGATTGGAGGACGGCTTCCGCACAGGATATGACGATTCAAACTCGTCATCAGAAACAAGTGAGACGACACGGTCCAGAATTGGTCCCTTGGGCGGGCGGGTGTTGGTTCCGGAAATACCGTTTCTAAACGCACCATGGTTGTTAGATCGAATACTAGACTTCAAATATGTCACGGTGGGGATCTGGACAGCGTCATCGGAATTGGGCCGGGTCACCAGTGGTGACGCAAACGAAACGACCGATTGCCTCCGACGAACCGGAACGGAAGGTGAGGGCCTCACATCACGAGGCTCAGCCGAAGAACTTTCGGCATCGTTTGTTCTGATGGGAGCGGGGGAAATATTCAACGCTGCGAGTTGCTCTCGTCGTTCTTCGTTATGAGAGGGAATAGGCAAGACGGAAGGATCTTGGGATATGACGACATCCATGGCAACATCGGCAGAAGGCTTTGAGACCCCGATACATGTTCCATGTCCATCTTGACGTCCGGTGACGTGTAAGGCAACTGGAACTGCAATAAAGCTCTCTGCGGGATGTGGGCCTTTACTCGGGAGTATTCCGGCATCCTTGGACACGCCACGGTCCTTTGCTGAGTTGTGGCAATCTTTTACTGGAGTTGGGTCCATTGTGAGGTCGATACAAACAGGGGGTTTACGTGGGGTCAACTGTAACGGAGGGGGATCTGAGGAGGCAGGCTGCAAAACACTCAGCTAACATAATATCACAAAAAGCGTGACATACAAGAATAGGGTCCTCGCTCCCTTTCAATGATACTGAATAGTCAATAAAATCGCCGAAGAACGCTTCATCCATATCTCCCGATGCGACATCCTGGATTGGCTCTAGTGGATCCTCATCTAGGGGGCTGACCCCCAAAGGCTTCACTTCCTCGGCCGGGGCGTGTTGTGCAACGAATATCGGGTCCTCCCAAGGTGCCCTCTTTGGTTTGGGAGTATGAGCACGCTCTGGAGTTGATGGTTTCTTTTCGGTTATCTGAAATGATAGTTTTTGGGGCGTTAGTGACACCTTGGTTAGTACCACTGCATTAGTGTCTCCAGTCTTGGTCCTGGTGCTCGCGCCCGTCCGGTCCATGTCCATCTTGTATGCAATAAGGGGAGTGGATGATCAAAGGAAGAAGCGACAAACCTTATTGGCTTGCTCTCTTGATGCCGACTCTGGCTTAAGGGACACGGAGGGAGTGTTGGTTGCATCGTTATGAAGGGGTTCTACTTTCGTAATTTGATCAACTGATTCTGGTGCAGCGACTATCCCGGTGCCAGCTTCTGAGGGCTGGAGTTTCGGGTTGATCTCTTCGGGCGACTCGAATTCAGGCTTCCTGCGTCGCATAACGCCCGCGCGGGTTTGTTTGCCAGAAATCGGAGTTGGAACCTTCTTCGGGGCCGGTTTGGAAGCCCTGACTGGCTTCGCTCGCGCGTTCGTCTTCCCTCTCAAAGTTGCTCCAGGAACTTCGTCAAAGTCTACGTTCTCTGGTGGAATAGGTGACAGTGCCTTCCCTTTCTTTCCGTACTTCCTGGGAGCCTTCGCGATAGTTATCGATATCGTTGACGGTTCGAAAGGGTCAGGAAGTATACTTGCTGCACGCTTGATAGGGATGTCGCCAGTGTTACGGGCCTTCTTCTTGGGTGGATGATCGTCCTCTGGAACCTTGGGTGCTCTCGTGGAGGAATTTGCGTCATCCCGTTTGCGTCGAGTGCCTGCCAGCTTCGCTGGTATATTGGCTAAATCTGCGAGTTTTGAAGGGAGCACACGCCTCATAGTTTCTTTACCTGTCGCCAGATTCTTCATAGGTGAAGTTAGTATGATTCCGTGTGCAGTCAGTTCCGCGTCGGGTATAGCCTTGCATGGTGGTACAACAGAAGCATCTTGCAAGAAGGCATCGTCGTCGAGATGTGTTCTGGCGACATTATTGGTTGGTCCTGGGTGACTGGTCTCTTTGTTGGATAGTGTACTCGGCCTTTTGACTTCCAGGGGAACGTTTTCTGGATCTGTATCGATAGTGCTAGGCGACTGCAGGGTGGAAGAACATTTGCCATCGATGCGGCGTGTCTTGCTAAGTTCTGTCGTTGCCGTCTTTACGTTAATGTCTGGCTTAGCTGGTGAAACTGTCGCCCTCTGAGCGGCCTTGGGCGTGGCTCGTATCTCTTCTTCGTCGGATTCCACAATTAACCTTCGCTTGGCGATGCGTTTGGTCGGAGGCGCTGGTTGAAAACTGATGCTTTTTGCGCTAAGACTGTGAGCTGGTGTGGCTTTGACAATTTGTGCTGGATGGACTATGAGGCGAACGTCGGCGACAGGTTTGAGAAGTTCGTCGTCAGATATTTCGGGGAGCTCGTCATCGCTTTCGCCAAACACGGAGACGTGTACTGCACTAATGGGATCGTCTTTTGCAGGACTTTTGCGAGGCGGAGTAATTGGAAGAGGCGCAACTTTTTTCGCGGACTTGGATACAGGCCGGGGTCTGGGGACAATCTTTTGGGCACGCTCAGCGCTGGCGTCATTTTTGAACTCCTGAACCTCAGGCTGGTTAGCCGGAATTCGGGGTAGCGCCTGCTGCGCCGACATGGATTCTTGCTCAGAGTGGGCAGTGATAGATCGTGCATCATCCGGGAAGTTGGTTTCGTACACTGTCGGCTCTGAAGTCAAATATTGATATAGAACTGAACCTAGGGACTTCACCATTTTGAACATGTTTAACTTTATCCTGCAACGTGCAGAATTATTAGTACGAGGGTTGAGAATTAGATTAACATAACAACCTCATACTGTGACCCTTGTGGTGAGGGTGAAGAGTCGCCCGAAAGTCTGATGCTATGTGCGAGACCAACACTTCTCCGTTTTTTAGCTTGTTGTTGGGGATTTTCACCTATGAAACTGAGCTTGACCTATTTGAAGCTGTTAGTGAAATTGTTCATCTATGGCCTCCTTGCACTCACTATACCACGCCTCCGTAAAGCCTCCATGAGCCTGCTTAAATCCTCCCGTTGAATTTCGAATTTTAAGTAAAGCTTTTGACCTGCCGGGATGTCAAACGACACGTCTTCAATACTTGGTGGAGTTGTTAAATCGACATGAACAATGACTTTGCCATGCGGTGGCGCCTTTGACACGTCGATCGTGACGGAGCGTATATGACCATAGGAGATCTTCAAGCTGTCGCAGACATCATCCTGGGAACAATAGTCAGCGAGGCCCACGACAGCATGATAAATACAATCACCTGCTCAACAACGTTGGCAAGGAAATATTCTCTATCCAAGTGCAAGCGGTCAAATGCAGTCGGTTGAGGATAACATTTGCCGCATACTTCGACTTCATCCAAGGCAAATGATTGAGGGCTGATCCAATGAGTGGATTAGTCTGGTCTGCATTACCGAACCGAAAAACTCACAAGGTGATATCGCTCCTGGCCAAAGTATCCATGATCTTCATTACCGTATCCTCCCAGTGCGAGCTGCTAATGTATTGGAGGGTGTTGACTAGTTCTGAACTACAGCTGAAGTGCTTCTCGGAACCAAAAAGGTTGTTGATGAACTCTGTCCGTTTCACTGTCCCTTTCTCTGTTTGGTTCGTTATTGGGATCAACCATCCCACTATATCTAGAAGGGCTTCGATTACAAGGTAGTCTAAGTAGAGTCAGATAAACATCCTACAAGAACGCTTCATGCAGACTTACCCTTGGACTGTGAGATGGCTATGCCAATAAGCGACCTAAGAACTATCTGAGATCATGATCAAATTAAAAAAATGCGACGACTTTACCCTCCAAGAACAGCATGATCCCGCAGCCTCCGTTGATTGCCTGGATGTCTGCTAAGCGTTCCATGTAACAGAGAATATGCCTATCAATAGAGTCGTCATAGATTACATGATAAATGAGCGCATATATGCTGCTATCAAGTGGGAAGCACTCACCGTTCTTTGTGTTCGTGGTAAAAGTGTTAAGGAGGAGTCCTGATAGAAGAAGAGCGTGCATATAGTCGGATAAAACGCTAATGCAATGGTTTCCTTGGTCATATCTGCCAAATTTAGGGCTTAGGCAGATACTTAGAAGAAAGGAATTCCAAATCTAATCGCACCATCACCGTGTTTATCAAGAAAATCCTATATTTAATCCCGATAAGTCTGGTCATAATACTGCAAGAAGTGAGATCATACCAGGACACCTGATAAAAGCGCAACTGCAACGTCATTCCACCAGGCGCTTAGTTGAAGATTTTGAGTATTCAGGGCATTTCTCAGTTTTTCATCGACTACTTTTCGAAGTACAGCAGAGGAAAGCTGGAGCGCAGGTCCGGGAACGGCAGCATACAAGGGAACTAGAGGTCGACGAAGGATAGAACGAAGTTTTGATATTGATTGTGAGGAAGGAGACGACGATTTCTGAAATAATTTTAAGCGCCTGTTTTCGATATGAGGTTTATCGCTCACCAAGAGAATAAGGTACGAAGTAAACTGGCTGACAACATCGCCGACGCGCTTGTCGATTCCGCTTTGCTTGACGGCAGCTTTGAGCACCTCTGTAGCCTTGTCAAGTTCCGTCATTCACACAAGAGTAGTTTGGAGTAATATGAGCACAGGTGTTATCCTTGGTCTGTCGCCCTCGCGTGGGTTCACAGTGGGAGACGCAGAGCCGCATTAAGCACTTCACGCGTCAAGATATTGATTATCACGTGATAATTTTGTCTTTCCATCATGTGATTGTCGCGGAGTTTAAATTTGATTGTCGCGCAGACGTATTTCAAGCCAACTGCCAACGAAATTCCAGGTTGACCCCCTTCTTGTGCGCCTTCTTGTAATACTTATTGTGTGCACGCCGCACTCCTGCGCTACCTAAAACCTGGAATTCAACCGGAACAATCAATGGAATCTATCAAGGGGGAAGTCGCACCACTGTTACTCCTGCCCGAGTCATGGGAGGTACCTGTTGTCCCCGCCGCTCTCGGTGTCAAGACGAAATTGTCGAACGTCAAACTAAAGCAATCTCGGTATGATGATATATGGAGTGAGGACGTGCACGCTGCATTCATGGAAGGTAGGGAGCGCATCCGTCACCGAAATTGACGTTCTTGTAGAATCGTAGCTGAGAGTATGTTCAAGCTATTGCCATCTACCCGCCAATGGGTAAGCGGCGACTCAGATACGTACGTATATTAAAGGAAGATCAAGATGAAACCGCGGAGTCGTCCCACCTCGTCAAGTCGTTCGGTCGGTGTCAACTCATTCAGTCGTACATTCTGGAGAAGACCGGCAAGAACCGTACTCGAAAGCAAGTATCAAGTCATCTTCAACGACTGAAGAAAAAGTACAAGAGCGATCCAACCAGTCTGTTATCTCAGTGTCGGTATGCTTTCCTACTGAATTGCACCTCGCAGAACGCGTATTGTTCTTGGAGATCTCGCAGCTAATTGAGGAGCATTCTGACCGAGAAGAGCCGGCGCTATCTTCTGCGGGAATCCAAACAGATACTACCCCGCCTCTGTCTTTGTTCTCCGATCAGGCTTCACCTTTCAGTGGTATCGTCCGGGATGGGCTCAAAGAACAAAAGCGAGGTGCCACGTCTGCTAATTCTGCCAACGAATCCTATTTCACATACTATCACGCCGACAACAGACGCCATTTGTTTGGTGAACAAGAGAAGGTATCCAACGCCTCGATGGTTCCTCAGGTCGGACCGACTTTGCCGATGGGGATTCCAACAGAAAATTCAGTCAGCTCTGATTCTGAATTCTCGCTGTCTTTGAGACGACTCGGCAACAAGCTGGCCCCACTCAGCCGGCAATTGGAAGGGCCCACCACCGTCTACTCTTCCGAAGCTCATTGCTCCCCTGCATGTGTTGTCACTCACGATGGTTCCAATCTTACCATGATGGACTTTCCCTGCAACTATCCACTGACTCCAGTAGACCAACTCCTCCACACTCCTTTGCAGCCTCCGCAGATCACGCGTCTCGAAAAACGACGGGTTGTTCCGGCGAACGTCGATGGATGCTGGGGCTGGCCGGTCAATGCCCATACAACTGGCTCACCTCCGGACTCAGATTCGTATACACCCCATGCGCACACTGCAGAACTTTTGCTCTCACTCTCCGATAATAGTGGCGAGCCTTCCTTCAACATGAACTTTATGAGCGACTTTCACCCGGAGCGCGAGGACCGGCACCACGCTCGGCGGCTGTCCTACTCTCATGCCTACAATGCTTCCTCCTCGTACGCTCAGGACCTGTTTTCACAAGGATTTCTGCACGTTCTACCGACACACCCTCGATTTCTTCCTGACCTGTGCGCACATGCGGATGAAACACTTGCGACACCTCTTATCAAGCCTATTCCCCTATATCCCACTGCGTATACACATTCAGAAGATGACACATCGGATCTGTCACCCGTCCCCACTTTGTAACGCACCTGCAGTTTTTATTTGTTTTCTTCGTCACTATTTTTACGATCACCCAAACGTGTCATAGCATAACTCGCAAACATCTCATCGACACATTAATACCCGACAGATTAATATCGCACTCCTGTTCTAGTACTGTTTTATCACCCTTCGGACAGCTTGTGGGCAATAGTAAATAGTTATAGACATGTCAGCCTCAACTGGACGATTCATTGGATTATTATTATCGACGCAGCGTAAAATATTTGACACTTCAACTAAACGTTGCAAGCTGCCGAGGAGAGTTGGTTTAACGAACTTGAAGCCGACGTAGTTGTTGCATATAACTTTTGATCCTCAATTTAGTAAGCTTTGACGCCCGCAGACCTGGTGCCTTTATATTTATATGTAGACTGAGGGATTTGCTGGCTTGATATGATGTATTAATACGGTAATGCGGGCCTTTTTAGTATATGTCGCACGTGCACAAGACCGTCGGGCTCCAACTCAACTCTCGCGGTGTCTGCCACAGTATTTGGACCATCTGCCAGTAGACAGCATGGAGTCCCACCAGAGTTCGAAGTTCACCTTGGCAACCTTCAAGGTAAGATTTCAAAATGATCATCCGTCTTTGTCCGTTGTAACCAATTAGATGATAGTCCCCAAGGATCAAAAGGAAGTACCTACGCAAGGTTATTTGAAATTTCGCTCCTCCGCTTCTCTTTGGCTGACGTCGTGCAGTACTCGTGGCTCCCAGATGTATTGCGATTAAAAGGCAGCGTACGTGTTGTTTGGCAGGAGAAAACGCAGTGACTAACATGCTCATCATATAGATCATCAGTCGTATAATTGGTCCAGTTTTGACTGTCACCATATTTGCTGCGTTGGTTGCCTATGCGTGGTCCAAAGGGAAGAGAGTGGTCTTGACAAATTCGGTCGTGCCACTGTTGTCTGTGGTGGTAAGTACTAGCGAATGTTGCCAACCCATGAATATGCTGACATGTCACAATCCCCAGGTTGGTTTGATTCTCGTATTCAGGTGAGTTATATGCATAGTCCACGACGTTGACCAGCTTACAGCTCTCTACAGAAATGGGTGAGTAAAGCATGAAGTTACCAAGGACAGTATTTGATCTTGCCTAGCACTTCATACGACCGTTTCTGGGAAGGTCGAAAGTGCTTCTCGTCCATCACGTCTAACGTAGGGATGAATAATCGCCTGTATTCAGTTTCATTGAGTCTTCTCTAGGTCCGCAACTTGTCCCGTATGATATGGATTCATGTCTCGTTACCTCCTGCCGAAGATCATCCCGCCCACGTTCTCGGAAAAACACCGACGTCTGCACTTACCACCGCTCAACTCAAGCGTCAGAAGATAGAAGTCCTGCAATTTTGCGTCGCTTTTGCATGTGCTGTCAAGCACTACCTCCGCAATGAAGATGGGCCTGATTACGATGATTATACTGGCATTCTTCCCGCATCTTTCACGCGAATCCACGACCTTGGTTATACCACAGCTCAAGGCAGATCCTCTCCTAAGTCCTATGATGCTACTTCATCAGCTTCGGATAGTGCACCCAACAACCCTGATGCCACTAAGAGAGTTCGTCGGAAGCGCAGCAAGAAAATTCTCGTTGGCCATGCCACCGCGTCAGCTTCGACTACCCCGCTGCTTTCGAATTCTCATCAAACTGTCGAGTTCCACCCCTACGCTGATCGAATGTCTATCCCATTTCCCCTCCTGTTCGTAATAAAACTTAATACGCCACACCACAACTGACCAGTAACAACAGTATCGCTCATGAACTGTCTAGTGCCATCTTCAGGTTTAAGCGGGAAGGTTTGCTTGAAACTGTTGGTCCGGCAGGTAAGATACTCTGACATGATTCTTAATCTTGACGCTTAATGTTGTACTGATACTCAGGTATGAATGCCATGAGTGGGTTGTAAGTCAGATGTGTTAGTCCACTGAAAACTATCTCATCTTTCTCCAGGGTGCAGTCAATGGTTGACCAAATGACTTCGATGGAGAGGGTGGCGAATACCCCTATACCCGCGCCTTGCGAGTTCAATCTTTATTGGCATCTCCAACAATTACTGATAGCGCTCAGATGGAATCCATTTAAAGCAATGTGTAACTTTATACCTGTTTGCCCTGCCATTGACCCTCGTCAATGACCTCGGCTGGAGCACAATTCCCATCGTTACTGTAGTAGCCTTTACATTAATGGGCATCGAGGGTATCGCAGATGAGATCGAGATGCCTTTTGGTAAGTGTTCTGCACGGACAAACAATTATGTTGCTGAAAACAGCATTAGGATATGACGCGCATGACTTGCCTCTTGGTGCGTTTCGGTGCAATTCAGCGTCTTTTATTATTAACTTGCGTACAGACACTTACTGTAACGACTTGAGAGAGGAGATTGAGTAAGTTCCATGTCTTGATCTCATGTTCCGACTACCACTTCTTGGGCAGGTTTATGATCGAAAGGCTTCCGGAGGGTGGACACGGCGCACATGGTTATGACGACGGAGAGGGCGACGACTAAACATCTCGAGTAATTTTGAACAGTGATAGGACTTCACACTTTATTTCTTTTTTCAAATCATTACCATCAAAGATAGTTCTAGGAATATCTAGCTAAACTCCGGTGTGCAGAACTCTCCTGGTCCATAGGGCTAGTAACAAATATTCAATGACATGATATTGTCTGTACGAAGCGAACTTACTTTCGATGTGAGCGAGGTAAGTCCAGCAGAGTTTTCGCTTGTCTTTCGCCCACTTTGTGGTCCCGGTTTCGGTTTTTGGCCCCTTGCGAAAGCCTCCAGGACTTTCTTTGTGGTTACCGGTGTCAGATCCTCCTGGACTCAGTTCAGCTCACGTCTTGCTAGGAGTGGAAAGGCGACGAACGTAGAAATCATCATTCACGACCATCATAGGTGCATTACTGCAAGCACCTTGGCATTCAACTTCAACAACTGTGAATTTACCATCGTCTGTCGTGGCTCCTGGTGTTATTCCACCCAGTTGACTGCAAACCGTGTTCAAAATCTCCGTGGAACCACTCAGCATACATGGTGTGGTGGTACAGACTTGCACGAAATTCTCCCCAATTGGTTCACTGCGCCAATACAGTGGTCAGTAGAGCAGACCTCTGACTAGTGCCGCGTGGTTGACGCACCGGTTGAACATGGTATAGAAGGTCGCGACCTCGTACACCCGCATTGGGGGCATTCCGAGCAGCTTTGCGACATAGTTCATAACGCTGATGCTCGTCCATCCCTTGTTCTGCCGTTGCCCGAGGTCAAGGAGAGGAATGACCGCAGCCTTCTTATATTGCGGAGGATATCTAGAGATGATCTCTTCGGCCCTCTTCACGTTGTCTGCTGTGAACGCGAAGGGTATCTGCTCAGAGAAGTATTTTGAGTAAGTATAAAGGTCGCCAACATGGAACACATACCTTTGGGTTGTTGTACTCCGTGTCGCGGTGCTGTCCGCATTTAATAACTTTTCAGTTCAAAATAGAAGATTCACTTACCATGAACAATGCATCTGATCGGCGCGCGCACGAGTTCGAAAAGGCCCTCCCAAAAACTGAAGGAGTTGAAGTTGCTGAACGCCTCAATAAAGTGGTTGCAAGCATTGTCCACCAGCGAGCGGAAGTGTGATGAGGTTTGTCGGAACAGTAGGATGAGAGACCTGAAATTCACACGATCTGGACTGGATACGGCATATTGCCTCCTATGTATACTTTAGACCAATCATGATCCTGCGAATACAAGTTCACACATGATTTCCCGGAGGTGCAGAATGAGCAGCTGCAATTCAGTGTCGTCTATCACACATACATTAAGGTCAGAAAAACAGTGGTTGGGGTGGGACCGAGTACTAGCTCTGTTCGAACGCTGGCGAGTGTCCTGCTGGGTACGCGAGAAAACTCGACAAGCGACTCCTGATTGAATGACCATCATGAATATTGAGATACGAAGCTACTAGTGGTAGGAGAGGGTATTCGTGTACGGGTATTCAAATATATTAAAGAACGTGATGATGAATTATATTAATCCTGGGAGTGGACGGTGGGCGAAAATATGCGAGCGAGCGAGAGTATAGTGAGAGTGAGTGGACCGTTTAATGCAGTGATGAAGGAAACCTGAGAGCAAGAAGAGACTTATTGCTCAGCTGGACGTGTGGTGTCAGTTCCTTCCAAGCGTTCAGTAACTGGCACCTTTCACATTGTGTTGGATACACAAGGATGAGAAACAAGGTTCGGGTGGTCTGGCGTCTGTCACCCCAATGCGAAAAATTTACTGACAAAGCGTATTCTCCTCAGAGGCTCCATCAGCAACTAGATTCTGGAGAGTCACTCACAAAGTCCCAAAGAGTTCCGAATGCAGGAATTCCAGCTTCCTTACAACCATGCTGGATCTCAAAGTTACCCAGGTAGTTGGAAGTGATGAAGACAACCTCCGCTTGCCAGCGGTCGTATACCTCCTTAAATATCTTCATGGTGGACGACCACCACGGACCTTGAAGTCCCAAAGGAGGAGACGCTCTGGACCGATGTGCTTGTAAATGAGACCATTAATGGTTGGGCCGAACATCTTCTCTTGATCGGAGCCTAGCGGAAACGTCAATGATATGCATATACCAGAGGCCCAAGTTGTCGCACCGATCCAAATCAGGTACCAATAGGGAGATTGAATGCAGGCAGAAAGGACAACGCCAAGACCAGTGCCAGTGCAGATACGGATTCCACGCTTGTAAAGGGTCGACGTATTAGAGATACTGGCGAACTGAAAGAAAATTTGGCAATCTGATAAAAAAGATTGTTTTGGTCGTTTTACCTTCAGCTCACGATTCCAGATTTTTCTTGGTGGGTCGTTCACCAGGCCCCTAGTGAAATCGCCTTGCACACCACAAATCAGGTAGTGATACATTGCATGAGTACCCTCGCTGCAAAGAGTTAGTAGTATCGTATGGCGACGACACCGAAGACTCACGAGACGGTACCGAAATCGTGATATTCCTTGACGGCCGAGCGACTGATACGAGCAAGCACCCTGTTGCAATCCACGCTCGAAACGGAGAACAGCAACTTTTGAAGAGGGCAGTTCAACGTCGACCTTGACGTGTCGTGTGCAAATCCAAGGTAGAACAATGCTGGAACCACTGTGAGAAACGCAATTAAAAAAGCAGGTCAAGCAGTACTTACAAGATGGACATTCCGACCGTGTGTCAGAAAGCCTGTTGTTGGACAACGTGTTTCCCGAGGTGGCCGAACTTTCCGTCTGCAGTGTCATAGCCATTGGTCACGATATTGTATACCCCTTCAAGAATTAGCACAGTCGTAAGCTTTTCTACATTAGGGTCGAGCCTACAGGTCATGCACAAGGAAGTCCATCCGAAGAAACGGTGATTCAGTTCAAATACACTAGATGCTGATGTGAAAACGCTGCGGTGAATGACCGAAAAGAATACTCACATGTGGTGCGTGTTACGAATCCACGGAAGACCAGCACAGATTGTGATGAACAACATAACCGAGGTGATCACACCGAAGGCAAGTATAGAGTCGTTGAACATATGCTTTGCCTTGAGTTGATGCACGACCATGAGGACTATCCAAGCCATGCCGGAGATTGCACATCCGCTGTGGATACCACCAAGATTCTGAAGAGAAGTGAGCTCCCTGAAATTGCTGTTTGGATTTCAAACTAACCTGCAAAGTGGAGGTACATGCAAGGCGGAACCACAGAGGAGTCCATTATGATAGAAAATGCATCAACACCAATTGAAAATGTTAAAAATGCTTGACATGAACCTTGGCAAAGAAGGCGTTGACGAACAAATACAAGCAACGTCCCAAAATCTCATTACGTACAAGAACCGCAACGTTTAAATTACCAACGACCAAAGCACCGGGATATTTTGCTGCGTATGGCCATTTTCCAGCAATCGCAAAGCCAAGTCCAATGAAATTAACTATGAACACAATGGTGAAAAACCGCCTTAATAAATCAGAAGGGTGAGTATTCGATCACATGTGTTGAGGATAATACTATACCTATAACTATTGTACCAGATTACCCAGAGGACCCACAAGGTAATACTCTTCTTTGCTGGTTTAACAGGGGCTAGTGGTAGCTTCGAGACGTTTGAGGGAGCAACTGGCATGTCTTTCTTAGGAGACTGCGCAACGAGCCTCTCGATGTCTGTTGCTTTCTTCTCGTCCTTGGCGGGAGCTGAGGGGAGTGGACATCTAATGTCCCTTTTTCTGCGTCATTGCAAATCAAGGCACATTTAGAAGAAGATCAAAGGTATAGAAAAAGAAAACAATAAGACGTCGTCACCTTGAGGGCCAGAAAATAGGGATCACAGACAGCATTCTTACCTTCCCGCCTGACCGTGCGCCATGTAGCAATCCAGTTCATTCCAATCAAGACATCGGCATCGAGACTAGGCACAATCTCGAACTCGATATCGGTTGTGAGCGCACGACCCTCATAAGAGGCCGTGCGGATTTCAGTGAACCGAGAACCTAAACCCGAATGGCCGAGCGAGTGGGCAGTTGAAGAAGTGACAAGACAACACTGCGATGTTAGATCAAACGCGACAGAAACAGGAAGATGACCGATGAACGAAGTCATAGTAATAGATGAAGACACATATGCATGAGCGACGACACCGTAGGGGCGGCATAAAGTTCTCCCGGGCCTGAGAAGCCTGATCAACTTGCAATAACGAATGGCACAGCCACGCAGCGGGAATAATAATAACGTGTTGGTTTGTCAGATGGTCATCAATCTGGCTTGCCATCGGTCAGAAAGTCTGACCAGTCCACTCAATTTAACTTTAATTCCAGCTATCTTTTGCCGAAGGCTTATGCACGCTATGTATCACCTTTCGGCATGGCACTACTTATAAGTTCAAACTTAACACACCTACCAAGGACGACAATCCACACATAGCTACTAGTCCAGCTCACATTCTAACAACCATGTCTGCAACTATCAGCCCAAAGAGCGCCTTGAAGATCGTAATGGTTAATATTTAGTCACTCGTTCATGATGACAGTGCTAAGTTATCTTCAGGGTGCTATGACGTTTGGCGTAGAAGGATCTGAAGGCGCTCGAGTTCATGAACTCAAAGACGTGGAAACTATCCTCGACATCTTTCAGAGCCATGGGCACAATGAGGTTGGTCTTACGTCAGTCAGCCATGCATTGCAACACACTGATTTTCTTCAGGTCGACACTGCACGCATTTATGCATTCGGTACCAGTGAAGAATATCTCGGAAAAATCAACTGGCAGAACCGGAGTTTGATCATGGACACCAAGCACTATCCTCATTCTGTAACGTCCATCCTTTCTGTTCTTTCAACTCAGCTCAACAGGTCGCTTAGCGGATGGGCCGTCCTACTGAGGAGGGCCAGTTGTGCGATCACTCCCCAGAGGTGAACCCATTCCGCTTCCTGCATTCCGTTGCTATGATTATTTATGCTTGGACATTCAAGGGTTTGCGCCTGAATCTTATGGCATCCTTGAAGGCCCTGAACACTGAGTAAGTGATCCTCACTATTGCAAGCCCACGACCTGATAATGTCATTCAGCAAAGTTGACATGTGGTATCTCCACGGTCCCGACCGCACTATACCATACGAGGTCACTCTAAAAGCTGTTAACGAACTGTACAAAGAAGGGTATTTTAAAGCTTTTGGCATCAGCAATTATATGTCGTCAGTATCTTTCAATGTGATTGCCAATCCTAGGTCCTAATCCCCTCTTGCATAGTTGGGAAGTAGCGCAAATAATGGAAATATGCAGGTCAAATGGGTATATCCAACCTACTGTGTACCAAGGCGTTTACAATGCGATACAAAGGTTTGCTATTGAGTATCTCGCCTTCTGTTGTGCTTATACAGGTGGTCCATAGAACCGTAGAACCGGAACTGTTCAGCTGCTTACGCAAATATGGTATAAGCTTCTACGCCTTCAGTCCTCGTACGTACTTCCCCTGTAGTATTGCTACGCATGAGCCTGAGCCATTTGATTTAGTTGCAGGAGGCTTCTTTACTGGTCGGTACATCAACCAAGACGATCAGGCTGAGGCAGGTAGCCGATTTGATCCTGGCAGAATCCAGGGCAAGGTCTTTTCTACTTCTCTGCTTTATCTTGTCTTCAGAGCTAATTTTGTACTTCGTAGTTCCATCGTAACAGGTAAACTTCATTTAAGGATAGGAGGTTTTGCATTTGACACAGTGCAGGTATTGGAATAACACCTACTTTGCTGCTGTCAAGTTGGTCCGCGAGGTTGCTGAAGCGTACAATTTGACGGTGCCTGAAGTGGCTTTGCGGTGGATCTCTCACCACAGCTGTCTGTCTCGTGAAACTGGCGACGCAGTGATTATCGGAGCATCTAGTGCGAAGCACACGGAGCAGGTATGGTCATGTACATAATTTCTGGCTCAACACATACGAATCGATCATTTTCAGAACCTTTTGGATCTCGAAAAGGGCCCTTTACGTGAGCTCAACACAGCTCTTACTATTTTGTCGTACGACTAAACTGTTCTTCACAGCCGATGAGGTTGTGAAAGCCCTGGATGATGCTTGGCTTTCTGTCAAGGCCATCTCTGCCAATTACTGGCATTAGATACAAAGTAACATAAATTAGCAACATTTGTGCCCCGGATGTACTATACTTGAGTCAACCCGTAGGACTAACAAGAGATTTCTGGAGACAAATGTCTCGCATGCATCGACTATCGGACATCCACCATTGACCTTCGCCATTTTGAGGTCAATTCATCGACCTTCAGCAATACCCCTGCTGCAGCCCTACGCAATCGAACCTCATGCCCTCCCCCGCCACCTTCTACCAGAGTGCCCTTCTCAAGTAGCTCAAAAATCCTCCCAGCCCACTCTCCAGCACCCAACAGTAGTGTAGTGTGCTCAAGCCCGAGCGAGCGTCCCCCATCAAGCTCGAGACAACCATCCAGGACAATCAAAGAAAGTTCAAGAGCAGCCGTGAGGACCGAAGCTTCCTTTCCCCGAGCTTCCCCAGTTAGTCCAGTCGAGTCCGTGTCATCATTAGCAGCCCTTGAGATCGGTCGAGTCCCCAAGGTGACCGCGAGCTCCAGTGCACCTGGTGCAATAATAGACAACCATTGCGGAGCATTCTGTGCTGCATGTACCAGCAACGCCAGAGAGCTCATGAATTGTGACAGAACAACGGCGTTGAGGACAAGACCTGTGCCAGCACCGTGATACCGATACAGAGCATCACGGTGTGCTGTTCTCTCCTCGCGTGTCTGTTCGTTGCGGAGGAATGCCCAGAAACGGTTGATAAATGGCATGATGAAGTATTCAGCTGCGACGTCTATAAATGCAGTTCGGTGAGGTTGCGAAATTTGGCCTGGCAAGAGAGCTCGACTTCGCCTTTCTGCAGGCGACACTTCAGCAACTTTGGGAGATTTTCTTATGCGCAACTGCCGTTCTCGTACGAACTCTGGCACTTTGTCGGCGGTAGCTTCTTTTCCTCTGTCAATTGCTGCCCGTGTGACACCCTCAAGCAAGCCTTGAACAGTTCCATTGGCTTGACCATCGACAGTGAGATATTTCTGATGAAGGGCAGGAGGCAAAGTTTTGCTAGGAAATGCGGTGCGTTGATTATTAAGAGGCTGCAAGCTTGCAGAATGGACGGGGAGCGACGCCAGTTCCCGTGCTCCAAGTACAAGGCCGTTAAGTATGACAAAGCGTTGCTCAGTAGAATACTGATTGCTGAAAAATTCTTCGATGATGCACCTGTGGGGAATTTCATCATACGTGTTTGTCGACCATAGCTTGCAAAGAAACTTACCCAGTAGAGACTCGAGGGCAGCACGCTACCAGAGCATTGATGGTACGCTGGCGCTTGTTCTCGAAGGCGTCAATTTCGAAGTTGTCGTTCAGCGAAGTGAACCCATAAACCAAATTAGCAGCGTTTTCCTCTGCGTAGCGGTCAGTTCTTGAAGTATGTAATGCCATGCCGAACCCACCAAGTTCACTCCCATAATCTCTCTTTTTCCTGATTAGCTCTTCTGCAACGTTAAGGGCCATTTCGATTTTGTCGGCTTCCTGACTCTCTTCGCCGGGCTTCACTCTAGCGTTCCGCACCATCTCGCCTAGTTGCGCAAGGTACACAGGTCGTGGAATTTTCTTGACTCCAACACGTAAAGTGGGATCTTTCTCCATCTCGTCGAGCTCAGAGGGCGTGGGTGATGCGGAACGGGAGGAGGTTGGCGATGCGTAGCCTGTAAGTGAGTCGTCCGAGTCGTAGCCGGTCGCGACACTAGCCTTTGTGAGTTTCAATGCTGACATTTTTGTATCTTCCAGGACACCAGCAGTAATAATCTCTTCTGTTAGGGCGTTCTCCTCCGTGGCGGCCTCCAATTCATCCACTGCGCAGGGGTCAAAATCAATGTCTCGAGCCGAACAAAGTGCTCTTAGGTCTCTGGCCCAGGGCTTCCCGTCGGCGTCTCCATCCCAGTCTCCGAAATCCAAGCTCTTGCCTGCACGCGTTGCAACCACTTCAGCTGCCAGCATCCCACATCGACGAATGCTATGATCTAGATGACTGATATATTGACCAACTGCTGTCACGAAGCTAGGCGAAAGCGCAGCTGATACCACATATTCTGATTGATGAGGGAAATACGATACAATGAGAAGTAGCAGTGATGTAACATCTGATCCATGTGAAGTGATCAATTACTGAAATCGACTTTACAACAAGATAGACTCACAACGATGCCGCAACAGCAGTGAGTGCTTGATGTGCTCTGAAGTGCACCACATTTCCAAAGTACATGACAATAAAGCCTGGAGTGCTGGAGCATCACGGTTGACATGTGTCCACGAGAGTCTGATCAAAACACTGACCTTTAGAGTTTATTGGACCTATTTTTGCACCGGCCGCCCAGCTGACGAAAATCCTGGCATGGCTCTCTTTCCAATCGCGGGATAACACAACACCCAATACCGCATTCCATACATCTGATTCTGGCTGGAGAGTTCCGAACATGGCGCGAAGCAATAAGGATTCTTGCACGACAATGCCTCTATCTTGCGCAGTAACACTTAAGTTACTAGGTAACTGCGCCAGAGAAGAACACAATGAGGCGAACATGGTCTGCTGGGCAACCGTGGATGGGAGATCAATGAGTACATTCGTCCAGAACCTGGAGTAGCTGTGGTCATCATCCAGTTTAAACTTCGTGCGGATTGTGACTAGCGTGGAACGAAAGAAGGATGGTTGGGACAGTGGTAAGAACGATGAAGATGGAAACACGCCGACATTTACGAGTTTTATCAGAAGTTGTGTGACAGACATTATCCTATCTGAACATACGTCATACGTATATCAGATATAACATGAAAAAAACACACCCTGCGACGGGGAACGGGAAAGAGTGGATATTAAACGTTCCGTACCGCTGCTGAAGCCATTAAAGTAGGTCGCGAGCTCAAGTTCTGGGGGCAAATCTCGCGTGCCAACTGCGTTGGCAGCTTTTAATGGGACTGAAAAAACGTTTTTGAGACAGTCATCCCATCTGACCGAATTCCTGGCTGATAGATCGTTGCCAGCGAAAGCAGCGGTATGAAGTCTGTCAATAGGATACTGAGTCGACAACTTGGCTAATAATCTAATAGATTCCTCTGTGAGCACTGAAGAGAGCAATGTGGAATAAGCGCAGAGCACCACATCCCCTGCAGCAGATAGTGCAAAAGAAAATGCATCGGGGCAGAAATATTGATCGGCGAGAAGCAGATGACCTTCATTAGCAAGGACTGTCGACCACGTAGGTAAAACTTGCTCAATTAACACTCTTTGAAGCGGAGGAAAGGCTTTGCCGATATCAAGGACTCGCGATCCTTGGAGCGGCTCGAGATTGAACCGGCGACATTGTGGCGGAAGAAGGCCTATGTAGTCCAAAGGTCGACAAAGTAACGACAAAAGAATTTGGAGATCAGATATGGGAGACTGCAGGCTATCGACTACAGATTTTATCTGTGCGAGGGTGTCGTCCTCCATATATAACATAGAGTCAGTGACTAACAATCACTGACAGCCAGTTTCACAATTAGGTAAACACTTAACATCAAGTCACGTGCAGCCCGGCCTCATGCACCGGGACGAGATCCTTCAACTTGTTGGCACTTGCTATGAGGGGAAATGTACGTGTAGGAGGCTAACGTTTGGTATGAACATCATTTTCAGTGCTCTCTTACCGCAGGCCGGCATGACGTTGAGTTCCTACTACAGACATACGCTCATTTCGGGCCCAATGCGCGCAAGTATCTCGTGATACTACGCGGACTCGGACGAGCTAGAGAACCCCATTATAATTTACGGAGCCCGCCTCCTTTACTGCGCGAAATAGAGACAAACCAGGTGATACCCGCGCAGAACCGCTTCCCTACCTGGTATCGCAGGTCACCAGCAATTTCTTTGCAGAAGGACTCGTCTCCATCGACCCAACCGCTGCCAGAGGTCGTCGGCAACCTTCTCTACTCACCCGACACCAAAGGGGGGGGGCGAGATCTTCTATCGTCAGGTTGTGGTGGCCTTCATGTCCAGATTGAGAGGGACTTTTGAGCTCGGGTGTCGGAGTACGCAGGCGGATTGTTAACCAGTCGATGAAGGCCTTTGCTGCGAGCCAAATTTGAGGTGCCACACGAGGTCCAGCAGAATACTTCACTTTCTGGGACACGCGCATGAAGTCATGTTCATGCAGTTGTACGACACATGATGACGTGCACTCTTCGAACAGCGCATACTTATAAGCAGTAGTGTTTCACCCTGTGGAAGAACTCGTCGATCAACTTCCCATTGTGCATTGCCAACTTGGCGCACCCCGCACAAAGACCCTGACGCGCAATTTGTCCCGACTGTGTGAACTAGGCGACGATGGGGCTGTGGAGTACATGTATACGGACGCCGGGAGCTCATTTTCTTGGAAATATGATGAGTTAGCAACCGATTGGACCGAGTGGACCATTTCCTAGGAGTGATAATGCAGGGATGTATTGTCAAATTCAATACTTTGGATCGCCTGATATACAAGGTGTGATGAAAAATGTCGCTTCATCTTTCAAGGGACCTTGCTTATCGACGAAAGTAAAGCATTGATAATGCAGAATAATATGAACTTCCTGAATGAGACGTAGGACTGCGAAAAACGAGTAGACCACTCAAGCCTTTCCATCGCCCTCTTCAACATTTTTCATACCTTCCCATACATCCTCTCCTTCCTGTTCATCCTCATTTACGGGGGCAATATCTTGCTCTTGGTCCCAAACAACAGCCGTCGGTATTGTTGTCATGAAAATGCGCTCTAAAACCGTGCCCTTCTTGTCAAGGTGCTGCCCAACTTTATCAGGAAGTTGGACAACACTGTGTATGCGTATATATCGATCTATCGATGCTGAAGCTAAATAGGTTGGGGATGCAGCCAGTGAGATGGCAGTGCCCGATAGGCCTAGGATACCAAAAAATCAGTCAACGAGAATTAGCAGGAAACGTAATCAGGAGAACAGACCTTTGTACCCATATGAGATACTCCCATTCCGTAAATCAACCGCATACACATTTGAGCCGTTGTCTGAGATGAAGGCCTCACTGATCATGTAGTGGTCAGCAAAGCCAATCAGAGGGTCGATCAAAGAAACACCGACTGTTCTGAAAATCCCTTCTCTACTGTTTTTATGCCACCAACCTTCCCTACTCCCTTAAATACAGCGACAGGTCGCCGCCCAGCACGTGTGTCGTAACGACGCATATCACCTAGACGTGTGCCTGCAAGAAGATGCTGTTGGCTCGTAGATGTTGATGGCGAGAGGTAGGTTAAACATGTATTGTGAACGGGCTGCCGCAGTCCGAGAAAATCATTTGGGACATTTTTGGCGCGCCAAATTTCCCCAAGAAAAAGTGTATCGCTTTGTTTCCGTTTTTTGCTACCGTTAACTGGTGCACCTTTTGCGAAACTTTCAGACGGACGGGAAAATGCACGCTCTGTATCCCAGAGAGATACTTCTACCTCGTCGCCTCCGTATGCAAACGTCTGTTGGTCATGTGAGAGACGCCAGTCGCATAGTCGAGACGGCAAGGCAGCAAGATTATGGCTAACACCACTATTATCATCCTTCAAAGTCGACATTAGCAGGGCGCCATTGGTAGTACAGGAGAATACAGAGCTTTGCCGCTTCAGAACCATCAAGCAAGTGACTTGAATACAAGAAACTCACCTGCCCGAAGCAGCAAGACCGATGAAAGACTGATCGCTTTTGATTCGAGTTTCCTTCCACTCTTGAAGTAACTCGAGTTGATCATCTTCATTCGAAGAAAAAATTGAAACCGCTCCATTGGCATGAGCAGCTGATAGCTATCCCTCAGCATTAGATGCTTTACTAATGCGAAGGGCTGTCTGGACGCACCAATGTCTTCTCCCCCGCGTTCAGCGCGAGTTTTTGAATGGCTTTAGTTCTGCCAGTGACAGTACCATCATGGAGAATTTTCAAGGTTGTTTTTGATTCCTCTTGCGAAGCTGGGTTGTACCCCACCGATTTTATGTTGCCCAGTTCATCACCGACGAGAAATCGAGGCATTATTGGAGTGACAGTACCAGCGCGTGACGATGTATATCCTGTGACTAATTACATAAATTACCATTTTTGTAAATCAGCATTTCGATAACCTCCTTACGCAGCTTAGCGCCAGCACTTTCATGGACGGGCCACTTAAAGAACTGTTTAAGCTCGAAAGGCTCACAGAGAGAGCTAAAGGGAAAACACCATCTATCGAGAACTCTTTGGACTCTCTTCTTCAATCTCTCCGAGAAGTAAAGGATCGCATTAATGCAGGGAGCGTTACAGAGGATACCTATGTCCTTCTAGCACAAACTGTCGAAGCAAAGAAGAAGGAAATAGACGAGAAGCAGAGGGAGATTTACAACGGAATTGCAAGACTTGGGAAGGCCCTGGATAAGGTCTGCATGTTCTCTTAATCCTCCATATCGGCGAACGTGAGCTCACACGACACAGAAATTCACTCAACCCCTTCCGACGTATGATCCTCTATTCACATCGAAGGATGCGCAAGCGGCTCTTGAGAGAACTATTGCCCTGCATTTTTTGCGCACCGGGCAGTTTTCAACAGCGGAGACATTTATTCAAGTAAGCAAATGTCGGGGTGTCTGAGATTTAGCTAAAATCGTTCCCAGGAGTGCAAGTTGGTCATCGAACCTGAGCAACGAACCAAGTTTCAGGACTTGCACCGCATAGTATTGGCATTAAAGAGACAGGATATAGGGCCTGCATTAGAGTGCGCCACGTTTCGTGGCTCCGACATTACCCTTTCTTATGTGCACTGCTTCTAGGTGGTCGCTGAAGAACCGCGATTTTCTCCGGAAACGATCGTCGCCGCTGGAGTTCTATCTGCACCGTTCTCAGTTCATCCGTCTCCTCTTGGCAGAACCACTAGATGCTGGCCCTGCCATATCGTACGCAAATGCTACATTGCGCAGCTTCTATCCAGAGCACGCAATAGAGTTTCAAAGACTCATGACTTCCGTTTTGTATCTCCCGAAGGAACGCCTCCAGCGGTCACCGTACGCAGACTTGGCTTCAGACTCGGTGCATACAGACCTCGAGCCACTTTTCGCCAAGGAATACTGCACGAATCTTGGCATGAGTCGACAAGTACCACTGAGAGTTATAGGTGATATTGGTGGTGGAGGCGCCCTGGCCAGAATTGAGAAAGCTCGGACGGTAATGAAAGAGCGCAAGAGTGAATGGAGTCAGAGCGACGAGTTGCCTGTCCGTACTTTTTCCTTTGTTGAAACCAATTTGTCTCATTGCATCTCCAGATTGAAATTCAGCTCGCACCAGAGAACCGTTATCATTCCATCTTTGCTTGCCCAGTATCCAAGGAACAATCTACTGAGCAGAACCCCCCGATGATGATGACATGTGGGCACGTCATAACGAAGGAAAGTCTGCAGAAACTGTGCAAGTCCAACGGGTACGTCGTTGTGCTCCTCGGGTTCTGGTTTTCTTGACTCATGATGGTTTCAGACGTGTCAAATGTCCATACTGCCCCACCGAGTCGACGCAGGCGAACGCTCACCACGTTTTTTTCTAGTATGTAAGGCTATTCACCATTTGTATTGTAATTTTTCTGTCATTGTGACATCTCTATTTTGTAAGTAAGTACTACAGGACTTGTATTATCAGAGAAAGTGTGGCACGACTAAGAATAATCAAAAGAGCGTCAACCTCCATCACGTTTCAAGTTTTGGGTCGACCCAGCGAGCCTGAATACAATAATTTCATTCGTACTCTTAGTAGGACACTGACGGACTCACCATCATTGTCAGAGTTTCCTCCCCTTCCTGGTTCGTGCTCTTTACTATGGTGCTTTCGTCAATGGAGGGCGTGTTCACAAACTTCGCGAGCTCGTCCAGCTTGGTAACGTCGATATGATACTGCTCTGCTAAGGCCTGAAGTTCTGCTTGAGATTTGACTGTTTTCCGAGACTCCAATAATTCGCTCAGCGATGAGGCCAGTAAGCGATTTCGAGTGGAATGTGACGGAGAAGCCTCCATTTCAGACTGAAGGCGAGAACGATGCATCTGCTGAACATAGTCTGTCTGTGAGGGAATCAATATAATACCCTAGTAAGCGCGGCACTCGGTACCGGACGGGTCACGCACTGGTCGGACGGACCGCATGTGGTGGTCGACGCGCACAGGGCCTAGCTGGTTTAGCTTGAACATAAACTGCGGGTCTTTTGCATCGGCCTCGACCGCTAGTACAACGTTTGAACAGGTCATAAGCATAAGTGACGCGAACAGCTCCGGCATAAGTACGCACCATCAGTCTTATTTTCAAACGCCAGTGGTCTTGGACGTCGTATTTCTTGAGCGCCGTCTGGTTTCAAGGGTGTACGAGAACCTGCCCATGATGGTTTTTCCTTGGGTAGCTTACGGGCTGCTTTAGATGAAGAACTGCCCATGGTAGACCTTGAAGCATGACATGACTGTCTGAATGATAATTGTATGTGATTGACAGTTGTTTACTAGTACATACTACCACTACACTTCTGCAGCCTCTCTCTCACTCGAACCGACATGCCAGCCAGGCTCCCCTGTAAAACACTCCCTGCTACTGTGCCTTACAAGCCCAGAAGCTTTTACATTCGACCCGGATCATATTGGTCTCGCGGAGTTGTAGAATGTATCGGCTTTTCTGTGCGCGTCGTACGTCGTTTTCAGCGGTTACAGCCAGTGTTTGCACAGTGAGCACTAAGCACTCTGAATTCTCCATCTTGCCTCAGTGTGTTACGCCTCAGTGACATACGGTTGAGAGTAGTGAAGCTCGCAGGACATTCTTGCAACTTGCAAGTGCTTTCAAGAACAACTGCAAAGGAAAAGGTTTCTCACAGAGCGCGATCAGGGCCGTAGTCGCGGTCCAGACCGTCTAGCTCGATGAAGAGACTGCCATTGTAGTACGGAATCAAGGCAGACGGGCTGCTGATCACCAGTGCACCACTGTGACTGAGGAGATCCTAATTCATTTCTCGCAGGCAAAGCCTGTTCGTCAGACGGAAGTTCTTGCTCAGACTATATTCATCATACCTTGATCTTCCTCACACAACCTACCTATACTTGGTGCGGACGTGCTCATAATTATCCGCCAAGCGTCCTGACGGACGACCAAGCATTTCTCTTGCCATCCTTTTCCAAGCGTGTGCGATGATGGAAAGGATCAGTGACACTTCCGGAATCGCTCTCTGTCATCGTCATTTGAAGGCCCACCCGATACCTCAAATTTCAAAGACAGTGCCAACGAACTGAGTATGTGATATAGTCAACTGCTTGGAAATATAGGCTAACTACGAAACTCGTCAACATAGCATGATAATTAGGACAGATGGATAGATTAATAACAGGAACACAGTCAAGCGTGTATGCAAGTGGCTTTTGCAGACCCAGGGTAAAATGCAACAACATCTAGCGTTCTCCTAATATCCACTGCTGCGCCCACGTCGACGACCTGTGCGTCTGCCTGAGCGACGTGAGCCGCAGCATCTACAACACAGGATATCGAGGATGACGTCAAATATTGTGACAATAACCTGTAGAATGGCGATAATCAGCGATGCTTATTACCAAGTAAACGATAGACATACAGTCGTGACAGCCCCAACGATGATCATTAAAACATCTGCAATGGCAAATATGATGGCGCTGATTCCACCGCCAATAGCTGAGATTATTGAGCCCTGTATAACAAACGATATTAGACCTTGTCTGGACAAAACCAGTCAGAAATAAAATACCATGATGAATAAGAGGTATGATCCACAAGTAAGTTGGATTGAAAGATATTGGATTCTACCTGTCCTTGGCTTCGTGCTTTATATAAACTCTGGCCAAATGACGTATGGAACCAGCTGGAGAATGATCACTACATGACATCACTGCTCTTGCTCCAGATTGGGACCTTGTCCCGCATATATAAAGACACCGGGTGATCAGGTGGTTCCACACTAGGCTCACATAGTAAGCCCTAGGGCTTGTAGCACTTCCTACTACGCTAGTAACACGTGGAGCCGGGTGTGCATGTGCCACATCATGACATCAATCGCGATACTGAATTCGATAGCAGCCGCGGTATCGGGGCAGTCGGCTCCAGTCAGTTCAATATTGATAAAGACGTCAGTGGAGTGTCAAGAGGCTTGAGTCATTCCTTGGTGCACGACTGAGGAGGCAAACGACACCCCGGTATGCCTTTGCCAAGTAAAGACTCTTTTCAGGACCCGGGTGACTTTGGAAGCGCAGACACCATCGTGGTGAAGGCAGTGGTCAAGTTGTCATTATGATGCTGCGCAGCTCGCGCATGATCACCTTATGTTATGGTCTTGGCGGTGAAGGATCAGAATCAGCACTTTAGTGGGAGAGTATGTAAGTATGGGTACATTGGTGGGATTGCACAACAGCACTGTATAGATATCAAAACGAGCAACAAACTAATTCTACAACAATAATTTCACATAGAGCCAAGGACTTTGAACGCACCATTCGTCATCACGCGTGCTGTCTTTCCCGTATGCACCCAAGCATTTTTCTCGCCAGCCTCTCCATCAGCCGACAGCATGTTACCAACTGATGGTCCTCGAACCAAGATTTCGCCAATGGGGTCCGCACCCTGTTCGACTACGTTGTCTTTGACACTGATCAGTTTTGCCTCAACATTGACACTTGGTGCCCCAACATGTGCAGGTTCGGTAGCTGGAGACGAGGAAGGGAGCATCTGCAGATCAAATGCATGCGTAGCGAAGAGAGGACCAGTGGCAGATCCATGCGTATATGTGTTAATCAATGGGATGGAGAGCGCCAAGCGAGCAGGCACCAGCGCGTCAGACGGTAAAAGTCCTATAATTGGATAAATATCTACTGTCGTCAGGAATGGAACAAAACACACCGCCGCTGATCACAACCGCCTTCACTGTGTCAGCCATTTTCCCAAGTACATCTTCCCGCGCGCTACCGAAGACAGTACGGTCCCATAGACTGTCCTTGGTAACGAATCCTTCTGTAAGGCTAGCAAATTTGTGCCGCCATGCCAGGGGGAACAAGAAAGACTTCTTCGCACGGTCTATCACCGAAGATGTAAGCGATTGAACATGTTCGGGCTTGAGGAAGAGGACTGTAGGAGAAGGTATCGGGAACTTAGTTGCAGAGAGGATGTCAGCTACATCTAGAGCCGGTGTATCTGTGCATATGCCGTCAGATTTTGAGATGTATAGACTCCAGTTCAAACGTACCGCCATCATGGAAGGTACCTGTCGAAGGTAGAGTTGCAAAACTAGCGCCCTCGAAAAGAGCTGCGTAAGCAATGGCACGTCCGTATGGAGTGCTCAGGGAATGGCTAGAGACTATGGTGTCTAGAGTAGAAATATTAATGGTCGAGGGGAAGAGTGCCTTGATCGCGGTCACCCCGGAAGTGAAGTTCTCGTGCGAGAGTTGTACACACTGCACCCCACCCGATGGAGTCTCGAAGAATGAGACGGTGTATGCGCTACCGGGCTCTGAACAGTAATCAGGACAATGGGTGCGTAGAAATACAGAGACATACGAGGAGCATTTTTGGGGGCTTGAGGTACCTTGCCCTGAGATTCAATATCATTCCAGGAGTGTATCAGGATCTCCGAAGGTTGAGACCAGTCAACCACAATAAGCGCGTGATTGCGCTCGTGTGCATCACTAGTGGCCTTAAGAACGTGCGGCAGAAAAGTCTTGTCTGTGATGATGGCATTGGGCGGGTGCATCTCAAGGACTCGTGCGAGTAACTTGGGGGAGCTCAGAGTAATGGAAGCAATGGACTGCTCCGAGAGTGCGAGGTCAGTGATAATGAACTCTAGAATGCACGCCGATTTGAATTATTCTCAAAATGCGCCAAACGAGATGAAGCGCACCGATGCAATCATTAAGCAATATCAAGACAATTGAATCCTCTGGGACAAGCTTAGCGATCCCCGAGCCAAAAGCTGAGACTCGCGCTTTCAGCTGAGTATTTGTGATCTGAATGTGAATACAACGCAATGAGCTGTCTGTTCATTATCTATGAAAAGGCAGTCGAACGTACTTTCGTAGACCAGAGAGTACGCGGTGCATCAAATTCAGGTTTCACGAAATCAGTCACAACATTCACGTCTTTGTCAGGTCGGACAGGAAACTGTGAGAGGTTCAACGAATGCCTAACGCAAAGTACCCAAGTCTACGAACCCTGCCCATAAGCCCCGTCCCATAGTTGCGGTAAACCGCACTCTCGCCTGGATTCCTCACACGCCCGGCATCACTTTGCCGACCTAGGAGAATTGGATGGACGAGAGGCTGTGGTTTGTAGAGGTTCTGGAGGAGAAATACAGACACCCCGATGAAGCCGAGAAGAACGGTGAGATCGTCTGTGACCAGGTAGTCTGAGATGGTCATAGTGACCAGAATAAATTGAGATGGAGGAGAGCTAGCTGTAAGAAAGGCGTTTGCAAGTCGACGTGTCAGCGACGTACGTATACTACTTACGCTATGCAGCTGGCATCATCAATTACTTGTTCAACACTAGTCCTTCCTCATTACAAATCTCGGATTCTCACGTTTACAAGCTAGCTATAACTTGAACGCATACCGAATGGATGATCAATCGATCATGTATGCATGACCAGTTAGTTAAGCAGCTAATGCTACGACTAGTAGGTCCAAGTCATGCATATGCTTGGGCCATTGCTTAGCCGCATTCATGATGAGAATCGCCGCCCAAGCTGCAGATTCAACGATGCACTGCGTATAACTTCAACTTTGCCCCAAATGATTCTATTCACCAAGTAAAACTTTCTCCCGACTACGCGTTATCTATCTATCGATCTCTCACTGTAGGTGACTCGGACCGCTTTACCAAGTCCACATTTCTTGGGTCTTGTGCAAGAATGTTCTTGCGACAGGACGAATATCATATTGTCGATATTCCGCCACGGGGCGGGTCAGTGCACCTCGTCCGTGCACATTGATCATCACGTGACGTATATCATATCCTTCGGATCTCCCCCTCTTCAACCATCTCTTCCCCCATCTGCGTGTCTTTTTTAAGCACTATACTCAGTCACAGTCTAATTTTGTGTTCGCCCCTTGTCGCAATGTGCGCTACTACGAAGAAGTTCTCGACCAAGGCCGCCGAGCCTAGGCCTAGCGCTAAATCTACCCGGGAAGCGACAGTTTCAAAGTCGCGCCATTCTACGACCCATCCCCCTTGGATTGACATGATTACCGTGGGTCACCGTCATTCTAAATACTGCACAAATTTGTCTTGGATGATGTGCGCTTATCTGTGTTGTGTGAAAATAACCCCTGTCCACAGGAATGTATCACCACAACACCCGATGGAACCCGCCACGGCGTATCGCGTCCAGCGATTAAGAAAGTAAGTACACGATCAATGTTACAGCCTCCTGCATAGTTACGTCTGATGTTCTGTAGTTCGTCGACTCAAAGTACCATCTCGAAATAAATCCTTTAGCGTCCAGCCAGCTTAACCGAGCAATCCATCATGGCGCCGATAAAGGGACCTTTGTCCTGCCAAAAGGCGAGCCTCCCTTTATCACGGAGCCTTTATTATTTTACGCGATTCCATATAGGTCCTTCCGGGAAAGTTAAACTTGCACCTCCCAGTCGGAGGCACACTGAGGCGGCTAAAGAGGTGTGTCACGCTGGTCTCCTTCTTGCCACCAGTTTCCACTTTACTTCAACTGGCCACTCATTTGGTAGAACGCAAAGCCAGGTTCAAAACGTTCCACCGCTGCCAAAGAAAGTCACGTCATCCCAATCAAGGCAGCTACTAAAACCGCGGCGAAGAAGACATCTCGTGCCGCGAAGCCGGCGGCTACCACCGTACCCGCCACACCGCCAAAGTCAAGAGCTGCTGAAAATAAATATCACTCCGCTGCAAAGAAAGCTAGGACGACTGGTTCCTCCACTCGCAGGACGGTCGAAAGAAAGACCGCTACTGCACAAGGGACAGCTAAGAAGGTATATGCACAATTACTAATATCAATACGAGTGTTAATCTTTGACACGTGGTGGTTGATCAGACTGCCACAGGAAGGTCAACACCATCAAAGATCAGGCGGGGAGCAATCTCCGCGAAGAGGACTACGAGGGCCACAGCTTCGAAGCAGAGGGCCCGGAAGACTTCTCGCAAGTGACGCATGTTATTCATGGTAGGATCGGATTCAATACTTATGTCACTATTGCTCACCTGGTATGGTCATATTGTTAGATTTCAGGCTCTTTCTGGCGAATCATGGCTAACGTCTTGATGTCTCCTCAGAAACACGGTTTTTCTTCGCTGCTTTTTGTCTCATGTTCCAGTTTGTTTTTCGTTCATCTTGCTGTTTTTACCTCTTGGATGTACCTCCGCGACGTGCCACTCATGCTTGCCTACGAGTTTTACTTCTAACGAAACATTACGTCTATCTCATTCTACTATGCCCTATCTTATCGTACGCTATCTACTGTCAGTTGCCCTGGTCTGAGTCCAGTTGTACGTATCATCTGAAACAACAAATGTCAGCCTGGTTGCTCAGGAACATGGAGTTGTGTGAAAGTCGGCCTGACGTCAGAACTTTATACTTGGAATGTGGAGAATTTTCCAAAGCCGGCGATAGTGACCAGTTGGCGTCTGTATCTGTGACATACTGACAAGCATAATCCTGATTTCATGTCAGAATTCATTCATGTGTGCATTGTTTTTTCTCTATTGTCTACCGGAGACTGTATTGTACATTTAAATTTACTTTCGAAGTATGATATTACCTCGTGATCGAGCTAGTGGCTGGATGTTGCAAGGCAACCTCATGTTTTTACTGCATGACACGATCGGCCTGGGAGGCGAGTACAATGGCTGTTCCTGATTTTGATTCCGCTACTTGTGGCAGCCTGTGGCAGTGCCGAATTTCCCATCTTAATAAGGTTTCGGAACGCGTTTTGTTTATCAACAAACAGGCAGACGCGCCCACACGTGACTGAACGCGTTTTGGGTATAAATGTGGATAACTTGACTTGATTGCCTACTCCATCTTTTGTCCCCTCCACGCTCAAATTCTGCGGATTTTGCATTTCATCGTCACACATCTGTTTTACTTAGATCGCACTCAACAGTAGCAATGTCCTCCAACACTTCAGCTTCTCCACCCCCTATTGAGACTCTTCCTGCCTCTTCTTCCAAAACCAAGAAGACAGCAGCAAAGAAACCTGCATCCAAGAAGGTTCCCACAAAAGCTGCTCCAAAGGTCGTCTCCCACCCTTCTTGGAAAGATATCATCAAGGTTTGTCGGTGCAATCGCACCAATACAGTTTTATAACTTTATCATCAGGCATGCATCACTGCTCACAAGGAGGACGCTCGCAGTGGCGTATCAAGAGCAACTATTAAGAAGGTGCGCATACATTTTATGTCTGTTTGGTAATAACTAATATTGTATGACCTGCAGTTTGCCGAGGAAACCTACCGCCTCGAGGTATCTGGTACAAACTTGTACCAGCTCAACCGCGCTATCGCATCTGGAGTCATGGCGGGCGTCTTTGCCTTACCAAAGGGTCCTTCTGGCAAAGTCAAACTCGCACCTAAAAAGAAGGCATCTGATGATGAGGTATGTGGTAGTAATGACGATCTTGTTTTATAGCGCTCACTCACATGCCTTAGAATTCAAAGCCTGTACCTGTAAAGAAGGCAGTTGTGAAGCCTGCGGCAAAGCCTGCTTCAAAGAAGGCCCCTGCTCCAGTCAAGAAGCCTGATGCTCCAGCCAAGAAGATTACCACGAAGAAGCCCGCCGCCGCATCCAAGGCGAGGAAGCCCGCCTCACAGAAGACCACCCCAGCTGCCACCAAGAAAGCTGCCACAGCAGCAGCACCGAAGAAGGCTGCCCCAAAGAAGGCTACCGCCGGTGCTCCTACCAAGAAACCCGCCGCGAAATCAGCCGCACCTGCTAAAAAGGCATCCAGCGCGAAGACGTCAGAGAAGAAGAAGGTAGGCTAACGAGTTGAGTTTATGTTTGATCAAGCTCACTTTACCCTAGGTTGCAGCCAAGGCTGCAGCTACCAAGGCCGCCAAGAAGCCTACCTCGAAAGCAAAGCCAACTTCATCACGAACCAGAAAGGTAAGCTCTTGTGCTGGTCTGTTTGCTTATCAGAATTCATATCGTCGCTTTCCCAGGTTTCTGCTTAATGATATCCTGTACCACATTGTCTAGACTCGGTTTCTCTTCCATTTGGTGTGACATTAGCGTGCTCCTGTATTTTTGATACCTACTTTATTCGTGTACAACTACTAGTATTGCATATCATTTCATTGAGACTAGCGACAACTCACTTGAGTTACAATTTCCTTGCTGAAGCCAGACCGAAGGGGTAGTATTCACTAGTGATAGTCAGATAGTTACTAGTCGGGCTCATAGTTAGTATATGCCCTCTAGTCTCTAGATGCGATCTGTAACCTTAGCGTGAAGATCAATCAAAACTGTTCATTGGTCGAGTGTTGAAAGTTGCATTAGTAGTGGGCTACCTACGTCACGAACAGGTAGCCGTTCTTTCTCCCTTCTGATTTTCTCGACCTAGGTGAATGTCATGATGATGGTGACTCTTCATCATACAAGCCATCTCAGGTTATACCTCCAGCGTGGCTTTGCATTTCCTTCCTACGAGAATGCCCTATGATAACAAGTGAGTTCATCTTGAAACCCTTCGTTCCGCGAGAGCTAAAATCGAATTGTGAAAATCAGAGTATCTGGAAGAAGTGGAAGTGCACTAACAATTACTACTTTGCGCTGAAGATCTCGGCGATATAAACGACCATCTGGACCTGTAAAAACGTACTTCTTGCCAAAGTTTCGAAATTCACAAAGATGGTCCTAAACTCATGGTAGGTTGCCTTGACGAGCAGCCCCTAGCTGGAATGAAATTCTTTGGAGTCTTTACTTCAGTTCCACGCAAACGAATTTACCAAGACCACGACCCCGTCGTCGTAGTGCAGTCAAATAGTAAATCATTTGTATTTGCTGGTTGGTGATGACGGTCTTGCGAACGTCTTCAGTCGAGAGAGTGAACGTAATCGTGGGGGTGTCTGTGGTTTAGCTGACTGCGCACATGCCTTGACCTTTTAAAGGATGAGATCTAGCCTCTGTCACCGCCGAGACTGTGGGTATCGCACCGCATCCACATTGGTCGAGTGATAGTGCTTCGCACGTCTAAGTAGGCGATACCCGTCTTCAGAAAAAAACAATGTGTGCATACACACCTTTCTCCAGGAGTCCGAACTTTAAAGGCGAATGGCTTGTGATGCATATCTCAAGGCGATGCTAGAAAGGGACTAGCCAAGAAGGTGATGACAATTAAGCAAGGCACGGGCTACCCAAACCTACATCTAAGTTCTTAGTTAGGGTCGCTGCGGTCGTCCATAATTACAAATCATTAGCGCTGCTGCGGTCGGTGGAGTTTGGCTGTGCGACATGAGAGTAAAAACTTACCTTTCCGCGAATGGAACATCGTTGGTAAGTACCAGGTCCAAACATAGTCATGTGTCAAATGAGTGAGCAATGGGCTCTGGCTGGTGTGCACATCGTCGTGCGGAACCGGCCGTTCTGGCATGGAAAGAAGCTAACAAACTTTCTAGATTCTGAAACCGAACTTTCCTTTTTCAAATCTCAAGGGTCAGAACCTAATCTCCTTCTGCATACATATAGCCTAGTAATACTTGGGATCAAAGTTACGGTTCGAGGGAACTGCTCAAACTCACCGTCGTTGGCTAAAGGAATGATCGATTCAAATAGCTATATCATAACACTACACCTTTCCGGAATGTGCAGATCAAAACAGACTTGCCGCCCAGGATTTCGTCATCTTCCCGCAGACTGTAAGTATTAGTACTTGTAGGAAAAGCTTCTTACCACAAAGGGTATCGATCATAACACAGCACTGAGCTCCTCGACTGCGTTTCATGGATCACCGGCACCCCCCGAGGCCGCGGCTCTTCTCGAGGCACTTCCAGACCTTCTTAACGTAGATGAACGTCATGGTGACGGTATCTATCATATGAGCCGCTTAAGGTGATGCTTTCCAGCATGGCATTATGGTTCCTTCCTATAATTCCGAGAGTCGCTCTATGAAAATGAGGGTGAAATTCGAGTCGTCATGCGAGAAACGGAGCAAGTGGAAGTGTACCGGCGATAGGGACGGCCGCCGCATCTGGTCCTGTGGAGACGCGCTTTCTACCAGAATTGTATTATGACGGCCCGGATTACTCACCGACCCCATCAGGATAGCCTAGCCTCTCTTCGGAATGGTCTGTCACAAAAACGAAATTTTGAAGTAGTAGTAAATGCGTGCCACTCGATCTCTCCCAAGACATGATCGAACTGGTCATGCATATCATACGTCGTCATTCGGCGAATGGTCGATGCCGATTCGTAGTTGACTCGATCTGAACGGAGTGAAACATTTGTCTTGTAAACGATTTGCTCGTCGGTGATATGACTCGGACGGCATTGCGAGCAGGTTCGGTAAAGTGAGCGACATTATCGTGGGTATCTGCAACTGTCGCTTGTCGTTCCTGTGCTGCCTGATAACGAGTTAGGCGCTGACTACACAATGGGGCGCAATGCCAGCGCTCCGCCACTGAGCCAAGTAAAGGCAAAGGATCGACCGAAGGCTTCCAAAAGAACAATGATGCAAGACTGCATCGCCAAGTTTTGGCCAAGTCTCTGCTTATGGCATGAATAGGTGCCACACACTTATATAAGTGATTTCTTGCAGAACATTCCAAATTCACAACGTAAAACACGTTCTACCCAATCATCCATGACCACTTCAGAATCTTCACCACTACTCGAAAATGGCGGTCTTTCAGGTCATAGAAATGTCTCTTTGACTCGTCGCGTTGTCAATTTCATGAAAGGCGACGGTGAGCCGTCATGGGCAGAATCTTTCAAGTTCTTTTTTTTTGGGACATGGTTCAATATCCTCCTCGTATTCATACCCTTGAGCTTCATATCTCACAACTTGGGCTGGGATGCTGGCCTAATATTCTTGTTCAGCTTTATGGCCATCGTTCCCTTGGCTAAGGTGATAACCACCCCTAATCATAAATTATCGGAAGACTGACATTGTCGTTTTTAGTTGCTGGGCGAGGCTACAGATCAACTGTCTATTAAATTAGGACAAACTATGTCAGGTCTCCTTAATGCATCCTTTGGGAATGCCGTAGAAATTATCGTCGGCGTTGCTGCTTTACTCAATGGTTTGTCCAACACTCAATAGTTCAAGTTGTTTGTAAACTCACGATGATACCAGGCCAACTGCGAATCGTCCAGACGTCTGTGAGTATCTTTATACGGGCTCTGATTGCGATATATTGATGCTGGCTTAGATGCTTGGATCGATCTTATCAAACATACTACTCGTCCTCGGTTGTTCGTTTCTTGCCGGTAAGGAGCCTCTGTTTTTGAAGGAGAGTGTGCTCACTTGACATAGGTGGATTATATCATCAAGAAGGGATTTTCAATGGTACTGGGGCTCAGGCGTGCGTTCTATGTTTTCTTCCCCTTAAACCCTTTGTTGAATTACAATGATATTTAGATCTGCCTCCGTAAGTTACCTCCCCTATCCATCGCTATGATAACTAACCAAGCCTAGCTTATGACTCTATCGTGCATCAGTACGAATACTTTCTCCAACTTGAAAGTTTTGCTAATATTCCATAGCGCTTGTTATTCCTGCAGCCTATGCAAGTACCACAGAAGCTGGAATGGAGAATTATTGCGATGATTCTTCTGAATGTCCTACTGCGGGTCTACTCTTGATTTCCAGAGGAACTGCCATATTACTCCTGGGAGTCTACTGTGCCTACATTTGGTTTCAGGCATGTTCTAATATCTTTCTCTTTCTTACCTAATGTACTCATCCAAGCGTTCAGTTAAAATCCCACCCCAAACTCTTCATTACGCCTACGGATGAATCAAACAATGAGGAAACGGAGGAAACAGTACCTCGTATGGGAACAGCCGCTGCCGGTGTTGCGTAAGTTTGGTTTTATCATTTGCTACGCTACATTCAGCACTTATCCTTATTCCTCAAGACTTTTATCGGTAACTGTGGTCATCGCATTTTGTGCTGAGTATCGTAAGTCTACCACTTTGTTCCCTTGGTCTGATGTCCGATTGTTCAATCGTGTCAGTGGTTTCCTCCATTGAAGAAACTGCAGTGCGCTATTCCATCCCGAAGGTCTTCATCGGTGTTGTCTTATTGCCGATTGTGGTATGTTTCAAGCAGCATCTGGCCAACTGTCTCCCAACATCGTCTGTAGGGCAATGCTGCAGAACACGTCACTTCAGTCTGGATGGCAATGAAGAATAAATACGAGCTCACCATCACCATCTGCATTGGGAGTTCAATTGTAAGTGTAGATTTATAGTAAGCTTGTGATGTGCTGACTATGGATCAGCAAATTGCCTGTTTCGTAGTGCCACTTCTTGTGATCGTCGGTTGGATGTATGATCATGTATTGCATCTAGGGAGGCTTGCTCACTTTTTTTTTGTTTAGAGTCGGTCAACCTTTGACGTTGCACTTCCACAACTTCGAGGTCTGTTTGTTCAGAGCATATTCCGCATGATCATAAGTATCTGACGAATTTTCAGACAATCGTTCTTTTTGTATCTGTCTTCCTTGTCAACCTATTAATCATGTTAGTTTCCCTCATATATATCAGTGCCATCGAAACTGAACTCACTTGTTTCAGGGACGGAAGATCGAATTATATGGAAGGTCTCATGCTCCTTACCCTCTATTTGGTCATCGCCATTGCATGTGAGTCGCGCCTCGAACCCTTTAATCACATTCTGATCGTATTATAGTTTGGGTAACCTGAGATACCATTTATGATCGTGATTATTGGCGGACAATATTTTCTGACGCCTCTCCCTACTGTTCTCTCCTAAGTCCCTTTGACGGCGGGGGGCTAAAGCAGCTACCAACAAACTGATTTCTGTGCCACCTATTTCTTTCTGTGCCACCCTATTTAGGCATCACTTAAACATATGTAGTAAATTATCGAAGGGAAATCAATAATAACCCGCAAATGTGACCGTTCACTTTTCTGAGATAAGGCTGTCTCCCTGAAGTTCTTCGAATTTCTTGCGCGCCATGCAGATGTTCATCTTAATGGCTGCCGTCTCTGTATGCGTGGATGTGAGTGAGCTGAAGCCGACCATTTAGTAGGAACTGACTGACCGATAACTGGGTCATGGACTACAACCAACACGTAAGTATTTTTGGTCATTTCATCAAGCACAGCAGTGAACTCTGCCAGTTCCATTTCAAGAGAGCGGAATTCCTCCCTGAGCCGTGAGCATGACTGTTTGAAGGCTTTGATGAGTTCTGAAGTCCTTTCATATCGCTTTGGATCCAGTGCGTGAAGGACAACAGGGCCGGAGGGGAAAGCATCAGAGGAGTCCGTTCGCGATGACGTTGCGATGACGAGGAAGGTGGTGCGTTCAAATAGTATCACCTCAGTCGCACTGCAAGCTTCAGCGAAGATACGGAGGTGTTTCGAGAGGTTACGAGCGTTGGGAATTAACGTGTTCACAATATTTGACCATGCCTTGCGCAAAACTTAGTGGTAAATCGATCGGAGAAAAAGAGGAGTTCACGATACCTTGTAAAGACTCTCGTCATAGATACTCGTCCCAAACACCTTCACTGATGTCTCGCCGCTGGCTTTCTCAAGTTCTGCTACCTTGCGTTGCACGACGGCATTCCGTTCGGTATCCCTCACCAGGTCTATTTTGTGCACCAAGAGAAACACGTTGGCGTCCTTGCTGAACTGCGATAATCCATCCAGGCAATCTCGATAGTACTCTAGATCCTTCTCCATTTCACGGGACTCGACGTCGAAGACATAAATCATGACCCCGACGTGCGAGAAGATGACTGAGCGTTGCGTACTCAAGTATGAATCCATGAATGCATCTTGTCCACCACAGTCCCAAAGATTGAGAATGAGATCGCCCAGGAAGCGGACATGATTCTGCTCGACGTCAATTGTTGCACCAAGACGGGAGGTGAGGGACGCTGGGTTATTGGAGCTGAGGAGCGTTGAGCTTGTCCAAGTGAGGCTGATGGTGGTATCTTACAATATCATGGACCGCATTGAAGTCTTTCCACTGCCAGACGCTCCCATTAATAGTACCTAAAGTTGCACAATGACTATCCTGCACGGCAGACGTAAGAGCTTTGCCCACTTTTTTCTTCATCTCGAAACGATATTGCTTGACGAGTTGATGGTATGATATCCCTTCGGAACGCTATAATTGGCACTCCACAAAAGTCGGCAGTCACGTCACACAGGCCAGTTTCAAAATCAGCTCGGCAAGTCAAGCAGGTCCTTGGAGCCAGTCAATGTCACTTTCACTTCAATTTTCATGGCGACCAATCACTAATCATTAACAGTTCTGAATCATATAGTGGTGCGTTTTTGTTGTATTTTCTTGTGAAAAAATCTCGTCACGAGCCTGTCTTTTCCGAGTTCTTCTCAAGTACTATGAAGGTGAGGGTTGTGTGTACAAAGTATTGACGAAGCTGAACACTGTTAAGATTGTATCTCGGTCTCTCGGAGGGTCACGGTTACGATTATTGATTCGGATTCTTTTTTCGCTGTATCTGAGCTTATTGTCTTTGTCTCTGCGGCGACATATGCATCTTATCACGTGTTCTTGCGTCACAGAAAATCGTCCATGTAATATTGACCTTGCTTCGCAAGGTAAGTTATTTTCTACAGAACACTCTGCCCACTAAATTTGTGGGTGTCGGGGATCTCGGACTCATGAATTTACTGATGCAGGCGCTTAGTATAAGAGACGTTTTACGGATCTTTGTGACCACCCCGGAATACAGATATTCCGTCACTTCCGAATGATCAAAATCACTTCGATCCTCGTGTACACGTGTATGCCTCATATGGCATGCAACTGCGTATACCCATTGCCCACTGAATCTAGACCATTTTCAACTCGGGCAGAATCTACCGAGTTCGCACACTGCAATGATTATAAGGCTACTCCAACGTTTCTGAGTTTCTATCATATCTACCTTTCCCCATGGATCCTCTAGAGATAAGAGAGAGAATCGATCGCTTTCGAATCCTCGTGATAGGAAGAGCCAATGCAGGAAAAACTACCATTTTACAGAGAGTTTGTAACACACAGGAGAATCCAGAAATATATAATAGCACAGGGAAAAAGGTAGGCATCACGATGCTAATAGGAGGATGGTAGGGATGACTGAGCGATGAACTTCAGATCGATGCCACAGTTTTGATGGCTTCCACAGAGGTGTCGTGTACTTTCAGTAAATGGCAATCTGAACTGACGCATTCTCAGCGTGGATTGCATAACATCGAAAACGAAATGGTGTTTAAAAGCAACCCGGGTTTCATCTTTCACGATTCTCGCGGGTTTGAAGCAGGCGGCGAATCTGAATTCAACAAGGTCAAGGTTTTCATCGCAGACCGCTCTAAGGAAATCAAATTAAAAGATCAACTCCACGCTATCTGGTAATTGCAGGTGATCAATCGCGACGCGGCCTCACAGTTTAACATAGGTATTGCATCCCAATGGACGAGGCATGTAGATCGTTCACCTCAGGCGAAGTCAAATTTTTCTCTCAATGCGATACTGGAAGCAGTAAGCTTTTGCATCCGACCATCGTTGACGTTCGACTGATGCGCAGAATCACAATCCTCAGTTCCAGTGATAGTACTGTTCACAAAATTTGATGCCCTCTACGATGACGCATATGCCCAGCTGAAATCGAAGGGAGCATCGATGAAGGATGCTGCCGAACTAGCGCCGAAGCACGCCGAAGAGTCATTTGCGATTGGGTCACAATTGAAGTTTCTATACCACTCCAAGGAGATTCGGCACCCTCCAAAATGTCACATATGCCTCCCTAGTAAGCTGTTGATTGTCGACTTATGAGTCTGATGCATTTTGATGCTGATCTATTAGACATGGACAGGGACGATGCAGATTGCGGGCCACTCATCGAACGAACGGCGGGAACCCTGGATAATGAAGTACTTAAGCAAATATTTGTCTCGACTCAGCAGAGCAACTTGGAACTCTGCATGAAATATGCAGTTGAGAAGTAAATACCCATGATCTTATTGCCTGCTTCGAGCGTTAGCGACTGATATTGCCCAGATCACTCATGAAACGTCTGGACTTTGCTGAGGCAACGACATCCGAGGATTATGAGAAGACGGTAGCGGTATCAGGTGCCTGGTTTCCACATATTTTGGTAAGATTGTCAGAAAGTTCGAAAGTTGCTCTCATTACGTTACGCGTTTATCTACAGACAGTACGTGTGTCGATCCTCGTTCGAGCTCGAGCCATGCTCATCCAAGTCGTTGCCCACTGTTCGCAGCGTGTGAGTGTGTCGATCTTCGTTCGAGCTTGAGCCATGCTGATCGAAGTCATTGCTCACTGTTCGTAGCGCGTGAGTGTGTCGATCCTCGTTCGAGCTCGATCCATGCTCATCCAAGTCGTTGCCCACTGTTCGCAGCGTGTGAGTGTGTCGATCCTCGTTCGAGTTCGAGCCATGCTGATCGAAGTTGTTGCCCACTGTTCGCAGCGTGTGAGTGTGTCAATCCTTCTTCGAGCTCGAACCTTCCTGAGTGAAGCCATTGCGCATACATCGATAGCACGTAAGTGCATGGATCCTTTGTCAAATTCAAGCATTCCTGATCAAAGCTATTGATTCTATATCAGCAGGAGGTCAGTACATTGACCCTCTACCGACCTTGAGTCACTGACTGAAGAAATTTTCGATCCGTTGACAGCTTGTGAGTGTGATCATCATCTGCCTACCTCCTATCTTCTTCATTGATGCAATCGGTGAATTGTTGTCAGGGTGTGAGTCTACCGATTCTCCGTCGCCCTCGCGCCATACTGACCAAACACATTGCTGCTCCATTAATAGATTGTGAGTCGGTCTATCTATTGTCGAGCTTAAGCCATGCTGACTGAAGACATCGCCCATCCATTTCTAGCATGTAAGCGAATCGACCCGCAGTCGAATTGGAGCATCACTGACCTTCCTCACCGACGACATTGCTTATCTACTGACAGAATGTCAGTGTGCTCATTCTTTGTCGAGCTCGAGCTTTCTTACAACTGGAACCATACATCCTTTAACAGTATGTGAGTATTTTGATTCGAGCCTTATTCGCGAACAACGTCACTGATTCATCAATAGGAAGTCAGTCTCTTTATTCTTCTTTGACTTTGGGCCATACTGACCGAAGATGTTACGCATTGGCAGGATGTGAGTGTATCGATCCCCAGCAGAGGTGGACGATGTTCAATTTTCCATCATGATTTAACCAGCTTGATTGGAGTCATCGTGCAGAGATGCGGTCTAGGTTACTCTCTACGGTATGTCCAATTTGTCACAGATTGTACATGCAATTCTGATGTTGCGAACGTGCTAGGCTTCTGACTCATCACCCTTGGAGAACATTGTTCAGCTCGGTTCTGGTAAATTTGGAGGCTGCGTTGCGATGAACCTGCTCATCATTGATCATTTAGCTTATGTCATTGTCTTGGAACACTCTTTCTACATTTTCGACAAGCAACGCTATCTTCAGGACCAGCGACCTGCTCCCTCTTTTTATGTCGCTCTCGAGCAGTACATGGCATCCCAGCATGCAGCTGTTGTCAGGGAAGGTGTGAGCGCTGCCGTTCAGGCATATGAAGAAGCTGTGGCTACTGCCGCCCACGCATATGAAGAAGCTGTGAAGGATTTTGTCTACACGTATCAAGGAAACTCGCCTGCTTGGATGGCAAAATTACTATTTGAACGCCTCCAGAGGAAGGCAAGAGCAACTTTTGAATGCTCTCAGCAGAGGGAGAAAGAAACTTTGTGCTCTCAGGCGAAGGCGGAGTTAACCAAGACTATTCTCGAAATCACTTTAAATAATCGCCTGCGTATGTTTCACCGTCATCCTGTGGCAACAATCCTGCTGATCTACTCGTCTTCAGCGAGACCTTAATGTTGGGCGATGCAACAGTGTTCCGGGCGGAGTGGAGCTGAGATGTCCTGGCAATAAATGTGGATTCCTTCTGGTCTGCTTCAGGTCGTGGAAGTATACGAAATGGTTGTTTGAGTATGCAATATCAGGCATTGTATTGTATGGTACATACGTTCAGATATCGGCATATTCTATTCTATTCTATTCTACATATTATAAGGACACACCTTTGGTCTTCTCTTCGACGACAAATTGTATTTACAGTAGCAAGTGAGGAAACGCGATATTCGTGCAGTTGTCATACATTTTCCACTTCGGTCACGGGATACGGCGATGTTTGTTCTAGCTTGCTTGTTCGGTATTTGTCTTCACAGAATCGGCTTTCCTCCTTTTTTCCTAACGTCGTGCTGGTCAATTCTTTCAGGTATCTTTTGGCGTCGGATATGTATTAGTACTCGCTAAATGGTCAATTCTTTCAGTATTCAGGTCTTTATAGTTGTTGTTTGAGTCGCGCCTCGATTCTGAGACGTCTGACAGCAGTCCTGCTCTCCTTTCGTCTCTGCAAACAAACACAGCTCCCTTCGCGTCCTCACCCTGGACAACGCCGTACATAATTGGCCGCGAGCAAACGGATCGGTCCGCAGGTCAAGTACTGTGCGCGCCAGCGTGAGTTCTTGGCAACCATTGAATGTGGTTGCGTACGCAGCGCGCGGCGGAAATTGCCTTCGGCTTACTGTCCACGACTCCGAACGGTGTGAGAAGTTGATGCGTGGGATGCAGTGGCTTTCGCGTGTTCGTATCATTCACTATGTCTGAGTAGTATACTAATATGTCGTAGCGAATTGGCGGAAGTCGAGAGGATGAAGAAACAGGCTTGCCGCTTAGCTGGACGTTTGGTGCCGGTTCCTTCCGTACCTCCAGGAACCGGCACCTTTGGCCAACCTTTGGCGTTACGCTCGGTCTGAATGACAACAAGTTACAACACTGACTCAGAATTTCTTTATTGGTCAATTCCATATCCGTCGATTGATTCATAGAATGAATGGTTTGATTTTCATTCATGCAACGGAGGTAACACACTGTGACTACATATTATAGAATAAAATCGAATCTTACACAGACGCTGAGAATACCAAGAACCAATATGAGGAAGACTGTGAGGGTACAACATACATGCAGGACAGCGGCACGCTCGAGAAAGCCTCACTACGTCTGTAAAACCCACTTGGGCTTGTAGTCCGGCAAGATGTTGCTCGCTTTCTCCACTTTCCGTGCCCACTCATCTTCCTCGCGTTTCAGGAGCACCAAGAGTTGGGTATACTGGCGAACACGAGACTGCGCTGCTGCATAACTTGCGTACACCGTATTGATGGTGAACTCGGTGAACAGCCTGTCCTGTCCATCTTCGTTCAAATCAACGTCGTCGAGCCCCATCTGGTAAATCACCCTTAGTGCTGGGTGAAGCGAGGAAACCCGCGTACGTACCAAATACGCCTGGAGCTCCCGGTTGCGTCCAGCTGTGTCTAACTTCGAAGAGCAATCCGGCTCCGCAGGCATGCTGGACTTGTCACATCCATGAACAAAGCAGGAAAGATGTCGGGTAGTGACAGGGATATCGGATAGAGTTGACATGTTTTGAAAGTTGAATAGTTAGGATAACGACCTTGTAGTTTGAGATCAAACGTCCTGAATGAGTTATTCATGCCCTTATGACAAGGTTTTAATCGGAGCAATGCGGTATTTCAATACCTCCCACAGTCGAATAGTGTCATCCGCCGAACCTGTTATGATATGAGTTCCGTTCGGCGAGAACACGACTGAGTAAACCGAGTCAGTATGCCCCTTCAAGGGCTCACAGACAGGCTTCCCCACCGCCACATCCCATAGCTGGACAGTGTTATCCTGAGCACCAGTTGCAATGAGAGTCCCATCTGGAGAGAACGAGACTGACCTAACCCGACCAGCGTGCCCCAACAGGGGCTCGCCGACTGGCTGACCTGTCGCTGCATTCAACAGCCATCCTAAGAACCAGTCGCGAAGTGGGTCCCATCGGGCGATAGTGAAACTGAGGTAATGAAATTGATGTAGCTCCGCAAGGACTGACCAACTGGCTGCCCGGTAGCTGCATCCCACAGTCGGATAGTGGTATCCGCAGAACCAGTCGCAATTCGAGTCCCATCCGGAGAGATTGAGATTGAGATGACCGAAGAAGCGTGCCCCAGCAAGGGCTCACCGACTGGCTGCGCTGTTGCTCCGTCCAACAGCCGGACAGTCCCATTGTACAATCCTATCACGATGCGGCCTCTGTCTGGCGAAAACGAAACTGACCTAACAAAAGAAATGTACCTCTCTGAGGGCTCACAGACAGGCTTCCCCGTCGCCACATCCCACAGCTGAACAGTGCTATCATTCGAACCAGATACGATACGAGTCCCATCTGGAGAGAACGAGACTGACCTAACCCGATCAGTGTGCCCCAGCAAGGGTTCACCGGCTGGCTGTCCCGTTCGTGCTTCCCACAACCGGACAGTCTTGTCGTCTGAACCAGACACGATGTGAGTCCCATCCCGCGAGAACGACACTGAGTTAACCCAATCAATGTGCCCCAGTAAGGGTCTACCAACTGGCTGCCGTGTTGCTGCATCCCACAGTCGAATAGTGGTATCCGTCGAACCTGTCACGATGCGAGTTCCGTTCGGCGAGAACGCGATTGAGTGAACCAACCCAGAATGCTCTAATAAGGGTTCACCAACAGGCTGCTGCATTGCTACATCCCCCAACCGCACACTCCTATCGTCCGAGCCAGACGCGAGGCGTGACCCATCCGGCGAGAATGAACCTGAGCGAACTGAGCGAGTGTGCCCCAGCAAGGGCTCGCCTACTAGCTGCCCCGTTAATATATCCCACAGGCGCACAGTGCAATCACGCGATCCAGTCGCAATGAGAGTCCCATCCAGCGAGAACGAAACTGAGTTAACTCCAGCAGTGTGCCCGCTAATCACAGTCTGCGTAGCCATCCAGGTGAGATCACGTCCAGATGCCAGACAAAGAGAGTTGGGAAACCATGCAGAAAACATTTTGGATAGTGCAGAGTTGACGGGCGAGAATGGCAATGCTGATACATAGATATGGGGTGTACTGTGCAAGATAATGCCGCCGAAGACTTGAATAAATCTCCGCACGTCGATTGCAGCGGACGAGGCTTCTTCGTATCCGGTCTCACTCTGTAATTGCGATTCCGTGTTAGCGAGCATGTTATCTGCACTCGATAACCATGTGCTCACCTTCAACCACTTGGCAATAAGCGGAAGGACGGGGACTGCGCCCCCGAGCGCATTGATAAGGCAGAGTGCCTCGAGCCAAAAGAACAGTCGTTCATGTTCGGATGATTTTATTTCTTTGGCGAGGTTTGGATTGAAGTCAGTTGCTTGCACGTGGACAGGCCAAAATCGGCAGGCATAGGATAGATGTGGGGGGATGCACTTTTGAACTCGTTCGCGCAGACCGGGATCTTCGGAGTTGGGGGGATACGATGATTTTAGATCGCAGATATTGAAGAATAATTTATGTCCCATCACTTGAAGCGATGCGAAAGCAAGGTCACGTTGTACCTTGGAAATGTCAACACAGAAATCTCCGCTGCATTTACGGTCTGTAATGAAATCGCAGAAGGAGGCATGAAGGGGTCGGATGGGGGTGGATGAGTCGGTGATGCCGCTGAGGAGGGATGCCATATGCTCGACAATGACTTGCACCTCATAATGCTCGCTTTTGTCTGGAAAATGGTCCCGCATCACATTCAAGGACTCCAAAGAGAGGGGTTCAGCTGCGCCAAGGATTTGTCCCATCACAGAACAAAATCTCGCTAGCTGTTTGTGCTGAGACGCGGAGTGCGTGGATTTATCCTTTTGCATAACTCCTGTCAAGATGACGTGATACATATCATACAACAGGTTTTCCCGCTCGGCAGTATCATGGGACGTGACTAAAGCACTCCATCGGAGATAGACCAGGGGATTCTTTGATGTATGCGCAAGCGAGACGCACCCACTCGAAAAGCCCATTGGCTTTTTCAGCGAGGGTTGTGAATTGTCTGTTCTCCAAATGCCCTTTCAGTTCCTTCGACACGTAAGTGCGGATGTCGCGCTCTGCGGTGGCTGATGAAATGTTGTTCATGGACATCCGTCGAATATGCTGAGCACCTGAGAGATCAACTTCAATGTCGCGAAGCGGGCAAGAGGTCACGATGATCCGGAAGTTGGCTGGGAGTTCAGTGATTGGTTGAACGCCTAGTTTGCCCACAAGAATGTGGAAAATGCGAAGCCGTGCCTCGACTCCACCACTCTCATCTAGCGTGTCTATCACGATGACAACAGGTCTTGCCATTGACCCTGAGGTCTTCCCGAGTGGTTTCATCAGAAGCCTGTATTTCTTTATATTCCAATATAACGAAAACATTTTCTATATACGATCATATAACGGGATACATGACAATATCTGTGGCTCACCAGTCCTCTGATGCCCCATATCAGAGAAATTTCCCTTCAGCCCATCGTTTACTCTGTGTTCCCATCTCCACTGCTGCAAGTCCCCAATCCTCGCCGTGATTGTGACCCTTGTCTGCCCCTCTGCCGAGACCAGCTCGTTCTAATGCTTGGTCCTCTGTGAGTGCTGTTAGGACGCCGAAAATCACAGGGACACCTGTGTCAATCTGGATTCTCATGAGAGCGTGAGAAACGCTGTCGCAGATATACTCAAAGTGCATCGTAGAGCCCTTTATCAAGACACCGATGGCCACTACTGCATCAAATGGAGCGTTTGGCATGTCGGCAAGTGTTGGAGTGGGTGCAGAAGGTTCCTTGTTGGATGGAAGTGATGTCGAAGAACCACCAAAGTTTAACCCAAGCAGATCACGAGAAGATGTGGCCGCTTGAACATATGATCCTGCAATCATTCTATAGAATAGCTGAGCCGCTGTATAAGATGGAAAAGCTGATACGTACTTCGAGCATGCGAAAGGAAGTTCAAAACTACCTGGGACAGACTGGACAATGATGTTGGAGTCCTTAACCCCGCATGCTTTCAGCTTGTTGATTGCGCCCGCCACGAGTGATTCAATGACAGTCTTGTTCCATCGCGCATGCACGATGGCGATGCGTAAACTAGAGCCATCGAATTGAGCGCTGGATGGTCCCTTGATTGAACTCATGGTTGACGACATTATTGTTATGGAAGGCCCGGATACAAATGAGGTAACTTGAGATGGTATTTGACATTGTTTATGCACCTCTCTAAATTTTGTATGTAGTACACTTTCGTGACAGCGGGAGTCTCACTCTTGTCTCCTCAACTCATCACAAGTTGCTGGCCGTCCTCGTAGTGATGTCGGACGCGAACCTTGCAGGTAGGCACACTGCCACAATAGTACATATGAGGAACTGAAAAAAGTCGCTCGCAGTGACATATTCTCTAATCTATGCGTTTCTGAAACAGCAGTCCCAGACAAAAGCAGCTGATGCTGTAAAGAAAGCTGCAAGGAACATAATTGTCTTAAAGGATGATTTGAAGCTCGAGGGTTCATCCTTGGATGAGATAGTTAAGCAATGGAAGGAGTCGCATGCTAATGACAGTTCGTGAGTGTTTACTTTCCCCGTGTACTATTCTTTTACTCAAGCACAAGAATACAGTTCTGACTCTGACTGTGTGTATTTATGTCGCTAGTCGTACGAGCTCTATTGCTAAGTGTGATATAGCTTTAGATGATTCCTCTGATGGTGCGTTATCCCAATCATGCACAAACGGGCCCCGATATGTAATTCTGGACAGATTCCTCGACAAGTTCTAGCTCTGATTCCAGTTCCAGTTCATCCGATTCAACGTATGTTCCTGAGATGTATAATTTATTTTGCTCATAAGTCAGTCTAAAGTTCAGGGGATGATGCAGGCATGTATGTCTTGTTATTGCCATGTATTGCCGCCTCACGACCACAGATTCATCATCAAGTGAAAGCGAGGGCGACAGTAAAAAAGGAACTCAGGCCTGTAAAAAGGTGCCAGAAATCCTCTCATGTGGAGACCGCGAAACGAGTGCGACCCTGTCCTCTGGTATGCTCCCATCATCGGCGTCAGCTTTATCAGTACTGACTTGTCAAAGATGCCAAGGTTCCTGAAGTGAAGTCTAAAGTCACCAAACAGAAACCTTCAGTCAAGGGAAGCTCGAGCTCGAGCTCAGGGTCTGATTCTGATTCTGATGACTCCACGACTGATTCTGCGTCCGACAAAAAGCTAGCCCGCAAAGGCACCCAAAAAAAGGATGTTAATTCATCGGATTCCAGCTCCAGCTCCTCTAGCTCCGACTCCAGTTCCTCTGACTCTGACTCTACATCGTCCGACTCTGAGTCCACTACCTCGAGTTCTGAGTCTGAGTCTGAAGCCGAGATCACTGTCGGACGTGGCGTCGCGTCCTCTAAATCTAGGGCCAATACAGGCGTCACATCAATCCCCAAAGAGGAAATGCAGGTAACAAAAAAGCGAAAGACATCTGAGTCTGGAGCTGCTGTAGTCACTGCTGCGGTGTCAACACATCCTACCGATGATGTGCAAGTTTCAGCGAAGGTCAGAAATATCCAGAAAAATGGTAATGGCAAAACCCCACGAAACGCGAATGAGCGATTTTCGAGGATAAAACCCCAAAATATACCTGCGGAACAACTTCTAGACAACGGGTACGAAGCAAAGGTGGGGTGTATCTTTGGTCCACCTGCGAGACCTAACCCTCTTTCTTCGTACAGGGTGGCGTCACTAATGACTACGGCAATCGTGCACACCAGGACTTGATTGTCACGCGGGGTGCAGGATTCAGGAAGGAGAAGAACAAGAAGAAGAGAGGTTCATACCGCGGTGGAGAAATCACTGTGAGCATGTTCTTTTTTCGGTGTCGATATGGTCATCGCCTGATTGGTGTGGCAGTTGCAAAGTCACAGTATCAAGTTCACAGATTAGACATATGTATGGTCGGATATACATTGCATAAGTTACATTCGCTACTCCCCTCATTCGCATTCTCCTCACTAATACACTATGCCAATCGCTTCACATTCGTGCATCATAGTAGTAAACCGTACGTAGCAAATTACATTAGGTGGAGTCGATGTGGACCACAACTCGGATTTAATCCGATGTCGTTCTATGTACTGGCTTTGATTGTGCACATTTTTGCTCAAAGCTCGTCGCAACTGTGGTGTAAAATGGCTCGTTGGACTGGCTAAATGATTTATCGAGAATTGATCGACTTTTCAGTAGTTGTTGCACAGCCACAGACCAATTGCATGAATTCCGGCCTCCTTGATAGAACAAGGAAGGCAATCGTCCCTCCTTATAAAGAGTTATTCTTAGCTTGCAGAAGTTCGCGACTACTCCGCTCAAGGCTAGATCTGACTGCTGTCCACCATGGCGGGCATTGGTCCTGCACCAATTCTCTTCAATGAATTTTTCCAGATGTTCATGAGGTGCATGCCTCCAAATGGGTGGCCAGTGAATTCCAAGATCGGTATGTTACTCTTCATTGTATCTCGTGTTTGAAATTTAGCGCATTTTACCTTAGCTGTTGGCAACTCGGGAGGACCAGATTCCACTTGCTTACTGTTCCTCCTCAAAAAGTTGCTGACTGACCTGCGCTCAAAAACCATGGCGAGACAATCGATCCCGACCTCAGTTGTTTCTCTCTCTGTGAACCATAACCTCCAAGAAGCTTCACAGTCGATGGCAGCTCGTTCTGCAGCGAATGCAGCAGCCATGGGGGTTGAACATCTGTCGCTTGACATACCTTGGGGAACACCACCGTTTTCTGCAAAACCTGTCGCTAGTCAGTCGATGGAGCAAGTTGCGCGAGAGGCACGGTATCATGTTATATTTGATGGGATGGCACGCACTGGTGCACACTCAGTCGCATTTGGGCATCATGCCGACGACCAAGTAGAGACTTCATTGATGCGTCTTGCAAGGGGAACGACCGAACTCGGCGCAGGAGGCATGCGACGATGCCGTAGATGGGGTATGGGTACTGGTGATGTGGAAGGTGGACTTGGGTGGGTTGGTCACCATGGATTGAACCGTTGGATTATGAGACCTCTTCTTGAGGTCAGGAAGGTCAGGACTACTTAACATGGATTTGAGTTTGATTTGTTGATCTAACTTGTAGGACAGGATCCTTGCAACATGTGAAGAACACCGGCTCGATTATGTGAATGACCCGACAAACTTCCAGCCCGAGATCACTTTAAGAAATGGGATTAGGCAAATGCTGACTCTGCAAGAAGAGGGCAAAGATATGGTGATATCTTGTTTTTAATCTATGTCCAGCATCACTTATTATCATGCAGTCTGCACTTTCTGGACTACCACCACATATTTCCAGTTCCCTTGAAAAAATAAAGATAGCTGCAGCTGACCTCCAGGAAACCACAATGGACCTCGAAGGTGGATTGCATCAGCTTCATGGGGCAGTGAAGGTTCTTTCGTCGCGACTCGAGGACGTTGATAACGAGGGTGAGTGATCACTGCACCAAATACTCTTCAGATCGGGATTCATGGCTTTGTTAGTCACGTTCCACCTTAAAAACTTGACTCTTCCTTCTCCTCCAAGTACTCTCATACTCTCCTCGCATGCGCTGCCTGCTATCGTGGATCCGACTGTCCGTCTTGCTTTGGTCCTTCGGGTCATGCGTTATGTATCGTTCCATCCATGGGGATCTCTGCGTGCGGACGGCAACCGACGCAGAACCAGCATACAGCGCATCATCGACACTTTGTGGCAGTCTGACGGTGCCCCACCATTCACTGCTGGTGGTGGAGTACTTTGGCAGCCTGCGATATTCAACGCTAAGAAGCGACTTCGAGTGGGCACCCAGTGTCTTGGTCGCCAATTACAACCAGGCGAGAGATTTGCGTGGATGGCATCTAGACTGCCTGCTGTTCCCTACTATATGTTGGACACTGCAACATTATCTGCAAAATTGGATGTCGATATCACGGAACGCCTCGCAATCGCCATGAGTCGCGGCGACGACTCTTTGGAAGTCCTATTTGACTGCCGTTTCCTTGTGCGTTTTGATCTGTCACAGATTCCAGAAGAACTGGTCGCAGCTCTACGAAAGTACCAGGAGACAGGGGTGAATGTGCGAATCAAGCCTCACACAAAGTATTATTGGCCCAAGGTGGTGTTGCGAAAGCCTTCTTATCCAGATACCACATATGCTACACTGATGGACAACGGACAGATGGACACATTTGGACACGCGCCTTGGGTAAACATGGAATACATAAGGCTACTGGACGCGACCTAGCACATAATTTATACCTTTACAAGTATATTACAACACACTACAACGGTGACGAATCGTTATTACAGCACAGCCTTCTCTTTACGTCTAGTCTGCAAAAACGCTTCGAAAACGCCACACCAAACCTGGGGATCAAAATACTCGATCCAATCATGACCGAAACGAAGTGTTGGTAGTGAACCTGGTCCATCTCCTACCGGTACCATACGCGCCCATGGAATACGCGTCAAAAAGCCCTGAAGATTGGTGAAAGGCGCGACCTGATCAAGTTCACCGTGGATAATCATGAATTGAGTGTCTGGCGACAGGTGGGAATGAAACCCAGTGAAATTATATTGAGAGGCTGCTCGTTTTTGTTGTACTGTAACAGGATAAACGTTACGCTAAGAGGACTCGAAGAAGGACACCTACACAATGTCTTGAAGGGTCTGAGTATTGCATCATTTTGGTCAGCACTGACCACCTCAAATGAAAACAAGAGCACGACCTGCCAATGAACGCGCGATCTATGAGCTCTTCAATTCTCTTCTGATTGCCTTCACTAGCAAACCACTCGGGATCAAGGGCGGGGGGAAAAGAGAGGCGCACAGTCTCCCTGATTATTTCAGGTGTCAAGGGCCCTTTCGGTCTCTTCGGTAACTTGAGTCCGTATGGCTCTGGGTTGGGTCTGAATGATGTACAAACGAGTACAACATGTGTCACACGAAAAGGTAAGGGAGTCGGGTTCGTGCGATGAAAGGGTAGGAATAAAAGACTCTGAACAACAATGCCTTATAATACACGTTAGATGTGAGACGTGGTGTGAATCGCCTTTCTTGAACCTACCCCCCATCGAATGTCCGCAAAGAGCGACCTCGCTCCACTGAAGATGCTGAATTAGAGAGAGAAGGTCTCTTGCTAGTGTTTCGATAGTGAAAGGGTCGTCTTCTCGAGCACGGGAATCCCCCATGCCCCTGCGGCCACCTCATGGTTAAACAACGAGTTAATAAAACAATCCTTGACATTCACCTGTGGTCATATATCAACACTGTATCGAGTCAATTTATACACATCACTCGTTCAGTGATTAGTATTGTCCACGTACCTTGTCGATGTTTAGCTACTAGCGACGATACTTTCTCCGAGTCCCCCCGACAGGTTGTCATCCCACCGACATACACGAGCGGCACTGATGCCCGCTTGTGGTCAGAGCCGAGTACCTCGTATGCTAACTTGGTTCCATCTGGAAGTTGCAAAATGGAGTAAGCTTTCATGTTGGCCTTACAGACTTGTGACAAGTCGCCTCAAACCGTGAATTCCAGGTGCCGGGTAACATAGCTTGCCGGAGTTACGTAATAGAAGCGCAATTAAATCCAGATCGGTCGATTCCGAGATTTCTGCCTTCTGCCGGTGATAAAATCACCAAATAGCCCCAAGATATGACCACAGAGAGCTCTGCCGGGTTGTGTGACACGTTTGTATAGGAAAATTTTGAGCAAGTCGATGTTGTTGCAAACACGTAGAGTATACAAAATCTAGCTACTCACCGACATTTTAAGGTTTCAGCCACTCTTTCAGCTCCTTCTGAGTTGAGCTCGTCAACCACTAAGTCCAAGTTAACACACATTGCATTCAACACAAAAGTATTATCTGCCGAGTGGGATTATGCCAAACAACAGTACAACATCATCGTGGAAGATGTATCTTCAGGCAAGAGAATGTCGAGTGTGGCCAACGTCATGATATCTGCTGTTGGTATTTTGGAGGTCCCAATGATTCCCCTGGAGTTCGCAAGTCTCAGGGGGCATCGTTTCATTCCGCACAGTGGCCAGGCTCAATAAATCTGCAGAACAAGCACATTGCAGTGATTGGAAATGCCTCCTCCGGGTGAGTCACGATGACTTCTGCACAGGTAATTGGTAGGGATCCACATGGGTAAACCCCGGGGTGTCAGAGACCTTACCCGCACCCGCACCCCGAGGTATACCCGCACCCCCATGAAGGGTACGGGTTTTTGGGGGGTATGGCAAGCCCATACCCTTACCCATACCCGTGCAGGGTTTACCCGCGGGTAATACATATAAAAATGAGACACCCACCTCCTGCGAACGGCGGGCAGCGACTTGAATCAGCGTGGCTCAAGCTCGGATGAGGATCAACAGACTCGCGAACTGCGAACGGTGGGCGATAACTCGGATCAGCATGGCTCTTGCCCGAACATGGATCGACAGACTCACCTCCTGCGAACGGTGGGCAACGACTCGGATCAGCATGGCTCTTGCTCGAACAAGGATCGACGGACTCACCAACTGCAAATGGCGGGCAATGACTCGGGTCAGCATGGCTCTTGCTTGAACGAGGATCGACGGACTCAACTCCTGCGAACGGTGGGCAACGACTCAGATCAGCATGGCTCTTGCCCGAATGAGGATCGACAGATTCACAGTCTGCGAATGGTGGGGGCTTGGATCAGCATGGCTCTTGCTCGAATGAGAATCAGCATACTCACATACTGCGAACGGTGGGCGACGACTTTGGTCAGCATGGCTCGAGCTTGAAGGTAGGCGTTGTGTTGAAGAAGATGGAGGGGCATAGCACACTATAAGTAGTAGGCAGATGTCAGCATTAGCACAAGTGTAAGTACCGCTGTAGTTCTTGATTATGTAATGTACCGGTCAAACCCGAGCACGGGTGTGGGTGAGGGTCCGGGTACCCAAAATGCGGACCCCCACCCATACCCGAGGGGTACCTGCACCCGCCACCCGCACGGGTTTTCAAAACCCATGCATATGCCTAGTAATTGGTAGTGACATACAACAAGAGCACAGTTCGTGCCATCTATATCTGAAGACCTGTCTGTTGAAGTAGTTAACTTCATCCGCATCCCGACCTGGTTTAATACCCAAGTGAGTTTCTTCTTGATTTTTGTATCTTTCTACTCAAGTTTGTCTCGAGGTTGCATATGTCCTTCAACTCATAGAGCTGGTGAAGGTTCAACGATACTGAGAGGAACAAATGATGCTCCTGACTGTATCTATAAATGTTGTAAGGTCGCGCATTGCCTAGTCTGCTATACTTGAGACAACAAGTGCATTCGACCCTAGTAAAGGGGAAGTGAGTGCAGCAAAGATCTAGTAGTAGGCGCTACTGGTTGACTGATGCGAAGCGCGGGAAAGCGAAGGTGCGTGCAAGGTGCGGGAAGCGTGCGCGCACGTGAGCGGAAATGAGAGAGAGTAAGATTGAGTTTGCTTAAGTGATGATTAGATACTAGACAAGAGGTGAGAGTTGCAAGCTGAGAGACGTTCTATGCAAGGTGCCAAGGAATAGATTTCAACTATCTTCTTCTAGGTAGTAAGAGGGTGAGTGTGTTGGTGAGTTGGTAGGTAAGTAATATTATGTACTGCTGGCGCTTATATATGGCGCCTAAGCGCTGTCATGCAGAGCCAAAGCGCTACCGAGTGAGGTATGTAAAGATATATGTAAGTAAGGGTCCATGATAAAAATAAAGGTGGAACAATACACAGATAAGAGAAATGGAAATATATGCACTAGAGAACTTGGTGGACAGTGGATGGATGTGTCTGGTTGGCTGGCGCTATAGGGCGCTCAAGCGCGGGAAAGCGCGCGCGCATATACATCGTGAAGCGCGGGAAGTGTGCGTGCATGTTGCGCATTGCACGGGAAAGCTGCACCTTGTATAGGAATAGCTGTGGATAGCATGCAGAGTGATGCTACAAGTTCGTGCCATGTACTCCCTAGTGAAAACTGCCATATCACACAATGTGAGGCACGAGTCTCTACACCGGTCCTTACTGGTTCTGCCTCATCTTTCACCATCAAAGCCACACCCACAGATACATACAACACCAAGCTACAAGAACGGCTCTCTCACTTCGTGCATGTACACTGCTTCTCTTGGAGGCATACAAACGGTACAGGCAAAGTGTTTTCTTGGCCTGGGACAGTTTTCTGATGATTGCTTTGTAGACCAAATTGGGATCATTGTTCTCGATGCCTGTCAATTGAATGATCTCTATCTTCAAGCAAGCGGCTACCATGACTTATAGTTACTTGAGCAAATTTGCCCTCCGTCTTTGAGGCGCCCATAGTCTAGGTCCAGGGTACCCAAGATTTGTAGGTCCTCGTACCTGTGCCCGTGCCAAAGATGGGCCAAACACAGGTACCCATACCCTGTACCACCTGACTCACATTCACCTGCAGGTGCGTATACGGGTATACAACCTTATCCGTGTCATACACTACGATAGCGCTGATTCTAATCTTGCACAAATGATCAATTGAGTAACAAAACACGGATGCACTAGTTGGCCTCGTCCACCATCTAAGTTTCTGATGGAAGGATCTCAAGCAGCCAAGCAATCTTCCAAATGATTCAAACTTTTCCATGGGAACATATCTATGCGGAGTCAATCTTCATCTTAAGGCACCATGTTCAACAATAAGCCAAGTAATAGAAAAGAAATTTATCAATCCAAATTATATTTTCTCGCCTTATTCAGCTGCCAATGAATTGACCCTACTAAACCAGAAAAGACCCAAATAAATCTGACGCAGAACTTCAACATGCGGTCATTAACACTCTTCTAGCTCCTTTAAACTATAATCCTCTTCAAGCGTTCAGTAGCGACTAGGAACGACCGTATCAACGGAATGCTAGCAATCCAATCAATAAGTTTATATCACGTTAACGTGTGTACTTACTGGTGCCAGAAGCATGCGGAGATCGGATGTTCATGGTCGGGCTACCCACTACAGAGCCAGGGCCCAAATACGTGACACGCTCCCAGTTCCTGCGGCAAGTTAATATTTGAGAGGAATAGCCTGAGGCCACTGGAGATGGTGGTTGCTGTGGCCAGAACCTAGCCCCGGGAGTGTTGTATCCTAGAGGACTGATCAGCATACGACAGTAACAGGCCAGAAATGTGTCGCCCACTTGCTCCGGTTGCATTGTCTGAGTCGAAATTGATTGTAGGTGACTCAGCATGCGAGTTGGCATCTAAAAAATGCAGTCTTCATCTTTGCCCAGTGGTTCATCCTAAGCTGGGGGTCATGCTGTGTGGTGTCAGTGTTGAACTGGGGGTCAGAACATCGTGTCCTCAATGACAGTGACAATGAATAGCGCTTACCCAGAGTTTCTGGTGATACCAGGCTGCCCTGTTCTGAAGCTGGCGAAGTGACAATAAAAACCGTGAAGTAATTCCAGAATGAAAGCATGAAGTGATCCCAGAAGAAAACCATGAAGCGACGGTATGAGGCTGGCGATTTGGTGAACTATTGAGAGTGTGTTGATGGGAACTATCTGCTTCTAGCCAGATACTTATACTTCTGCAAGACTGGAAAGAAAATGCCAATAGCGTCTGGCCTTGAATTTGAAGCACAATAAACCCCAACTTAAACGTACAACAAACCATTGCAGTGCAGGATATGAATAGCTCCAAACCTGTATGAGCGCAGCAGTGCTCCAGAACTGCATCCTAATTAGGTTAAGGATGAAACGAGCCAGTTCATTATCATAGGGGCCATTCACTAACCAGGAAATGGGCCAGAATATCTGAACAGCACACAGCTCTTGAAATATCTCAGCTTGCTCAATGCTCGCAGAGGACAGTATACAAGATGTTAAACGCTAATCCCTTAATTGAGCTTTTGTTAAGACCATGCACAAAGGGTAGGACTGATTCCAAGGGGCTTGGCTTCAGCTCGTGCGCTGGGCCCCTTACCTGAGTATGTGCCCTTAACTTCAGAATGAAGTCTGGAGAAAGTCCAGTGAAGTCCGAAGGACTTCTGGAGGAGCGTGGGAAACGTCGGAAGGACTTTCCAGACGAGTGCGAGAAACTTCCGGATGAGTGCGGGAAAGTTCCGGAGGAACTTCCGCATCTAAAAGTTGGATGTGCTCGATGAGCGGTGTTTGATTTTAGGTGACCGCTTAGCGTCTTTAAAGTTTCTGCGTGAGCGAGCATCCCAAATACTTCCAAAATAAGATATATTGAGTGAATCTTATGAAAGTGCAAGATTATCACAAAGTAATCAAATCTTATCTACATATCTACAGCATCAGACATACTAGCACTGATAGTAGATATACCTCGTTCAACTAAATCTTTCTTTGAAGAAATGGAAGCGTCATATACTGCAGGGACTTCACGAATGGCGAGATTGTGTTGCTGAATGAAACGATACTCTGCTCCAGATGACGAAGACACTGAAAACTCCACCGTCTGACGTCTCCCGCTGAGATGCTCCATGAGGACTGAGTGTGTTGCGGCACCGCCGAGGGAAATCACATTATCGAGAGCGTCCACATCGTCTATGTCCAGCTCTGTGTGGAAACCGGTTTCCCACACAGCTGCGACGATGACGGCGTGTACGCCAGGATGGTTGACCGGGGATAGCAAGTCAGGATCGTTTGTTTCGTGCTAGAGAAAAAAAAGGATTAGTTATTAGAAGAGGTAATACACAAAGAAGAACTCACCAAAAACAAGTACGCGTGATTCTCAATGAGTGTTGGAACGCGTTGTTTCCTGTGTGTGATCTCCATGTTTGCGTCCAATGGACGGTTAAGATCATAATGGACTGGGACTTCGTGGCGCGCCCTCGTCTTGAATGCCATTCGTATGGTCGTTGTGAGGGTTCGGAGGGTCTTAAGGCATGTTTCGTAGTTGGGGACCTCCGCGTCAGGCATGAAGTCCCAGCGAGCTGTAGACAGCGCCGCCTCCGCCATCGTCGCGTTGGCGCCTGTTTCGGGCATAGCGTTCTCTAATAACACTTTGCAGCGCATATTGGACTTTGCGGCTTCCATCATGGTCTTGAATTTCTCATTAGTCGAACATTGGGGAGCATAAGGATGGGAGCGTGGACTGTTGGCCACAGGCCCGGGACCAGCTACAGTAGTGATGGGAGAGGGAGGAGTACTAGATACCGGAGGCAACTCTCGCCGAGACGGGAGCGGTGCAGTGACAGTGATGTCTCCTGTTGCCTGTAGAAGAGAGTCAGTCACGATCATGATACAAGTGAGCGACGCACTCTGATAACCCCAGTTGGGAACATTTGTCCCCGGTGGCCTTCGGGTGGGCGGCAAGGATCGTATACAAATACCTTCTGAATTCCAGGCAAGTCGATGGGTAAGTGTCCCAGATAACGTGTCCGTTCTTCCTCCCTCTGCCTATCGTGCATCCGTCCAATATTCCTGAAGGTCGTCGGTGTGGGCACATCAAAGTGATGTGCCTCACGAGATACGAGCTCCGGGGGTGTGAATGGAATCTGCGGGAGCCCATAAGTGTGGGCGTAAGGGGCTGGTTGCTGCTGGAGCTGCCGGGAGTCCGGCGGTGGACCTGGCTGCATCAACGGTGGGTGGTAGTCATGCGACGGGCCTGGTTGCTCAAGTTGTTGTCGTTGAAGCTGCCAGGAGTCTGGCGGTGGACCTGGCTGTATCAACGGTGAGTGGTAGTCGTGCGACGGGCCTGGTTGCCCAAGATGCTGCTGTTGAAGCTGCCGGGAGTCCGGCAGTGGACGTGGCTGCATCAACGGTGGGGGGTAGTCGTGTAACGGGCCTGGTTGCCCAAGATGCTGCCGTTGGAGCTGCCGGGAGTCCGGCAGTGGACGTGGCTGCATCAACGGTGGGGGGTAGTTGTGCGACGGGCCTGGCTGCCCAAGATGTTGCCGTTGGAGCTGCCAGGAGTCTGGCGGTGGACCCAGCTGCCTGAAAGGCTGGTGGTAGCCCTGCAATGGGCCTGGCTGTGCGAGATGTTCATCGGCTTCCTCCATATCGTCTTCCTCCTCCATCTCATCCTCGTCCTTGTCCTCGTCCATGCCTTCGGAGTCGATTAACGAGATTAGTGGCTGGTAGGATGCCGGAGGTTGAGGCTGTTCGACACGGATGCCGATCTGGCTTGCATCTGAATTCAAAGACGGGTTTAAACCCGAATTCTTCCCTGGTTTTTTAATTGCCTAATAATATTATATTAGTTACATGTGTACGTAGTACCACAAGACTTACCTTTGCATTCTTGCGCGACGGACGCTTTTTCATGATCTTTGTGTGCTTGCGACTTGCACTGGCCTTTGGGGGCATGATGATGAAGGTGGGTGGAAAATGTATATGAAAAATGTATGCTCGAGTCCAGGTGCTTAACAGCCGGAGTTATTTAATTGGCTCCAGGGTTCTATCAGCCTCATGGCGCAGCCAATTCAATTGAAAGATCGATCAGTAATCACGAATGCAGACATTTATGTATTAGACGCACCGAAATCTGCATGCTGTGAACCTCATGGCATGATGATCAGTATGTTTGACGCAGTTTCACGCGGGGTAAGAACAGAATAGGCAAAAAGATGTGATAATGCGGATGATATCGATAGTGACAAGAAGAGAAATCAGTCACGAGGTTAAAGGAATCAGTCACGAGGCTACATCAAACATTACTACAAAACTCTTGAATACATAAAACTGGTACACCGTTGATCTAGAGCGGCAATCGATGAATCAGTGACATCCTTGACCAAGATAAGAAATGAACTTAACTGATTGCCTAGTCCCGACCGCTTTTGGAGTCTTCACCACCGTTGTTAGCCATGATCAAGTCTGTCGGTGACCCCGTGTGCGATAAGTAATCCCTCCATATTGTTGTATTTACCTTGCACAAACTTGAGGGACTCCTTTGCTTTGAAGAGGTTCGTAGTAACGCTGGAGGATGGTTCAGAAACCTCTGTGCACTCTTTCTGCGTGTTTTCAATCCAGAGTCGAAGCCCATCTTCTGCGGCTTCATGTTCTTTCTTCAACTTGTTGATGGATTGATTCAAGAAATTAGTCCACCTGCTCGCCTCTTCTACCTGCCAAATCCTGGTCATGATAAGGTGGCGAAGCTTCTCGCAAGTAGCATACTGAGCGGCAACAGCCACTTTGAGGTCCTCAGGCGGTATGTCTGTGTCGCCCAGAATCTCTGGAGCCTGTTCAATTGAGTTCAATACAATAAGTACCAGCAAACATGTGGAAAAGACTTACAAGGGACACAAAACTTGCAATAGGGATATCATATCCCTCTGACTCAGAGTCAAACAAAGCAGAGTTAAATGAGGAGCAGCTCCCCTTGGGAGATCGTAAGGAGTAGTTCGCCCGGGGAGAGTGTAAGGAGTAGTTCCCCTGGGGAGACCAAGACCTGCGTAGAGACCGAGACCTATGCTGAGCCTTAAGACCTGCTCTATAAGCAGGAGAGGAATGTTCGACGAAAGTTGCAGAGCTGGTTGGGCTAGAAGGGCGCATAGTAGCAATACAAGTGTCCAGCATGATATGAACAATGAACTTCGAGGATTTGAATGTTTTCTCCTCAGCGCTGCGGTGCTGTCAACAGACTTGTCAGCAAGTTTCGGAGTTTGAAGGACTTAACAGAATTCCGAATACACAGTGCGGCGTGCCATCTTAAACCTCAGGCTGAGGCTGTATCAATAAGCTCTTCAAGTTGAACGCTCCCAGAATGGCATCCAATGTGGAAGAGGGCTTTATCTCTGACGAGACGTTTTTTAGGGCCGGAGAGTACATTTTTTTGATGATATCAAACCCTACACGATGGTCCTGATCAAGCTGGCTATATACTAGTGGTACTAGCCAGTATTCTTGTCCCACCTGTTCCACGCCATTTGTGAGGGTAGAAGAACTTTGCACTCACCTTACAGATGATCCACAATGCAATGCTGTACCCATCCCGCATGCACTTCACCAACCTGCTGGTCCAGGTGAAGAACGCATGGGTCAGTATCACACAAAATCAGGGTCTATTTACGGGTTTCAACGGCCAAATACGTTTGAATGCATGAAGGCTCATGACTATGAGTCCGCTCGCGAACATAACATGTACTACCCATTTTCTGGGAGGGAGGAATGGGAACTCGCCAAATTTCTCATCGAGAATCTGAATCAGGGGCAAATAAGTCGCTTTTTGAAGCTATTATGGGTCAGTGAACTTTACATTAACTTTTAAATTTTAACACCTCGCTATTAGGTGAGGTCAGAAACACGGCAACAACCCACATTCAAAACTGCGCCCCAACTGATAACCTTTATGGACGCCCTGCCAAAGGGACCGCAGGGGCGCTGCACAACAATCGAGACAGATGGTTATGTTACAACGCATCCTGTGCATCTTATCTGGCGTGATGCTTTGGAGGTAACGAAGCACATATTCGGCAATCCAATTTTTGCCAATGACATGGAATTCGATCCATATGAGATATTTGTTGATGGAGAATGGGAATATGGTGAATGGATGTCGAGTTCGCGTGTGCATGATATCCAGGCTTGTATTATTTTTTATGTTTGAATACGAATTCTGACAATAGTTTTTATGCATAGGACGAGCTTCCACGAGGTGCTACCATTGTACCCATTGTTCTTGCATCGGACAAAACTCCAGTCACTCGACACACAGGAGGTCTCGAGATGCATCCCACATTCCTTACCATCACTAACATCCGATCTGACATTCACATGAAGGCTACAGCTCACGCATGGTCGTGCATCGCGTATATGCCCATTCCCCAGTACATTTGCAACCCCGAGTTCTCTTCGCTCTTGCAAGCCCGTGTGTGGCATCGGTGCATGGATATAGTCTGCAGGAATCTCAAGCAGGCTGCCGCTGTAGGCACAAGTATGGTGGACCCATTGGGTCTCTTACACTATGGCTTTACCCCCCTTGTCGCATATACCGCCAACCTCCCCGAACAACAAATGATTTCATGTGTAAGTAAGAATACATCACCAGTCACTCTAGCCATCCAGTCACAGTTCGGGGACGGAAAGTTGTATGAACCTCGCGATGGCCAAGGCACACTCAGGACGCTTGAAGAACTTGGTCAGTGTATCGATCCCTGGAAGGTCCAGGAATTTCAAGAAGCAGCCAAAGTGTCACATCTCAGCGGGGTGCAGCTTCCCTTCTGGCGTGACTGGCACTTCGCTGATCCAGCTATTTTCCTTGCACCTGAACTTCTCCACACATGCCACAAATTTTTCTTCGATCACATTCTCAAGTGGTGTAAGGAAGTTGTTGGGGCTGATGAACTTGATACTCGCTTTTGTTCGCAGCATAAACACATTGGAACCTGTCACTTTGGGCAAGGTGTTTCGCATGTCCAGCAGATGACCGGTTGGGAACATCGGGACATCCAACGCACAATTGTACCTACAATCGCAGGTGTCGTCGATCCTGATTTCGTCCGTGCTGTTCGTGCACTGGTTGATTTCATCTACAAAGCACAGTCTCCAACTTTCACTCCAATGTCAATCGCTGATATGATCTCCTCACTCCAAGAGTTTCACGACTTCAAACATGCAATTCTCCGTGCCAAGGCTCGCCGAGGAACATCGGGTCCTATTGAGCATTTTGAAATCCCAAAACTTGAGCTCTTAGCATCATTCGCTCGAGCCATCCCCCAGCTTGGCTCCATCATACAATTTACTGCTGATGTCAGTGAGCGTATGCTCATCACACAGTGCAAGAATCCATTTGAGTGCACCAGCCACCAACGTGCAACGTTCACTCAGCAAGTTGTCCGTCTCCTGGACCGGGAAGAAACTGCACGCCAGTTTGACCTCTACACCCTCCTCCACTCAAACAGCTTATCCCTCAACAACCTGATCATCAATGAATTTGACGAAGTTGTTGACATGGACCCGATGTTGGGTTGGATCATGCGCGTCGCTCCTGAAGAACTGTCTCATCTGCAAGGCCCTCGCCCTGTTCGCAACCATTTCCTTAAAGGCCTGCTGTCTGAAGACAGCAGGATCGCCTTTCATATCACTGTATCCAGTGACCACACCAACAAGACACCGCCTGTTTTGGCGTGATTATACCAGCTTCCTGACTTTCCTCTGAAGCTTCGCTCCTTCATTGAAAGTGTCAACCCTATGCTCGCAACTCGTTTCCAGAACCGTCTGCTCAATGTCTGGAACAAGTTTCGTATTCAGCTGCATTCGATGTTGTGTCCGCGTCTCGTCATGCCGAGCCAGCAGGTACAAGCATATCCACCATCTACCAATTATCCTCGTGGAAATTGCGATGCTGTCCTGCTGCAGATGCACAGTGAAGGTGAAGAAGGTGAAAATCTTGGTGAGTTTTGAAGTTATGGTCAGTATCTTTGTATTCATGCATTTCTTCACTAGACGCCATTGTAGCTCAAGTTTGCATGGTGTTCGGCTTGTCAAAGAAAGGCCCACCATTGCCTCCTGAACTTGATCAAATCTTCCTCTATGTACAGCTCTTCGAAGTCGTCGCACGTCCTCAAGATGATGTTGGAGTCATGATGTTCCACGTCAAGTGCCGTTTTGTGACCGGTCCTGATGGCACACAAGTGTGGGTTGGCATGATCATTCCTCTGCTCGATGTTACCCATGCGATCGAGCTCATTCCTGTTTACGGGGACAGAGCTAATCGTGCTGTTGACTCCTCGACGTGTTTGGAACGCTATGATACCTTCTACCTTAACAATTTTTCAGACAAGGAATGGTATCACACGCTACACACAGACTTTATGTAGTTCTCTCAAGTCTCGATGACTTGTGGTGTGCATCGCAATGTTAGATTGATTGATTGGACTATCTTACAAAGATAAGATTCGGTAAACAATTTAAGACTAAATCTAAGACTTGATTTCGTGATTTTGACACGACTAAGTGAGTTGTCAGATCTCCACCAATCGCATGAGTTCACTACTGAAGTCGTAAGCATTCGTAAGTGTTCGTAATGCGCGTAAGTTAAGCGTTCATTTCAGTCGTTTTGCAGATGCGGAAATTACGATGGAGTTTCGTCCTGACGGGGATATGTGTAATGGCTACTCAGGACTTGTCCTGAGTAGAAGCAAACAGAGGAAAGGCTGCAAGGACAAAGTCCGAAGCAGAATAGGTCCGGAGGACCGCGGGAAAGTACCAGAGGAACTTCTGGAAACTTGGAGGAATGGTGGATCGGAGGAGCGGAGGAGCGGAGGAGCGGAGGAGCGGAGGAGCGGAGGATCGGAGGATCGGAGCTCCGGCCTAGGGATGTAATATTCAGACTAAGGAAATACAGGAGTATCTACTGGGGTTTATATACTAGAGGCAAGTCTGTGCAGATCAGTAAGCAGAGGGGTAAGGCTATGTACGATGTAGGACACGAGCTGGCGCTGGGCTCGTATCGAGCTATTTTACAGTACACGTCAAATACCCGTCACATGCTAATCACTTCCCGATGTTATCCGACGCTAACCCGCCAACCCGACGTTTAGGCCACATCGGACCCGATGTTTTCCCGCGCACTTGTCCTATCCGTGTCCCGTCCTGTCTTGCTAGCCCCACTAGGTGTGTAGTTCATTATTTTGCACATTGCTCACGTCGTAGCCAGCGCTATTACATGTTTTCCCATAGTCCGCAGCGCCTCATGTTTATTTACATGTACTTCGGATCTGAAATACTCCGCCGCTACTTTCGCCTACGGGTTCCGCATTTCTACGTACTTACATATATATTGGACTGACCTCGAGCATTATTCATTATCCAAGTAGAGGGGAGCAGTCCCCTGACGCTTAGTGGTCAAACCCGATATTTCGTAGTTCTTAGTTGATATTGCGAATATCATCGCTCTTTCATTATCCATATCAGTCATTGTTATTATCGCGCACACCGCTCGCTCTTCCGACGCTCGCTATAGTGTTACTATTAATTTCCAACATCCCGAACCCGAACCCGATATCCCGAAACCCCGAAAACATCGGACCCGACGCTTTTGCGTCGGACATCGTAATTATACCTTTGGACATTGTTTCCCGCGCTCGGACTATTGACCCCACATCACTCACTTACCCCCAAGACTATTCCCAGACCGCAGACCCCTGGGTCGAACGCACTTGTCAGGCAAGTATAGCAGACTAGGCAGTGCAAAGACCACAACACAAATATATCAGTTTGGAGCAATCTTTGTTTTGTTCCTCTCAGTATTGTTGTTTCTACAACTGGAGCCCACCGCGAGGGGTCCATCTGGTTTAGTTTTGATTAAGTGATTTTGATTTTAGGATTTCCCGACGAACCCGTACTTCGGACCCGACGACCCGACGATATTTCCGACGTACCCGCAGTTTTTCCCATCATGCCCGACAGATTTGGCATGCCATTCAGGACAGAACAATCAGCCCCAAGATTCACTGGCGATGTTTACGGAGTTTTCGCATTTTTGCAATCTGTAGACCAACTCGGACAAAAGTGCAATTTATCGGACACTGAGCTCATCAAGTATACTCTCAGGTATATCCAATGCGACCACAAAGAACTATGGGCAGGATGCCCTGAGGCCCGAGGTACATCTTGGTTAGATTTTACTAACGAAATTCTGTCGTCCTACCCAGAAGGAGGCATACACGAGTATACCCGACCCGATCCGCAGCCCGAAATACCCGAACCCGAGGAATTTGATGGTTATGAATGGTGGACACTTCCCCTAAGTGACGAATACACACCCGCACAAGAACGCCTAACTTCAGAAATAGAAATCTCCGCACCCGAAGACCCTATCGCAACATCCGACGCCCCAGAGGGAGTCCGAAGTCCTGAAATTTCGGACTTGACCTTCGGACAAGTTCAGTTACCATTGGAACAATTGGATGTATTCGTAGAAGTCATTGATGCAGACGTACTAACATCAGAAGTCTTAGATTCAGAGCTAACGTCGCTAGAAGACAACGTACCCGAGATACCCGAAACATCGGCCGACGAATTCCCCGAAATATGGGATATTTGTACCAGGAGTTTAGATCACGAACTCGTTTTACCTTCTCCAGATCGCACTGATTATTTTGTTCACGCAGTAGCCGTCGCTTTATTTCTCACCGGTTATGTCACTTGGTCTAGGTATCATTTTGAATTGTCACACCCGAAAATCCGCACGTCAAAACCCGAAACACCCGAAACACATTTCCCCGTCATCCCGAAGATATGCCCCATTTACCCACAGTTTCCCTGCAGAGTTTCGCCCTACTGTCACCCGTCGCATCGGATCCGAATTATCCGACTCCATCATCCGGTCTACCGACGCTTTCAATACCCTCGTCCATCGCACTCCCAGATCGCGTTTTACCAGTATGAAAGCCAACGACGTCTTTACCTTAGGAAAAAGCTATAGTTCGAAACCCCGAAATTTCGGGTAACGCGATACCCGAAAATGCGCACATATGTTCATAGCTTGCGCATACTAGCTTCGCACGTTTTACCCCGGGTTTAGGCCGGTGTTTCATATCTCAATAAACCCGAAAAATCCCTATCCTCATACATCCGCACCTACAGAAGAAACTAATAGTACACAGACATTCGAATCCGAACGCGCGCTAATAACCCCTATTTATATAGCATTTCATCTTCGAACTGCGCATCGCGCGCGCACCCTTATATATACGTAGAAAAACCCGAAAAAACCCGAAGAAAGACAGTCAAAAGTTGCACGAAGAAGTCAAGTCAGATGGTAATCTGCATCCCTAGTATCATCTTGACTATGTTATCCGAAAATTCATTTGGCACTTACGATTATTTTTTTCATTGTTTTTTATTAGACACCCTAGTGGGGGACCACCTAGCATCGGATCCGAGATACAGACATAGGGGACACATAGGACAAGCGCAGATTTTCGGACATTGCATCGGCCGACGATTTCGGACTTCGGATACCATTGCACACTCGGACATTGAGTTGTTTGCATCCATCGCATTTGTGCAGAAGAGAACAGTGATAGATTATGCAGAGAAGTAGGAAAAGATGTCAGAACACGAGCAGACACATATCAGTGCATTTTCGGACTTGCACTCGGAAAGTTCCCGCGCATCGCATCGGCCGCGTCGGCCGCTCAGATACATTCCCGCACATCGCATACCTTCGCATCACTTCCCCTATGCTTGAGATACCTCGCATTCATCAGATTTATCCGTTGCCGCACTCATCACGAAATATTGAAACAATCACGCATATCCGCACTTCGGACCTGACAAACCCGCCGTTTTTCCCGCACATCGGCCGCTGATTTCGGACATTCGGATCGCACTTCGTCGCATCAGAGTCATAGACATCCATTCCCCGCGCATATCATGTTTAAACCTCCTATTCTTCCCTCGCTTTCGCTTGAGTAGTACACTGACTGGGGACAGTCAGTATTCAAAGTTCGTAGGAGATGTAGGACACGAGCTGGCGCTGGGCTCGTATCGAGCTATTTCACAGTACACGTCAAATACCCGTCACATGCTAATCACTTCCCGATGTTATCCGACGCTAACCCGCCAACCCGACGTTTAGGCCGCATCGGACCCGATGTTTTCCCGCGCACTTGTCCTATCCGTGTCCCGTCCTGTCTTGCTAGCCCCACTAGGTGTGTAGTTCATTATTTTGCACATTGCTCACGTCGTAGCCAGCGCTATTACATGTTTTCCCATAGTCCGCAGCGCCTCATGTTTATTTACATGTACTTCGGATCTGAAATACTCCGCCGCTACTTTCGCCTACGGGTTCCGCATTTCTACGTACTTACATATATATTGGACTGACCTCGAGCATTATTCATTATCCAAGTAGAGGGGAGCAGTTCCCCGATGCTTAGTGGTCAAACCCGATATTTCGTAGTTCTTAGTTGACATTGCGAATATCACCGTTCCTTCACCGCCTGTATCAGTCATTGTTATTATTGCGCACACCGCTCGCTCTTCCGACGCTCGCTATAGCGTTACTATTAGTTTCCGACACCCCGAACTCGAACCCGATAACCCGAAACCCCGAAAACATCGGACCCGACGCTTTTGCATCGGACATCGTAATTATACCTTCGAACATTGTTTCCCGCGCTCGGACTATTGATCACACATCACTCACTTACCCCCAAGACTATTCCCAGACCGCAGACCCCTGGGTCGAACGCACTTGTCAGGCAAGTATAGCAGACTAGGCAGTGCAAAGACCACAACACAAATATATCAGTCAGGAGCTTTCTTTTGTTCCTCTCAGGATTGTTGTTTCTACAACGAGCATGTGGAAATGTATTAGAAAATAAGACAGATCATAGGAAATGAACTTGGAGATGAAATGAGGTACGGAAAATGAGTATAGTCTAACTTGAGAAGGAACATATAAAGGGATAAGGCACAGAAGATAGACGCAGGTCGGATCTGGATGTTCGGAAGTCCGGAGACAGGTGATTACCATAAGGGGATGGGCGCTGATTTAAGGTTTGAGTTCGGACATGACAGATAGGTCGGATCCGGAGATCCGGAGATGTGGATATCAGATGCAGGAGTACAGGGATCCGGATGGATAGAGGATTGGGTCTGGAGACATGGACAGGAGGTCCGGAGGTCCGGATGAGGCGTGGGAACATCGTCGGATGTTGGTCCGGAATGCAGGATATGACAGCTGTAAAAGTCCTGGTCCCGATAGTGAGGCCTACTGCAGCAATCTCATATGCAACACACTGTAATGTACGTTTCGAACGTGTGAGCAACATTGACGCATGTCTCCTCTTCAGTTCCATAAGGAACTGGGGTATCTTTGGCCGACATTTCCTCGGGCATGCCGATGACTCGTGAATAAATTGTGGCTGAAAGCGCCTAGCATGAGCTGCCGCTGTTCTGCCGCTGGTTGAAACACCGTCCTGAGTCCTGACATGCTGGCCTGTTGAAAAACCAGACTTCCTGAACAGATGAGCCACTTCTCCCCATTCCTCCCATTCCCATTGCAGCTAATAGCTTGCAACAGTGGATATCTGCCTTCGTTAACCTATCTCCCAATTCACAGGCTCAAGGGGCTGCTGTGCTCGAAGGCATCACTGGTCACAGTGACTAGTGCTGCCGTGGTCCGGTTCGTCCAAGGTTCCCAGTGAAAACCCACTGTGGTACGATGAGATCTGTTTATTTTCTGCTTGTAATGTCGTCGATGGGGTGAAATAGGGCAGATTATGAAAAACAAATTGTAGTCACATTGCTTTGCATTGCCAATCAGGAAACCAGTGAGAAAAAGATAAGACTCACACATCAAATTTTAAAGGTGACACATGCACATAATCGCATCACAGTAAGGATATGAATGATATCCTTAGTAATTGCAGTAGCATTAGGAGGGTAACTGGTACGAGATTTTTTCGGCCCAAGTGAGGTCTTCCAAATATCACCATGATACAAGTCATTCACAAGTGCAAGATGGGGAAGATTAATATTTGACCTCAATAAAACAATCGGCAGATATTCATTGAAGAGAATCTCTACCTTATTATCTTGCAAGCATCATGCCATTGAGAAAGCTATTTTTGAAAGTGAAAGCTGTGGAAATGCACTGCACAATACATTTTCGGATGATGAAACTAGGCCTGTAATGCGAAGAAAATTATTGGCAGGCAACGTGCTCAGCGCTCAGGCATTGATGGAATAACAACTTCCGTGGACTCACACTGCAGTCCAAGGCAACCTCTTTCGAAACAGATGCTGGCCATTCACGCCAGCGCATCATGATGGCATCAAGATTTTGTGCTTCGATCGCCAACTGAATTTTTATATTAGCATCGTATTATTTTGTATCGGTCAAGTTGAGAAAGGATTTTACCTTGTGGCTCATTGAATTTCAAATTTTTTTAGGCTAAATGTTGGAGTCACACGAGTACGTACTATCAGTTATCACAACTTCGGTCAACCACTGGTTCAGACACTTTGCAATATCTCACTTAACTCTGCTTCAAATCATATTCTGTCCAACCACATATCATTGTACACTTATAATACACTACTGCGAAGTTGAATAATCAAAATTGGTCGAGAAATGATTGAGATCCTTGTTCAGGTGTGACAGAGCCAAATATCACGTCTGCTTGTCACCAAACTGAGTCTGCCGTGGCGGAGTTTCAGATTTGCCGAACCACTCACTATTAGCAGATGTGTGCTCATAGGGTCTTGGACGGTGCATGGGGCGCGCTCAGGCCAAGAATGCCCATACCCCAACTCTGAGCAAAATGATCCAGCGCGAGTTGCGGATTCAAGAAGCCCTTGCTGGAGTTCAAGGAACTCCTTTGCAGCACCTTCTTTTGCACCGCACTGGCAGGCGCCGCCCTGTCCCAGTCATCTAAATAGTTCCTACAGCCCCTCATAAATTTGTACCAGTTCATAGTGTATATTTAATATAACCTTTTTGATTGTTTAACTTTTAGTTAGAGTAATGAATGCTACGAGGCCTGTGCACTTGAAGCTTCGAAGGTGCTGATACTGGATGCCGAGCAGAACTTGTTTCGGCAGATGTGACATTGAGTTACTATCGTGTTACATTGTGTGACTGTCTGAACCAGTGGTTGACTGAAGTTGTGATAACCAATAGTAGTACGTTCGGCATGCACATATATAGGCGGCGCTTTAAATCAGCCAAGCGAGATATGCAACCACAGTGATGCCCGCCGATTGGCAGACGGGTCATTACTGTAATATTCTATTTTAAGTTCAGGTCTATGTGGCGATACAGTACATCTAAAAGAGTCGAGTTGTCGAAAACGAGTTCAAACATTGTTTTGAACAATTTGAATTCGGTCTAGCGCAGGGCGCGCATTCGTAAATGTTGTTTTTGCTCGACCGAGAGAAAAATACCATTCTGGGACCGCCGTTGTAGTAAAAATGTTAGGACATGGTCCAAATATATAAAATCAAAATTTTCACAAGTGATACAACTATTAACTACTAGAATGTGAATATATTAGTGGTATAGTACATGCATTTATTCAAAAACAAAATCAGATAGTTCGTCGTTGGTTTGTTGTGAGCGCCCGCAAATGACAATACTATCTGTAAACTCGTCAAAAACAGACTTTTCAGTGTCATCGAGCCGATCCAGGCTCAGAACAATATTCGTGAATGTCGAAAACATCATCTGGGGGGTGATCCTACCCTTCGTGAGTTGTATCAAGCCCTGCTCCATCAATGCAGACTCTGTAATGGCGCCGGCTGTCATATCCCGCTGTAGAGACTCATGCCTCTCATGGTGTGATATGGCACTTTTCACTAGGGAGTTCATTGCACGAACTTGCAGCACCATTCTGTGTGCTATCTGCAGCTATCCCTATATGAGGCGCAGCTTTCCCGCGCAATGTGCGCCATGCGCGCACCATTCCCGCGCCTTACGATGTATACGCGCGCGTGCTTTCCCGTGCTTGATCGCCCTATAGCGCCCGCCATCCGGAAGCATCCATCCACTGTCCACCAAGCTCTCTAGTGCGTGTATTTCCATTTCCTTTATTTACATATCATTCCACCTTTATTTATATCATGGACCCTTACTTACATACATATATCTTTACATACCTTACTCGGTAGCGATTCGGCTCTGCATGACAGCGCTTAGGCACCATATAAGCGCCAGCATTACCTACCAGGTGAGAATTACTTTACCTCCCACTTACCCACATACTACTTAGGAGAACATAGTAGAAATCTATTCTTTGACACCTCGCGCTCGTATCTCTTGTCTAGTATCTAATCACCACTTAAGCAAACTCACTCTTACTCTCTCTCATTACCGCTCACGCGCGCTTCCTGCACCTTGCGCGCACCTTCGCTTTCCCGCGCCTCGCGCGCACCTGCGCACTTTCTCGCGCTTCGCATCAGCCGACCAGTAGCGCCTTCGGCGCGCACTACTAGATCCTTGCTGCACTCGCTTCCCCTTTAGGGTCGAACGCACTTGTCGTCTCAAGTATAGCAGACTAGGCAACACGCGACCTCACAACATTTACAGATACAGTCAGGAGCTTCATTTGTTCCTCTCAGTATTGTTGTTTCTAAACCGCATTCCGGACCAACATCCGACGATGTTCCCACGCCTCATCCGGACCTCCGGACCTCCTGTCCATGTCTCCAGACCCAATCCTCTATCCGTCCAGATCCCTGTACTCCTGCATCTGATATCCGGACGCCAGATCTGATATCCACATCTCCGGATCCGACCTATCTGTCATGTCCGAACTCAAACCTTAAATCAGCGCCCATCCCCTTATGGTAATCACCTGTCTCCGGACTTCCGAACATCCAGATCCGACCTGCGTCTATCTTCTGTGCCTTATCCCTTTATACGTTCCTTCTTGAGTTAGACTTACTCATTTTCTGTACCTCATTTCATTTCCGGCTTTATTTTCCTATGTCCTCATCTCTGTCTTCATTTACTATTTTCCGATAGACTAGTGTTTGACTTTTCTATACCCTCCGTCCACAGCCTCGCATAGCTTCGGACTGCGCTGACTGATTCTCTGTTATGTCCTTTGTAGTATATAAACCCTGTAAAGTCTCTATACTTCCTCAGTCTGAATATTACACATATTAGTCCTTGCACTAGCCTTCACCCTAAGTCCTCGTAACAGTTCTAGTCCTCCGACTTAGTCATTATCCATCTCAGGCCTAGGGAGGAATTCCCTAGGCTGGAGCTCCGCTCCTCCGCTCCTCCAAGTTTCTGGAAGTTCCTCCGGAACTTTCCCACGGTCCTCCGGACCTATTCTGCTTCAGACTTTGTCCTTGCAGCCTTTCCTCTGTTTGCTTCTACTCAGGACTTGTCCTAAGTAGCCATTACACATATCCCCGTCAGGACGAAACTCCATCGTAATTTCCGGAAGTTCCTCCGGAAGTTTCTTGCACTCGTCCGGAAAGTCCTTCCGACGTTTCCCACGCTCCTCCGGAAGTCCTTCGGACTTCACTGGACTTTCTCCGGACTTCATTCTGAAGTTAAGGGCACATACTTGAGTAAGGGGCGCAGCGCACGAGCTGAAGCCAAGCCCCTTGGAATCAGTCCTACCCTTTGTGCACGGTCTTAACACCGGCTGCGCCAATAGCATAACGTAGTTGACGGCGTGGGGATTCGTCAAGAAATGTGTGTAGCCTGAAGGGCGAACACCATATGAGTCTCGTTAGGACGTGAAGAATGAATGGATTGGTGAATTTCGAGTTAATGACAAGCGCACCATCCTGTCGAAATAGAATAAAAAAGTGTTCTCGAAAATCAATAAAAACTTACTGCAGTAAACGTGTATTGATGCATGAACACTAAGGCATTATCTATGACGAGGCGGCGTATTCGATCAACATGAAAAGTATCTGGGGGGATAACACAGCCCGGTGGTGGGAAAAGGGAATATCCCATCACGACAGCATGTCGGATGATCATTGCAAACGAAGTGCAAAATTTCGTCACTGTGCACCAGATATTTGCGACGTCCTTTTCATTAGCCGTCCATTGAGTCGCAACTAGTAGGATCAAATAATTAGTATAAGTTAGTGTGCGCATGTTGATTCATACCGAGAAGCGCTGGTATTCCAAGTCTTACTTCAGAAATGACATTTCTGACGATGCGTTTTTTGTCAGATGCGAGATATGCCAATGCATCCTCAGAAAAGACGATAGATAATATGCGCTCTTTCGAGAGCGAGATCGCTTGTTTGTGTGTCTCAAGAATGATATTAATGGTGGAACCTTCAATGGATTCCGTAGGTGCCACTGTCCCCGTCATCGTTGGGGGCGTCACAGCAGGAATGAGAAGACGTGGTGTGGGGGGCAGGCATTGAGTTGCATGACGACATGCTTTCGATGTCCTTGCGGGCCCTGTGGTCTGGTAATATCAGGTCAATTTTCGATGATGCAGGATAAGGGTTAAAATGAAGGGGCACGATGTAAAAAGAACAGCTGCAGATGTGAAAAATGAATACAAATGAGAAAGGGGCCATGATGGATTTGCTAAACTGTAGCATGCACGTTACAATGTGTTCTTATTGATTGATCAGTGGAGCGCATAATGACCGGACACATGTATAGCATACCTAAATTAGAAGTGCAGGGCTCATACAAATAATGGTGTATGGGAAGGGTGTGCGGACTGTGCTGCCGAATTGACCAAAACCTGTGAGTTATCTTCCAGATCTGCGGATACCAGATTATCTCTAACCGAAACCCCAGGCTCAGGTGATGGGGATCCCAATCCTCTAGCTCCAGGTTGCAAGAAATCCTTCTTGACACGTGCACCTAAGATCTTTGAGAATTGCTCAGCTTGTAGCAAGACAACACGAAGAATCTCCATTTCATCCTCATACACAGCTTGAAGATAATCTCTGTCGTCATTGACATCAGAACGGTCACGCTCAGAAAATAGCTTTCTAAAGATGTTTAAGTCTTCTTGAGTGAATCCGAGCCGTTCTTCATTGTCGACATGCAGAGTATCAAGGAATTCAAGGAAGTGCTCAGTTTCCTCAATTTCCCATGCGGTCACCAACATGCACTGGCGTGCAGTCTCATGAGCAGCAAGCTTTGCTTGATACCCTTTGTACAAGGTTGCAAGACGCATTTGTGTGAGGCCATTTTCCAATGTTCCGGCATGCTTTCAATAATTTAGTCTCTACAATTAAATAAAAGAAATACATGATACCTCAAGAAGTGAGTCAGAGGATACATATGGTTTGCATTCTCGCCCGGAGACATGAGCTGCATAACGGACCTCAATTGGAGCCGGAGAGGAGGGTACGGAATGAACTTGTTGCTCATTCTCTCGCGGATAAAGCCACATTGAGAAGCGCGCGCAGGGTTTGGAGGTGTAGATGGATTATAGAATAGGCTGTCCGTCTCTGATTTGGCAGCTGCAATCTGAGGTGTCTTTGCCAGTGAGGATATGCTTCTTAGTGAAGCACATATGTCAGAATGCCTCGTATTGGGAGAGCTTTCTGACTTGAGACTGGAATCAAAAAGAGATGATCCAGGAGTGGTAGCACGTCCGCCTGATAGAGGTGAAGGTGGGGGACTGCTTGATGGAGGAGGGCAACTACTGCCTCCAGATATGGGGGAGGAACTGACATGTGGAGAAGAGACTGTATGAATCATCATGTACAAAGGGTGGACTTGGGAGAACCTGCGGAAGGCTAACTGGGAAATCTAAGTATATGAGAGCGACCCGTTGGATTATCACAAGGTTGACATCAGCCGGCAGAGTCTAAAAGACTGAATTGATTTGCGCACTGCATAACACATAGCACTCAGCAAGGGGCAGCAAATGTGCGTATATCATTGTCACTCAATGGTGCTGATCAATGGACATACCTGTACCAGGTTTTGTCCCAACTGCAGTAGAGAGTTTCCTACAATCAAGGCCATTACCCTGCACTTGAATTCTCAGTCTACCTGTTGGCCACACGAGGAATGTCTGCATCAATTCCCTGTTCCCCCTGGGTTGCGAGGTTCCCAATCATCAAAACCTTCTACCACTACTGGTTATTGTCATCCGCACTCGGGATATGTCTTTGGTGTTGGCAAGAACCTGTTTGACAGGCTGCAAGACGATCAGTATAATTATCGGCGAGAAATAAATATGTATTACCCTTTCCATGATGAAGGAGAATGGGAGTTGGCGAAGTTCTTGGTTGAAAACTTAACTCAAGCTCAGATTGACAAGTTTTTAAAGTTAAAATGGGTAGGAGAAACTTTGAGTGCTGCTCGACAGGCCTGACTCCGTTGTTTCCAGTTTCACACTCGCCCAAAACCATCCTTCACCTCCAAGAAGCAACTTCTAGATTGGACCGATGCACTGCCCTCTTTCGTGCCATGGAAAGTTTCGAACCTAGAGTTTACGGGCTACAAGACGACTTATCCCGTGCAACTTATTTTGCGCAATGCTCTAGAGGTTGTCAAACAACTTTTCAGTGATCCGGTTTTCGCCAATCACATTACCTTCCAGCCACACGTAGTCAATACAGGAAGTCAACGCGAGTATGGAGATTATATGAGTGCCAATATGGCATGGAAAATCCAGGTTAGTTTGGCCCTTTTAGTCTACTACGTGAAGTTAATTCTATATACCTAGGACTATCTGCCAGTAGGTGCTACGCAAGTACCTATCATCTTGGGATCCAATAAGACCCCTGTCACGCGGATTACTGGAGGGCTCGAGATGCACCCACTTTTTATCACCATCGGTAACATCGATTCGGAGGTTCACTCCAAGGCCACCCTACGAGCTTGGTGCTGTATCGCCTACATGCCTGTTAGTAAGTTTCGCGTGCATCCTGACTATCAGACCATTCTTCAGGCGCGGCTATGGCATAAGTGCGTTGATCTCGTCTGCGCCAACCTGAAGGTTGCAGCAAGTGATGGCTATTTTATGCCTGATCCTTCCCGACATATTTGATATGTCTTTACACCACTTATCGCCCATGTATGCGACCTTCCCGAGGCCTCCATGATCGCTGCAGTCAGCAAGAATGTCTCTCCTGTCACTATGGCGACACAAGACAATTTTGGTGATGGAATTCTCTATCCTCCTCATACTGGGAAGCACACACTACAACTTATACACGGGATCGCCAAAGAGATTGATCCTTGGGATCTCGACAAATTTCAGAAGGCAGCAAAAGCTGCCCATCTGTCTGGGGTCCACATGCCATATTGGCTTGATTGGTTGTTTTCGTGTCCATCTGTCTTTCTCACTGGCGAAGTTTTACATACCCTTCATAAGTTTTTTGCAGATCATCCACTCAAATGGATCAAGGAGATAGTAGGAAAACCCGAGCTCGACACCCGCTTCATTATTCAGCACAAACAGGTAGGGACGCACCACTTTACTAAAGGCATCATGCACGTCAACCAAATGACTGGGTGTGAGCATCATGATATTCAACACACCATTGTTGCTTCAATTGCAGGCGCTGCTCCACCTAGATTCGTTCGTGCAATCCGCGCTCTCATAGATTTTATCTATTATGCTCAAAATCCAGTCCATTCTCCCGAATCCTTACAGTCGATGGTGCAGGCACTCTCTGATTTTCATGCATTCAAGGATGCTATCATCGAGGCCAAGGCGAGGAGGGGGAAGAAGGGCGCCAAAGAAGACTTTTTTATCCCCAAGCTCGAGTTACTCCAAAGCTTCAGAGGCACAATTGAGAGACTGGGTACCTTGATGCAGTTTTCAGCCAATATGACGGAGTGCTTGCTCATCACTCACTGCAAGGATCTCTTTGCCCGAACAAGTCGACGAGTGAATGATTTCATGGAGCAGTGCATACGGATTCTCAATCGCCAGGAGTCAATGGAATTGTTCAACCTGTATGCGCTGATCACTTCCCATGGTGCATCGCTCATCAACGCCATAAGCCTTGAAGATGAGGAAGTGACGACTGTCAACCCAGCACTCTCCTGGGTTTCTCGTATACTCCCTGATGAAGCATATTCTGTCCATGGACCTCAACGAGTCCGTAATCATTTTCACAAGGGCATTCTTTCTGGAGACACTCTCACTGCCTTCCATTCAACTTCAACACCAGATCTCAAGTCCCTGTCGCCCATCGATATTCTCACCAAATACGCACTCGTTGATTTTGATCACGCAGTCTCCCAGTTCATCCAGTGTTCTTCCCTCTCCAGTGGCGAGAATACTCACTGGGACCACAAACATGGACACTTTTACGCGTGGAACAAATTTCGATTGCAACTTCACTCTGCCTTCCAGCCTCGAGTGATCATGCCAAGCAGAGTGATCCAATCATACCCGCTGTAGGACACGAGCTGGCGCTGGGCTCGTATCGAGCTATTTCACAGTACACGCCAAATACCCGTCACATGCTAATCACTTCCCGATGTTATCCGACGCTAACCCGCCAACCCGACGTTTAGGCCGCATTGGACCCGATGTTTTCCCGCGCACTTGTCCTATCCATGTCCCGTCCCGTCTTGCTAGCCCCACTAGGTGTGTAGTTCATTATTTTGCACATTGCTCACGTCGTAGCCAGCGCTATTACATGTTTTCCCATAGTCCGCAGCGCCTCATGTTTATTTACATGTACTTCGGATCCGAAATACTCTGCCGCTACTTTCGCCTACGGGTTCCGCATTTCTACGTACTTACATATATATTGGACTGACCTCGAGCATTATTCATCATCCAAGTAGAGGGGAGCAGTTCCCCGACGCTTAGTGGTCAAACCCGATATTTCGTAGTTCTTAGTTGATATTGCGAATATCATTGCTCTTTCATTATCCGTATCAGTCATCGTTGTCATCACGCATACCGCTCGCTTTTCCGATGCTCGCATAACGCGTCACTATTAGTTTCCGCATACCCGACCCGTTTCCGACTACCCGACCCGACAAACCCGACGCTTTTGCATCAGACATCGTAATTATACCTTCGGACATTGTTTCCCGCGCTCGGACTATTGATCACACATCACTCACTTACCCCCAAGACTATTCCCAGATCGCAGACCCCTGGGTCGAACGCACTTGTCAGGCAAGTATAGCAGACTAGGCAGTGCAAAGACCACAACACAAATATACCAGTTTGGAGCAATCTTTGTTTGTACCTCTCTGTATTGTTGTTTCTACACCGCCCAGTGACATATTTCCCCTCGGGAACTGTGATACCGTCCTTGTCGATGTTACGGGTGATGACGGCCAAATTAGTACGTATATTTTTTGCTGTCATATTCTAACACTAACAAGGTGATATTCAGCAAGTCGTGTCACCCAAGTTCAACTTATTTTTCAGCCCAAGGTTCCACGTGCTTCCAACCTGGTTCTTCCAACATACCTTTCCAGTCCGCTCCTCTACATACAATATTTCGACTTTGTCGCCAATCCCAATGATCGTCCTGAACTCGCGATGTGGACAGTAGAGCGGTGTAGAGACTCATGCCTCTCATTGTGTGATATGGAAGTTTTCACTAGGGAGTACACAGCACAAACTTGCAGCATCACTCTGTATGCTATCCGCAGCTATTCCCTTATGAGGCGCAGCTTTCCCGCGCAATGTAGTTCGGAAACTCGATATTGGCCAATATACACTTTGGCAATGTTTGCAGAATGTTCATCGGCATTGTTCCGAGATGTCAGAGCTTGAATTTGGCCGCTTATCGATATGATAAGTGATAGCGAGGGTATTGATACCTTTATTGACTCATGGATCAACCACCGGGGTTCGCAATGAATCGTCAACACCTAGCTGCGCTCGTGACAAATAATCGGCCAGAGGTCCGGGAACGACTACTGAAATGTATGGTACTAGTCATCAGCATTGTTGTTGCTGCCACCCATAGTGTACTACAGACCATATATCCTAAAGACCCGGAACCCTACCATACTTCAGCTCTATCCGGGCAAGACTGGGTTATCGAGTTGCTGACAGGTCACCCAGAACACATTAGGTGTGAGCTTGGCATGCATGCCAATGCTTTTGTGGAGCTTATCTCCGAGCTTCGCACCATGGGCCATTCAGACTCCAAGTTCATGTCCCTTGAGGAACAACTTGCGATTTTTCTCTACACCTCCGTGACTGGCCTATCAATCAGGCACGTTGCTGAGAGATTCCAATGCTCAAACGAAATGATTTCACGGTAAGTTTTTAATTTTAATTTGAGCGACAGTATTTGATGTTATGCAGTTATTTCCACAAGATGCTTATCATTTTCACGTCTGACCCTTTCTATCCAAAATACGTACGCTTTCCAGATGGTTCAGTCTCTCGCAAAGTTCGGAAGAACCCCAAATGGTGGCCCTTTTTCAAGGACACTATTGGGGCGCTTGACGGCACTCATATCCACGTCACGCCTAAGGCCATCGAATGTCCTGTCTATCGTAATCGCAAAGGCTTTGTATCCCAGAACTGCCTCTTCGCGTGCGATTTTGATCTGAACTTCACGTACACGCTCACGGGCTGGGAAGGGTCGGCCACTGATGCGCGTGTCTACGAGGATGCGTGCTCTTTCGACTTTCACACTCCCGCTGGAAAGTTTTTCTTGCTGACGCAGGATATCCTCTACGTCGCGGGCTACTTGTGCCCTACTGAAGTGTGTGTTATCATCTTGCCGAATGGGGCCGCACAAATACACGGTAAGTTCTCAATTGATTTGCAAACGTTGTGCTAAGTTCTACATTTTACAGGCCCTCAAATAAAGAAGAATTGTTCAATCTGCGTCACGCGTCAGCACGAAACATCGTTGAGCGCATCTTTGGTGTTCTCAAGAAACGATATCGCATACTACTCCTACCACCTGCATACGCTATGGAGATTCAAGTGCAAATTCCAGCCGCGTTGTGCGCCATGCATAACTACATACATATAAATGACCCTAGTGATGGTCAGCCACCCGCTAATGACGAAGACGATGAAGACGGCTTTTTTGAGGATGGTCTTGATGCTGACGTGGTTGCAGAAGATGATGTGGCCGCTATTGAAGAGGATGACGAGGATGAATTCCATCAAGGAGCTGCAATGCGTGATCGCATTGCAGCAGCGATGTGGACTCAGTATCAGCGTGTTGTACTGGAATGTAGTTTAGAAGGACTTGATATCATGGACGGCGATGAAGATGAGGACATTGCTGATGACAATGAGGATGCTGCTAGTGATGTGTAGTTATACTTAGTACTTAGTCTGCTCCAAATCAATGAACAAAGCACTTTGTTATTGCCACAAAACAAAAGATATTCGGTCACAGCTAGTAGTACAAAGTATAGCAAAACAAGTAACGAGCGAACACAGCATGATTGGAAACAAACAAACATTGTCCAAGTGAGACGACTCAGCCCGTCATTTCAGCATCAGCACGCGCTGGACCAGCAGCATCACCAGCAGCAACTGACTCGCCAATCAGCTTCTCCACAAATGCACGCCTCCTCTGCTTCTCCTGGAGAGTCACGTAGAACTTGAGGTAGTGTTCGTTGCCCTTTGAGCCAATGATAGCGATCAAATCGGCCTGCTGGTCCGGCGGTATGTCAGAGTCTTCGCCTTCCAAGATTTTGATGGCTCACATGACCAAGTCCTCACTACCTTGCTGTCATATCCCACGTTCCGGACCCAGACCTATCACACACATCATTTCCGGAAGTCCAGATCCGACCCGCATCTAACTTCCGTGCCTTATCCCTTTGTACGTTCCTACTCCAGTTAGACTATATCATTTTCCGTACCTCATTTCATTTCCGCTGTAGGGATTCATTTCTGGCTGGGCTTGTAGAGACTGTTTTTACCTTACCTTATGTTGGCACTTTTGTAGCTTACATAAGCAAGTTACCTTTTCACCAGTTACCAGTATGAGTCTGAGTCTTGAGCAGTTTTTATGACATTTCCTCTCCTCTGAGCCTTGAGCCTGGTCCAGAAACCCTTTAGGGTCGAATAGCAGCTAGGTTCTGCAAGACCCAACATTGTTCAGACTCACTCTCTGAATTGTTGTACCTTCACCGCCTTTATTTTCATCTGTTCTAATCTCTGGGTTCATTTACTATTTTCCGATAGACTAGTGTTTGACTTTTCTATACGCTCCGTCCACAGCTTTGTATAGCTTCGGACTGCGCATCTCTGTTCTCCAATAAGCCCTCAGTAGTATATAAACCCTGTAGAATCTATGTACATCCTTAGTTCGAATATCATCTTAGACTCTGCTCATTCCCTCCTCCATCCGACTTGAGTTTCTCTCTTGTCGACCTCCGCTCGTCTTAGGATTGATTCCTATAGACTTGTCACCTCTGCCTCTACCTCTGGTAGTCCTCCGCTGTTTCCTTTCTAGTTCGGACTTCGTCCGGATTAGTCTTATCTCTTGTTCCCGAACGTCCGCCGGAATTCCCACGCATCGGACATCGGACTCCGGACATCGCCCGACGCCCTCCGGACATCGTCCAGTAACCTTCGGACATCGTTCGACAGCCCTCGGAAGTTAGGGGCATGTACTCGGGTAAGGGGCACAGCGCACGAGCTGAAGCCAAGCCCTTCGGATCTGACCTTTGAGCACGTTCTTAACACTTGCGCACCATCAGGCCCTCCTCTAACGAACCATTCGAAGACGTCTGTGAGCCAATTAATGGTGCCCTGCATCCCCACAACTGCCGCTGCCGGTGTGATCTTCGCAGCCTTGGCGGCACTGCTGATCTTGGTGATGCGGCTGTTCTGGGACACCACCGGCGTCCATGGTTTCTTGGATGGGGGGGATGACACCAATGTGGTAGAAGGAAGTTGCATGGACGACATGTGAGTGGAGGCGATTGACGTTGTCTCAACGTCCCCCATCACATCTGAATACGATCGCTTGCTGGCATTAGAGCCAGCAGCAGTAGAGGCAGACATAGCGGTGGAACACGCAGGAGTGGAGCTAGCGATGGAAGTAGTGGTGGGGGCAGTGCTTGATGAGCCAGCAACAGCACTTGATGGGCCAGCAGCAGCACTTGATGAGCCAGCAGCCTGTGGGGCAGTATCCGTGAGGTCGCTGTCAGGATTGGTGATGGAGGGAGCAGCGCCACCTGGACGGAAAACATGACGTCCTCTAGCGCCACCCAATGGAATAATGGTCTGCATTTTTTCGTAATGCTCCCATCCTTTGTTGCGGAATGGACGCATGAGATTGTTTGTCTAACAGGATGTTAATTCTCAAATAAATATAAAAATGAGGGGAAATACCTTGATATACAATGTCCATACAGTCGCAGCCGAAGGTCCTTCAATTCCACCTCCAGTCTCATTGTCCCAGTGGACCCCTGTCTGATTGCGATACTTCTCAATGGCATGAAAAGTGGTTTTGAGCTAGAGGACTCATCAGCTTAGATCAAATTGGATCAGATCAGACATACTGAAGTCCACTTGTTTCGAGTGGATTTAGCTGTCTTCAGTGGGCCTGCCCGAGTGGATTGAAGTGCCTCATGGTTGTTGATGTACTCTGCAGCAGAGCTAAGAACCTGTTGCTTGAAGTTGCCTGCCCCTTCAGCCTCTGAGCAATGATCATATAGATAGTCCACAAGGGCTGCGGTCTCAGCGTCATTCCACTGGGCAGGGGGGGCTTTGAACTGAGGGGGAGCATTAACTCCAGGTTGGGCCATGAGAAGAGTAGTGTATTGGGCACAGATCGCAGTGATCGCAACAGCACCAGCAAAAAGCCTCTTGCGCCGTTCTAGTGTAAGATGAGGGTAGACATCCATCGATAATATGTACAGTAAGGAGAGAAGCAAGGTTCAAGCTCTGACATCTCGGAATGATGCCGATGAACATTCTGCAAACATTGCCAAAGTGAATATTGGCCAATATCGAGTTTCCGAACTAGCTCTTATAGATACAGTCAGGAGCCTCATTTGTTCCTCTCTGTATTGTTGTTTCTACAGCGGTCATATGTGGTGGACCAACATGGCAAACGCTATAGGCATGGTGGTTGTGGTGTTATTGACAGATGTAACACATGCTGTTGAATTGATACCAGAATATGGTGAGAAGGTCAACAAGGACATTTCTGCGACGACGTGTTTGGAGTCCTATGACCGGTTTTTTCTGAATAACTTTGCAGATAAAGAAAGTTATCATACATTTAGTACAGAGTTCGCGTAGTATTGATTGTTAATAGTAGTAGTAGCGCAGATGAATGCATGCCAATCAGGCCATACTGTGATAATGATACATCAATGAATTACAAGTTGTGGAAAATGTGTGATACATATTTTACCATAATCCATAAGCACCTATAATCTGTAGGGCTGATATATCAGTGGAGGATCCTACCTGGAAGCCTGCTGTCAGCTGGATTGGTTCTTTGGACCTGGTTCCTTGCTTCTTGTCACCCATCAATCCTTCTTTCTGATTCGGTCCCTGGGGGTTTTGAGTGGGGCTGTCAAATAAGCTTACTAATCTGATCAACATCATCCGAAACAATGGCTCACCTAGACTTGACCTAGACCGTTTGCAATTTAGAAGTATCGAAGATTGGTCACATGATGCAAGCCACATCCGATTGGTCAAATTCTGAACATCAAAGTCACATCATCGAGTGACGTCATCACTTTTGCACTCGAATCCTGGACCGGTGGTGTGAAAGTTTCTCAATTAGGAAATTTTGGACTTGAAGAAATTTTGCTTGTCGACCTCGAGTGACGTCATCACTTTTCCTGCACCAATTAGGAATTTTTGGACTTAGTGAAATTTTGCTTGTCGTACACTCACAATGATCCCTTGTAATTAGTTAGTTCTTTGAAATTTTCCCCTTCGAGCGGGCATAGTATTAGCAGAGTCCTTCATTGTGTGTTGCGTTGAATAGCTATTTAATAAGGCATTGGCATGTTCAGAATTTCATGAGCCCCCACGAAGATCCTTACACCACCTCTGAGTCTCCAACCACGTCCCAAAAGCTGCAAGATAATGGATCGTGATTCACATATTATTGACTAAATACATGTAACAATGATATACGACCAAAATGAACCCAACCCAGACTGCTACTTACTGACGTGCGGACTTTCCTTTGCGTGAAGCCTGAGTTTGACTGATATTGTTGGCTGCTGCTGCACGTTTTGACTGGAACCACTGGCGTTTCCCACAACCTCCCTCCAACTCTGGGCCGTTTTCAATGGGTGGCAGTCTGCCATCTCCCTCGGTCACAGCATACTTTGTCTTTTGACGTTTTGACGGCCTATGTGGTTGTTCGAGAGGATTCGCAATGTTGGATGGCCCTTCAAGAGCTGTGGCCTGTTGAGCTTGGGTGGGAAGACATAAAGGAGTCTGCTGGGGGGGAACAACAGAGACTGATGCTGGGGAAAGAGCGGGAAGTGGTGCAGTCTGTTCAGGAACTGAAACTGACAGGGAAGGAACCAAAGGAAGGGCGGGAAATGGTGCAGTTTGTGCATGGACAGAAGCTGATGATGGAAGACGAGTGGCCCCCATTGAGACATCCTCATGGCCAGTGGTCATCCCATCCAGATTCTGGAATTGGTAGCAGATACGAGGAGGCGATGACAAACTATGGCGCAATGCAAGGTCTTGCTCAAGGTGTGGTTCCAAAGTTGGATCTTGAAGGAACTGGAGCAAGGATGGCGAAGCAGACATTGTATTGGGAGATTGAGGCGGCATGGGAAGTAAGGGTCGCATTAACTCCATGTCCTCATCTGTGTCAACCGGGTTGGGGGGAAAGTTGGAGAAGAAGTTGACGTCATACATAGAGTGATCGGGAGCCTCAGGCACCGCAGCCGGATGATTATCGTTAGGGTTGAACATAAAATTGTGGTTGAATAATGGTACTTGGCTGGCTGTATTGAGTGTAGGCACTGGTGTGAGCCCAGAAAAGACGGGTGGTATATCAGGAATAATAGCTGTAGGAGCATCTGATTGCGGAGCAGATAATGCAGTGGCAGATGGCCAGGAAAACATAGGTGATGTATCAGCGCCTATAGTTTCAGGATTAGTGCGTGATGGGGTCATAGCTGTGGTCCTTGGTGGCTCTGAAGAAGATGGAGTGGATGGTAGTGAACCTTGTGCCCTGGCAACCACCGCTGCTTTGGCTGGTAAATTCAAATATTAGAATTCAATACTACCTGAACCACTGAACCGAAACTCACGAAAAACGCGCTCTACAAATTGAGTATAAGGAACCATAACACCCTTTGTAAAGTCGGGATATGTTTGGCTGAACCGATTGCCAATTTTTGTTGTACCAACATGGAAGCTGCTAATGTCCAAAGCGCCTCCCATGGCAGGGTCCGGACCACCCATCAGAACAGTGAATACCCAATCCGTCATCTCATGTAGCTCTTCGAAGAACTGAGAGAGAATTAAAGCGATTTTGGATACATAGCTGCGTGATGTGTTAATAAATTGATATGCATAAGAAGACCATACAACTCACATGTCCTTGCTCACAGTGTCACTCTGTTCCTTTACCTCCTCTATTTCGGCACACTTTTTCTCCTTCATTGCCTCCACAGCTGCAAAAACTGCCGCTCTAACTTCCTCTGATTCTTCCTCGAAGGCTTTCTTAGTGCGTTGCATGATGAGATGGATAGATGATTTCCCGACTGGCTGAGAAGAGTGTTCTGCCATGACTCCATCCTTGACCTTAGCTGTGTAGTGAGTTTTCGAATACATCTCCCATGGCTTTAATACACGGGAGGTCTTTTTGCCAGATCCTTTCTTCAAGATGCGACCTAGCATCTTGTTGATAGCTCCAGTGTTCGCGGAGTTTGCAACTCGACCAGCCTTTGAACCACTGTAGTCATTACGAAATTTCTCTAACAAGCGCTTTATGGCATGTAAGTCTTGGATTGTCTAATGGAGGTAATGAGTGTTAATGAACGCACCTGTTTTCGTAAATTCCACGCTTCCGCTTCAATTATTGATTGTTCCGGGGTCAAAGGCTGATCAAGAGGAATGTCCTTGAAGACTTCAAGTCATTCTGGGAACATCTTAGACCATTCCTCATAGAATGGAGCCCATAATGGCTCATAGTTTCGGTCCGCTTTACACTGGAGAAATTGCTCCCGGTAGGTTTGCATGAATGCGAGCTGCTCAGCAGAATATTTGCTGCGTGGGGCCATCTTAATTATGTGGGTGGGGTTATGTCTGACAGTCCCGTCTGCGCGACAACTACATGAAAAGGGCAGTGAAAATTTCACCCTCAGTCACTATGTAAGTACTTCTGTCTTGCTTCAAGTTCTGTGCAATGTTAATTTTGGATATTGGGTGACAGAAATAGATATATTGCGTGCGCAGTGCTGACTCTAATGCGACTCTGGGTACATAAGTTTTGCGGAGGCATCTTCTTGGACTCATGGGACCTATTGTGCGTGTTTGCCACCATGGAATACGTCGATACGACGATACCACTCTCTCTAGCGAACTACACGTAAGTCATTATCATCAGATTCCAAGGAAAGGCACAAATCATAGCCAAGACTCACTCTCTCTATCTGGTCTGCTGTAAAAACGGCGATTTGGCGAGACACGCTGAAAGAAAAAGATTTCATGAGAAGGTTTCTAGGCACAGCATCAGTGCTATCAGACATACGAAGAAGTGCACAGTACTAGACACGATTTTCAATCGTGCAGGCAGCTGTAATGCCGACGAGGATTTTTCCCGCCCCGCATGGAAGAACAACAATTCCAGAATGTGCGCAGCTAAGTCCACAGGTCAGAAGGTACCTAGACAACTAAGAATCGCAACATACCCATTTCCGAACATCTTGCTCAAGCTCGTCTCTTGATATGGGCGAATGACGGTCGCCGGTTTAAGGTCAATGTCCAGATTCGCATTGACTGTGTCATTCCTGAAGTCATACTCCTCAAGCATTGGATATTCCAACTCATTCCACCGCTTCTTGACGTCCTGAAAGAATCCGTGAGAGATCCACAAGAAGCTATCTTTTCTAGACACTGACGTCAATTTTTGCATCATCAATCTCGAATGCATGAGCATTGTCGTCGTCTTCGTCAATTTCATCTAAGGCGAGAGCGATGAGAAAGACCAGCGGCAGAGCGTACAAGCTCACCATAGTCAACGCCAACAATTGAGGTGAAAAGGTCAGTGTCCGCGGCTCCTCCGGATATGGATGCTCCGGTTGCCCAGAACTAAACAAACATTCTGGGCCAATCACACCTGTTCGTCAGAGTGAATTGATCGTGCTTCTTTTCTTCATACAGTTAGGCTAGAATATCTTGCATGGCATCGCTCTCGCGTAGCTTTTTGGGAGTGATATAGCAAATGTCGGGTTTTTGCTAGCTTCGAAGGTGACGCATGACGTCCCAAGAGTCGTCTACGGTCCTTAGGGAAGACATGCAGTCAACATTAACGTGCTTCTCTCACAAAGATGCCACTTGATCGGTGATGAGTGGTTGAGCAGTCACCACTAATGCCTTCCTGTAGCTCATGGGGTTAGACAGGGTGGGGGTAGAGTAGAGTAGAGTATAGGACTTGAAGTATACAAAGTGTCGGTGTTAAGGTTGTACTCTCGTAGGGTCGGATCCGAAGGACTTCGGCCTCAGCTCGTACACTGTGCCCCTTTCCCAAGTACTGTCCCTTATTTCAGAGACTAACGATAATGTGTCCGAAGGTCCAGACGAGTCTCGTAGTTATATCCGGTGTAGAAACAACAATACTGAGAGGAACAAAACAAAGATGGCTCCAAACTGATATATTTGTGTTGTGGTCTTTGCACTGCCTAGTCTGCTATACTTGCCTGACAAGTGCGTTCGACCCAGGGGTCTGCGGTCTGGGAATAGTCTTGGGGGTAAGTGAGTGATGTGGGGTCAATAGTCCGAGCGCGGGAAACAATGTCCAAAGGTATAATTACGATGTCCGACGCAAAAGCGTCGGGTCCGATGTTTTCGGGGTTTCGGGATATCGGGTTCGGGTTCGGGATGTTGGAAATTAATAGTAACACTATAGCGAGCGTCGGAAGAGCGAGCGGTGTGCGCGATAATAACAATGACTGATATGGATAATGAAAGAGCGATGATATTCGCAATATCAACTAAGAACTACGAAATATCGGGTTTGACCACTAAGCGTCAGGGGACTGCTCCCCTCTACTTGGATAATGAATAATGCTCGAGGTCAGTCCAATATATATGTAAGTACGTAGAAATGCGGAACCCGTAGGCGAAAGTAGCGGCAGAGTATTTCGGATCCAAAGTACATGTAAATAAACATGAGGCGCTGCGGACTATGGGAAAACATGTAATAGCGCTGGCTACGACGTGAGCAATGTGCAAAATAATGAACTACACACCTAGTGGGGCTAGCAAGACAGGACGGGACACGGATAGGACAAGTGCGCGGGAAAACATCGGGTCCGATGCGGCCTAAACGTCGGGTTGGCGGGTTAGCGTCGGATAACATCGGGAAGTGATTAGCATGTGACGGGTATTTGACGTGTACTGTAAAATAGCTCGATACGAGCCCAGGGCCAGCTCGTGTCCTACACCGGATGACTTCCGGATATCGGAAACGCGTATAAGACTAATCCGGACGGATCCGGACTAGAAACAAACAGAGTATAGACTATCCGAAGATAGAGGCGGAGACGTAGACTATCGGAATCGATCCGAAGTCTCAGAGATTGACAAGAGTTGTTTAGACTCAAGTCCGGAGGACAGAAAGAGGACAAACTAAGATGATATTCGAACTGAGGTACTACAGGAAATATACATGGGTTTATATACTAAGAGGATAATGGAAGGATCAATAAGCAAAGGTCTGAGGCTATGTATGAAGCATATGCAAAGCTTATCAAACGCGAGTCGGAAATGAAGCATAGGATAATGGATCAGTAATCATACCGGTAATAAGTATAACCGAGACACCGGGAAGAGGAAATACCGAATAGGCTGTGTTTAACATTATATGAACAGGAAATGAATTAAGAAGCTTATCGGATATCGGATCGGACGCGGATCTATGCATCGGGCCGGACCGGATCTAAGGGTCCGAAGTCCGGAAGAGAAGTGTGAATATATGGGATATGACAGTCGGGGTATTAACTCTCGGGGTACTAGACTAGTAAACGCACCCCAGATGATGGATGCAGTTGCGGGCTGTCATAGCGTGAGTAGTAGTAAGTACAAGCTGTAACGTGGGACTTGAAGAAATTTTTGAAAAACTCACTTCGCTCCAAGCACAACCTAAACAGACGTCGAAAGGTTGAATTTGCGAGGCTGGTCAGATGTGGAATAACAAGTATTTGAAGACAATAAACGGGAGTCAGAAAAGACGTGCTGAATAACTGTCCCGAAGTCTAAACTGTGTTGTGAAGCATTGACGTATAACTGTCCCAAAGTGGCTGCAACTTAGTCTTGCACTTATGGGACGGAAATGCAAGTCTTCCTTAGAGTGTCAGAATGCACGCAAACAATCAAAAGACCTGCATTATTTTCGGTGAGTATCTATTGTTATCAACACTATTTGCCTTTTTGCTCTTCGTGCATTAACATGTAGTAGTCATGTAGGACAAGAACATATGAAATCTCGACAGAGATGGCGAAAGAATCGGGGTGCTAACAAGGTATGTGTGCTTAAATTATCACCACTTGACTGTCCTTATGCTACTTTACTTCACAGGCTACATTAAACGCCTACGAGAATCTAGATTCATTGTGGGCTAGTACATACACCGGCTGCCGTACCAATGCAGGATATCAAGACCACGTTATTGCTATCCTCCAGGAGGTGGATATCATAGGGTGGGATGATGTTAGACCTGGTTGTGAAAAAGAGTTGTTGGAAGCACGAGTGTTAGCCAGGGATGCCGAGGCACTTGTGCAATCTGTCACTAATCTTGAGGGTCCATACTCAGATCGGCTCAAAACTGATTGTGCTCAAATTCTTTTCAGAATGCAGCTATGGGTTGCGGCAGAAGAACAGATAATTGCATTGATGGACCAAGGGCCGGAGGTACTCAATCAAGCTCTCTTCGAGGACAAGCTTGTCTGGCAGTGTTCGTAGTTGCTATGCTAGATAGATACACATCAGACAATATATCATACCCTCACAGCAGCACCAGCGTTAATCGCAGCGATGACAATCTCGATTCCCATGTCCACAGTCTTTGCCTTTGCGTAGAGAGCACCACTAACACCGGTGACCCAGGGACCGACACTGCTCCTGTCGGCGGTCAAATTAGAGAAGTCAGGAAGATGGGACAACAGAGAAGCTTACCATTCAGAGAACACTCCAATCCTGCAGCCCCTGGTGATATAGTAGACGGTTATGCCATCTGGAGGAGCGATTGGGACATTGAAGTACACTCCCTTGTATACATTGAGGATACTGCCAAAGGCAAGAGCGGCATCTGCATTAGCATAGCCATCTGTTTCATCTATAATAGTGATAATGTTGGTGGGGGCAATGCTAGTGTTGATGCCGGCAGTCAGGCTGGTGGTGGTGGTGATGGCGGTGCTGGTGTTGATGCCGGCAGTCAGGCTGGTGGTGGTGATGGCGGCAGCAGGCTCTTCGTCATCATGAGCCTCCTCATCACTGCTGATGGAAGACTTGGACTCGGGCTCGGCCTGCGAATCTGTTGAAGCAACAAGGTTGTCGGAGAGAAGGCGGGAGATGGAGGACTCGGACTTGGGCTTGGCCTGCAAATCTGTTGAAGCAGCACCAAAGTTGTCAGAGAGAAGGCTGGAAGCCAGTTTTGCGCGGTCGGCGGAGGAGAGTTGAAGTGCTGATAGCAGCATGGCAACAGCCGCTAAATTGAACCTGGTCAGTATGGTAGGACGAACACAACATGGAGACCAGACTCGTTAGACATACCAACTGTGTCACTGGTTATAGCGGACATAATTAATGCTTGAAGCGGTCGGTACTGGTGTATGAGTGTCTCAGAGTGGTCAGTACTGGTGTATGAGTGTAAGAGATGCAGGAATTGAAAAACTGCCCTTTTATCCATACAGGCATCTGCGGACTAGAGAATCTTGGAGCTGACGCTCAAGTCTTGATAATAATGAGAAATTCGGCCAAGTTGCTAGTTACTTAGTAAAGGCATTCAGAATCATTGAATGCATTCTCTGATATGACAAACAAAAACAAGCAAGCACAAACTCTTCTCTTCCAACTTTGATTTGCGCTGATTTGCCAACTGTCTTCACATGGCTGACAGCCTTACATTTATAGGTGAGTACTCCGTATTATACCCCCCAGTATGTCCAATCCGATGCACGTCCCACTCCCCAGTACGTCCAATAGTCAGCGGGCTCTACACCGGTCTCTCGGAGCTCACGCTTGACGATACGTCGCATTTCCCACAAGAAGAAACACTTGATTTCCTGTCATCGCGTGTCAGCAAGTGGAGAGCCCGAGCCCGAGCACATACTACACAACGTTTTTCCAGTGCCCAGCACAGTTGCACAGCCATTGAATATGTGATCGGGACGTCTTGTTCCTCATCAAAACCTGGCCAGAGGAACTCCCGCAACGGCCACATCTCATCATACTCCTCGTGTAGAACATCAATAAATAGGTCTGTTTCCACAAACCCTGGCTTAAGTTTCCTGAATTCAGGAATTTTGGTACACAGGAATTCGGCCTGTTGTTTGTCCATCTGGACACAGTGGATTATGTTAGACATGATGTCTACAGCGGGACAAGGCTACACATACCCTGCGGTCTTAGATTTGAGAGCGGGTGTGAGTTTCAGTTGTTAGTCAGAGTTGTGCGTTCAGAACCTTATGTATATATTTCCAGAGGGATCCGCATTGTAATAACCATTCTCATGAGGCGCCTTTCCGTGCATCCGACATGACACGAGCTACCAAAAAGCTTCAGGTGCATTTTGAGTGTTTTGTCCAGCAGCCCTCAGCCACACCTCCTCAACGTGTTCGCGAATACACACTGACAACCAGGCGCACTACATTGCAAATGGCATATATACCACGACATAATGAGGCCCCTCTGGAAGGGGAGATCGATGAATTGTCAGCACCCAAGACTCAGTGGCCGGTTTACGACTTCTTCAATGAAGTCCCTCTGGATACGGACACAGATGCCATCGCATATGACCTTCCACCTGCAAAGCACAGACGGACTGCAGCAGTAAGCAGTGATCCAGTCAAAATTGAGTATTTGATCTGATAAGAATTGGATCGCACAGGATAATCCTCTCCTTGCTTGGATACCTGAACGCCAAACATTTCTTGATGAAACTATTTTTTTGGAAGGGCGTGGACACGAAGCTATTTGCTCACTCTGTCACTGCGGCAATTCCGATAAAAATTACCGGTGCAAGGATTGTTTCGGACCTGGGATGTTCTGTCGTGCCTGTATTGTCCAACAACACGCATGCCTGCCATTGCATAGAATCGAAGTAAGCTTAATTTTGTGTCAGTGAAGTGTCTCTTATCTAGCCTGAATGCAGGAGTGGACTGGGAGTTTTTTCCGGCGCACAACTCTCAAGTCTCTGGGTATGCGAGTCCAGCTGGGTCACAATCCTGGTCATCGGTGCCATAATCCACGTCCCTCGTCTGGAAACAACTTTGTCGTCATCGACGTCAGTGGTATTCAAGAGATTGCACTGGATTTTTGCGGCTGTGAGAGTGCACAGATTCGCTTCAAGCAGCTGCTACGAGTACGCTGGTACCCCGCAACCACAACCGACCCACAGACAGCTGCTACATTTAATGTACTTGAGCATTACCACCTCCTCTCCTTTGAATCCAAGGTGTCGGCATACGAATTCTACCACAGTCTAGCCAGGCGCAGTGATAACACTGGACTTTCCCCTATCAAAGTAAGTTCCAATATGATTTTGGTTCGTAAATCTTACTGACAAATAATTGTCTTATGCAGGATCGGTACTCAGCTTTCATGCGCATGGTGCGTGAATGGCGGCACCTACGGCAACTGAGGTGCAGTGGCAGAGGGCATGACCCCACTGGCGCCAATGGGACTAATAGTGGGGAGCTTGCTGTTCTCTGTCTGGCTTGCCCACATCCTGGGAAGAACCTGCCTGATGGATGGGAGAGTGCACCTCCATCAATACGGTGCGAATTTTGTTCAACTTTGGTTGTAGTATACTCATCCTTCACTGCAGGTGGCTGTATGCACTATTTATCGCAATAGATGTGAATTTCTGCCTCAAACGCAAAGCGGTCTCTTCAGATAAAGTTGATCCAGGTTTGAACACTGGGTGGGCATACTTTGTGGAGGAAACAAAGTACAAGAAGTATCTATCTGCGCGGGCAGGCGAGAAACAAGAGGTATGTGTATTTTGTGTCTACTTGTAACGTCTGATAATGTCTGACACGAATCTTTCCTAGCGTAGCACCTGTGTTAGCCACAACGCAGTCAACATGGCCGACACAAAATCAGCACGTGACCTAGCAGCAACGGGTGTAGGTACTGTTGACTGCACACGCCACGAATTCAAGTTGCCGACTGGGGTAGGAGATCTTCAAAAGGGTGAAAAGTAAGTTATGCTTGAATTCGTTTGGCCTGTTAATTGATGATGAACTGGAGGTACCTTAATATGGACTACTTCATGTTTTCAGCCCTGATTGGGTTTACGGCCACAATGCTCAACATCTCATATGACATCGCATGCCAGTGGTCAAAGAAACTTTGGACCAGGATGGACTCCATGCCGGCTCATTTGCATGTGCCGCATGATGCAATGCAGATTTGTTACTTCATTCCCAAGTTCCATATCGGAGCTCACATTGCTGCCTGCCAGACTACGTTCTCGTGGAATCTAGCCAGGTTTGTAGGTAGGACTGATGGAGAGGCACCCGAACGCGGGTGGGCAAATATCAATCGGGTGGCCTCAAGCACGAAAGAGATGGGACCAGGGAGCCGATGTGATACACTAGATGACCATTTTGGCGACTGGAACTGGAAGAAAGTCACAATGTTCGGTGAGTTTTTTTTTGCTCCAACATCATTTGAAGCTCCTTGCTGAAGTGTTGTCGGACCTTGAAACGCAAGATGGAGGATGCAGTAAAGTGGAAGCGGGAACACTGTGCTGCCTTGGATGAGCTGGAGGGAACCATTCAGCCTGTGCTACTGGATGAGTGGAGACTAGAAGTCGAGGCATGGGAGGAGGACAATACCAAACCAAACCCTTTCGACAGCAGAGTCGCTTGTGAGTCATCTCTTGTTTCCTCTGCAGCTTTGGCTGATCACTGCTCAGCTATTACCCAGGCAGCAGTGCGTGCTCAGCTCATGGAATTGGAAGCGCAGGAATTGGAGGCTGGGAATGATTGTTCACTCCATGCGGACGTCTCACCCAGCATACTTATAAGTAGTGGGATTGAATTGGAGGATCAGCAGTGCGTTAAATTATTATTGTCATCATCTTTTTTGTTCTGACGCCAATAACAGACAGCGGCTGAAATATGATATCGCCAATGTCTCACTTCATCCTACAGACAAGCAGCGAGAGGCTATCACCAACAGGACTAACGCACTACAAAGATGGATAGACTCGTGGATCAGCATTCAAGAACTTTACATGCCCATAGTTTCAGCACTCCGTTCGTCGGTCAACTCTAACGCTAGTGCTACGGACGCTGTCCTCAAGCCCCAACACTGTCATCTGTATCTTCCATCTTCAATCGACACCCATTTACATTGTGACCAGCGGCTCCTCCAGCATGAATGGGAGCTCCGGCACACCCAGGCCCACGATGCCCTCAATGAACTCCGTTCCCACCTCCGTCTGCGCTCCCACATGTATAAATTCAAGGACAAGAACCTACGTGGCCAAGCGGCATCCACTCATGCTCAGAATCTGATCGCACGTGTTGAAGCGAAGAAAGACGCAGGAGTTGAAAAATACAGGCGTGCACGTCAGGCACTGGAGTCACTGAGTGGTCGTTTGGATAAGGTGGGCTGGGAAGTATCTTTACGATCTCTCAGAAGCGAAGATGTGAGACCTATGGGTGATTTTGTGGGTGGGCACACTCAAGGAACAGGAACAATATCATGGATTTGGCTAGCTACCGGTGTTGATACTGGTCGCTCTGAAAATGACCGTGTTCAAGATTGTAAGTTTCTCAAGCTTGCAAGAAGGATATGTAACTGATTGCACTTCTAGGCGTCCGCATCGAGTGGTGTAAAGCTCGTGCACGTGCTGCACGATGGTCTGGGGAAGTGCAGCTACTGCTCGAAGAAATGAGGCGCATGCTGGTTTTTTTGCAGTGGCAGGCCGACTGGTGGTGCGAGCGTGCCAACCTACGTGTACTGGAGAAGCCCTCTGACCAGGAGGGCCTGCAAGCATATGCACATCGTCAGGCTGCACTACGTTGTGCGATGCGTGGCTCATTCCAAGCATTGTGAAGTGCTGTGCCTCAACCCGCGGAATCTACCCTTATCCCCGAGCTCTCTACACCTTCAATTGACTGCCCCCCTGACTTGCATGATGAGCCTCCATATGATGAAGACTGTGTGTAGCGCTACATTTGTGTACTATATGTTGTAACGCGTCCAGGTACTCAATAGAACTTCTTTGTGATTGTTACATCTGCATGTCAGATCCGATCTAAGATCTCCAATCGAATGAAATAGAACGCGAACATACGGAAACAGGAACGGAACATACAGGAACAGACTCGGAACCTGAATGTATAGCGCAAGGGAGGACTGGTAGGGACTATGATCTATAGTAAGATGATACATCACACCACCTGATGTATTATGGTTGAAAATGTATCACAGATTTACCATAACTATGGGGAGTGATATATCATCACCACAGGGACAGGTGTGCCAATCGATTGCTGTGATTCTGAACTTTCTGAATGGCCCAATGATTATTACAAATGACCCTACTCGGTGTTTGGAAATGCAATTCCCGAACCCTAGACTAGTATTTCAACTCAATCTCAATATAATATCATATAATGCAATACATACACCCGTTTAAAAATTATAACACTATTAATATCGAGTATTTACAATGTACCAAGGGGGCAGCAGACATAAAGTTTCTGACACGGACTCACAAAAGTTGAGTGGCCAGGACCCCGAAAACGAGTCGAATACTATACCATACTGTACAATACTCGACCGCTGAAATTTCACCAAGTCCCACACACCACGTATACGTATACATAGTGAATTGTAAGTAAGTAATAACTTCAAAACACAGTTTGATGGCAAGGCAAATAGTGTGATATTAAATCGTGCATCGTGCATTTACATATAACTATTATGATTGGTCTAGTAAGGTGATAGTAGAAAGTAGCTTTGATGTACCGTATGTGCATGAATCAATTTTAAAATTTAAGCCTTCTTCGAGCGCTTGGAACCAGCGTTACCTTGAAGTGTCTGTCGTTTGCGCGTCACTGACGAGTTTTGACTACTACTAGCACTCCCTGTAGCAGTTGCATTCGAGTCGTCCTGAGGATGAACTTCAGACCCAGCATTGTCAATCAAATCTGGTGGTATCCCGAGGCACTCCTTCTCAAGGCGCGAGATTTCGATTTCCTTTGCAAATCCAGCAGGAAGGGAGTACGAAGCATCATGAGAACTGGTGATGTGTTGGTGCCAACTTGGTGGACATTGTATTTCCAGAAGACAGCACGGTCACCCGATGATGTTGGGCATAGTTCATAGCGAATTGATGCATTTGTTGATGGGGATGCCTTTGAGCTGTTTACAGCTGCGCTGAGACTGAACACTATTGCCTGGGGACACGAGGATTGTGGCTGAAATGTTCGTTTTTGCTTGACGAGTTTTACCGGATGGCCTGACTGTCCGCAAAATCCACATGGGTCAATCACATAGACCTGATTTATCACTTTAGCAAGATTACAGTCAAAGAAAAAAAAGCTGACGCACAGGTGTCCTTACATCATCGTCCTCATAATCCAGCATATAAAGAATTTCAGCAGGTGCGGGTGCTGGATTGTAATGAGCAAGAGTGGTTCCATCCTCGGGGGTAGGCCCGGAGTTGGAATCAGAGCTAGGCTCGAAGTCAAGGTCGGAGAAGCTGTCCAGCTGCCAGGTGCTGTGTAGCACATTATTATGCAATGAATTGTAGTGAAATGATGAACTAGATGGCCATGCGGTGGGCTGGGACAACATGTCTGACAAACGTCGCACTTACCAGACCACCAAATGCAGTAATTCCCTCCCTAGACCTTTGATGTAAAAATTGCATCACCTCCTGCAGCCACTTCCTCATGGACAAGTATTCCTCATGCTGGTGGGCTAGGCCGGCCGAGGCACGAGGCAGGCCTAGAATTTAGTCTAAGTGCGGAATAAGCGAGGTGGCGCAGCACCTCTTGGTTCTGCCCACCACATAGCTTAGCCACTTTTCGTCGGAATCTCGCTACTCTAGCTTCATCTTTTGCCTTCAAGACCGTTTAGTACCGTAATGCTAGTAGAAGATCCCAACTTGGCAATAAGGCCGGACTTCGCATCACAAGAACACGAAGCTTCACGGCATCAATTGGTCGAAGAAGGTCTCTCGAACGAGAACGCTGCACGAACCTTAGCAGCCTTATGGACCTTAGCTAACAATGCTGAGAAAGACCGGTGGGCGCTTAAGCAGCGACGGTTGCTAGAGGCGAGGCAAAGAGAAGAGGAGGAAGAGGAAGAACGTCAGCAACAACGCAAGGAAGAGGAAGAGACCGCTCGCCTGGAGGAACGGAAGAAGAACAAAACTAAGTACGCGCCCATAGTGCGCGGAAAGGTACCTTCCGACCCCACCATTCTCCCAGCGCAATATGCCATAAGGAAAATGAAGTCCGGAGACTACTGCGAACTCCATTATTTCACCAACCGCGGTCTCGAGGATGCGAAACTATCCAACCTAATAGCGGAACCAGAAGCCATGGTAATGCTGCCAGCAGCGGATGGTCTGCACTCTTGGATCCCTGCAGCGGCAGTAAAGGACCCGAAAGCTGCGCCAGTGGTGAAGGACGAAAACTTGTCCTGGGAGGAATTCAACGAGGCCGCTCCTCGCATGATCACAATGATGAAATTGTACGACTGGCCTAACGATCGGACGGACATGCACATACAATTTTGGTCTGCTTTACAGACGCATCGTTGGCGACACTCACCAGATCAGCTCAAACAACGAGCGCTGCTACTGTATCAATCCCAGCAACGAAGGCGCTGGCATCAGACAATAGGAACAGCGCAAGGATGGAGCCTCGAAGACCTCAACCAAGACTTGATCTTCGAAGCAAGGGAAGAATTGTTCAACGAAAAGAGAGAGAAGGAGACTGCGGCCGCTATTCAGGTCAGTAAATATCGCGTGGACGCATGATCATTCCTAATGAAAGTTTGTCTCTTAAAATTCTTTCGCATATTAACAACCGCAACTCGTTTTCATTTGCGCAACATGTTGTTCCTGTCGGCCAATCATGGTTGACAACATTGGCTCGTACGCCATCATGTGCTCCCCTGGCCATCGCGTGCCCTTTTTCTACCCCGGCCATCACGTGCCCTTTTTCTACCCTGGCCATCGCGTGCCTTTTTAAACTCTGGCCATCGCGTGCCTCTCGTCTCCCTGGCCATCGCGTGCCCTGTATTCCCCTGGCCATCGCGTGCCTTTACCCCCTGGCCATCATGCGCCCGTTTTACCCTGGCCATCATGCGCCTTCTTACCCCTCGGCCATCATGTGCCCATTTTGGCTTGAATCCACACACTTGGATCGCCAATCCCTCTCATACGGCGCTACAGCAAGCAGCAGCAGCGTTCGTAGCAGCCCAACCCCAGTACCTTGCAGCTTCACAGAAGCGTCCGCACACTCCAGCAGAGGACCACTTGTCCAGCAACAAGAAGGTACGAACTGTCCGTCCCATTGTTGGTACAGGCCCATTACCTTGCTGCGCAGTCTGCCTGGGAAGGCACCCGCACCGCACCATCGAGTGTTTGGCCAAGCAAACATGGGACAAGAAGTTCGATACCTTCGCGGAGCGCATCCGCAAAGGCCTTTGGGCCAAGGACGGGAAACAATTATGTACGGCCTGGCAGAGAGAGGAGGGATGCACAACCCCAAAACACGATGCGCGCCACGTCTGCTCAGGGTGTGGAGCCGCCACGCACGGAGCCCAAAGATGCCCTAGAGCGCAGAAGGCTGATGCCACTGACGCCATACAAGGCTGAGGCATGGAGACAAGAGCTTCGAAGAGCGGGACTTCTGGAGCGTTTCGCTAAGATACCGGATGGCCTCCGTTTAGGTTTTAAGATAGATTTTCCTCCTGTCAAAAGTATTCAGGTGCCACCAAATAAAAGTTCGATTACCGAGTATCAGATCGAGTTCGAAAGCATCATCCAAAAAGAATTGGACAAAGGAAGGTACATTGGACCATTTCGAGCTGAAACTTTGGAAAGTATCATAGGACCTTTTCAATCGTCGCCGCTGTCCATAATCCCAAAGCCCGGCAAGCCGGGCAAATTCAGGATAGTGCAAAACTTCTCCTTTCCAGTATCCACAAACGTTTCCCATCCTAATCCCTCGATAAACTCCTACATTAATGCCAACGACTTTCCGACGACATGGGGCAAATTTTCAATTATATATCTAATAATCACGAATCTCCCTCCAGGTTCAGAAGCAGCCACACGAGACGTGGCAGAGGCTTACCGGACGGTCCCACTACACCCCTCGCAATGGCCAGCAGGAGTAGTACGAGTATCGGACTCTCAATTTTGCATCGACACATGTACTGCGTTCGGAGCCACCCCATCGGCAGGAGTATATGGGCATGTAGCCGATGCTGGCGCCGAAATCTTTAGGAGCAATGGCATCGGCCCATTAGACAAATGGGTAGATGACCATATCTTTTTCAGAATCAGACGAGAGTACTTACAGCAGTACAACGATAAGAGAAAAAGATGGAACCAAGTCTTCGCGAAAGAAGGAATGAGACAATCGGGCGCAAGGCTATGGTTCGGAGACATGTGTCTAGAGACAGGAAAGCTCGAGGAATTAAGTGAGGATTGTTCGAAGCCACTGCAAGACCTCTCGTCTCGTTCACCAAGATCGAAGCACGACAAGCTGTTTACTTTCAACTTACAAGATGTCAACGAGACATCAGATGACCTAGGTATCATATGGGAATTGTTGAAAGACCAACCGTTCGCGCCATCAACGATCTACATAGGTTTCCTTTGGGATATCGCACGGAGGACAGTCTCTTTGAGTACTATGAAAGTCGACAAGTATCTGGCAGCAATCACCAAGTGGAAAAAGAGACCTGCACACGTTTTACAGGACGTACGAGAACTGTACGGTAAACTGCTGCATGCATGCGAGGCAGTACAACGAGGCAGAGCGTACCTAACAAGCCTCGAGGAGATGCTTTCCCACTGCGGCGCGAAACCTTTCCTTCCGCATCGAGCAGGAACCAGGGTAGCGAAAGATCTAGAATGGTGGTCTAGGCTACTTCAGTCCGGTGGTGTGACACGAGCCATCTACCCAGCCATCAAACTCGAAAACCCTCTCGCTTTCTCAGACGCAAGCTCAGGAATTGGAATAGGCATCGTAATAGGTAACTACTGGAGAGCCTGGAGGTTGATTCCAGGGTGGAAAACACACAATGGTCAACGAGACATCGGATGGGCAGAGGCAGTGGCTTTCGAACTCCTCATATACACTCTCACCTCTCTGCCTGGCATTGGCAGGCACATTGTCGTCCACGGAGACAACACAGGCGTTGTTGAAGGATGGTGGAAACGGAGACACAGGAACCGGGAAGTCAACGAAGTCTTTCGCAGAATCAACGAGTTTATTCACAATCTACCCTACCCTTTCGACGTCGTCACTACATATGTCCCAAGCGCTTCCAATCCAGCAGACGAACCATCTAGAGGAATATACGGACCAACAAGCTTTCTTCTTCCCCCAATCAGCCTTCCAACAGAGCTTAGTACCTTCCTCATCGACGCAACAGAACCATTCTCTGCCGCAGAACTCCGTCTCCTGCGAGACGGCCATTACTCCGCTCCAGCAGCTAAAGTTATCAACCGCGAGTTGCTCAGACAACAAGCGGCCGAACGAACAAGAGTCAGCCGTTACGAAGAAGAAAGTTTCATCAGCAGTGCGCTCAGCGATGACGAAAGATAGAAACACACGATTCGGAGCACCGCTACCAAATGTAACAGTTCCTTCCCCTTCCCCAATCCCCCAGAATTATAGACCTAATTTAACACCCAAACCTTCTACCCTGCGCCCTCATTGTCTTGCGCGAGACCGGTTGAGACTGTGGTTGCCGGCGGGAGATAGTACGAGACAAGAAACAGCAATGACATCCCAAGCTCCTAGACACGAAATTTCGGATGCACAGCTAGAACGCATCCTAGACGTCATCAGCTCATCATGGGCACAATCAACGAAAGACACGTACGGGGCTGGTTTGCTGGTGTTTCATGTGTTCTGCGACACAAACAGCATTGCAGAAGAACACCGCTGTCCAGTCGCGCGCAGTCTTCTTCTCGATTTTCTCTGCAGTTGCGCAGGTTCTTACTCCGGATCATCATTAGCTAACTATGCAGCGGGTCTTAAAGCCTGGCACTTACTTCATGGAAGGAACTGGTTAATCCCACCTAATGAGTTGAGAGCGGTACTAGATGGTGCAGCGGCAGCGGCACCCGAGTCGTCCAAGCGTCCCAAACGGCTACCATTCACTCCCGCTTACCTGTCCATCATTCGCGACCATCTAGACCTCAATTCGCCACTAGATGCAGCCATTTTCGCGTGCTTGACGACAACCTTCTATGCAATAGCGAGGTTAGGAGAGTTCACAGTAAACGCGATCAAAGACTTTGATCCGAAGAAACACATAACGAGATCCGGCGTGTCTAAAGCAACAGACCGCAACGGTCTGCCAGTAACCAAGTTCCACCTACCAAGTACTAAATGCTCTCCAAACGAAGGAGAAGAAGCCTATTGGGCAATGCAGGAAGGGCCGTCAGATCTGAACGCCGCCTTAGAAAATCATTTGAGAATTAACCCAGCAAATGGTGATGCGCACCTCTTCGCGTGGAAACACGCCAAAGGACTGCGGCCGTTATCGAAGAAAGAGCTATTGAAGAGGATAGCATCAGCAACGGCTGCAGCAAACCTACC